CCACTTCAAATGAAACATCTACCTTAATTACAGGCCTGAAACTGAACGGAGACAATTAGTGGTAGATAATTACACACATGTTCTAAATTTTTAGACATTCAGTGGAATAAAATTGTTTAATAATTTAACTTCAAATTTAAAAAAATGAAATTCGTAAATATGGAGCTAAATACGTCGATCAGCTCGTTGATCTGCTCTCATCACTGATTTATGATCATAATTAATCACCATCAATCGCAGCCAAAACCACTAACAACCTATCAACTTCAAAGACAAGCAATCACAGTGGTGAATTCGAAAAACGAAATGTGGCTGGCGTGTAACGAGTGTACGATTTAATTTTTCGTTTCATCGAACATAATGAATTTTTGTGCGTCCGTTATCGCGCGAAACGGCAATATCGATGTTCATTTCCCTCGTTGTCTACGCGATTCAATGATGCTGAAAGTCGAGTGGCCAATTTCGAATCGCGAAAACGAACTTGTGGATTGAACGGCCTTTTTTGGAATACCGCGGAAAATTGTGTTTCTAAAAAGGTTATGAGTGTACGGTGCGAAGTTTTACGCGGCATCTTTCAGCAAGAAAGAACCTTTTGCCTTTCCATTCCCATGGGTCTTTTGCTCCCTTTCACCACCAACGATGGCACGAGCGAATCGTCTCATTAGCCGAGCCCATATACGGTGGTCAATTAAAATTTTTGCCGGCACGACTGTGGGTAGGTAAATCCGGATAATGAACAAGCTGCAGATTTTCAAGGAAAGAAAAGACTTTAACGGAAAATGTTGAAGAATAACTTGACAGTTGATTGTCTAAGCGGAGAGAATGGATGTTATTTAATGAAGAATAGTGGGATGGGTTGAAAGGTTGAGGATGTAGGAATTTGGGGATAGGGAGACTGGGGATTTAGGAATTTGGGGATTTAAATATTAGAGAGTGTAGAAATTTGGAGATCTAGGAATTTGGGAATTTAGAAATTTGGGAGTCTAATAATTTGGGGGTGCAGAAATTTGGGGTTGTAGAAATTTAGGGGTCTATAGGAATTTGGGGGTGTAGAAATTTAGGGGTCTATAGGAATTTGGGGGTGTAGAAATTTGGGGCTCCATAGGAATTTGAAGGTTTAGAAATTTGGTGATCTAGGAATTTGGGAGCATAGAAATTTGGGGGTTTAGAAATTTAGAAGTCTTGGAATTTGGGGGTTTAGAAATTTGGGGGTCTATAGAAATTTGAAGAATTAGAAATTTGGTGATCTAGGAATTTGGGAGCATAGAAATTTAGGGGTTTAGAAATTTAGAAATCTTGGAATTTGGAGATTTAGAAATTTGGGGGTCTATAGAAATTTGAAGAATCAGAAATTTGGTGATCTAGGAATTTGGAGGTTTAGAAATTTGGAAATCTAGGAATTTGGGAGTTTAAAAATTTGAGGGTTTAAAAACTTGAGGATATAGAAATTTGGTGGTCTAGGAATTTAGAAATCTAGAGATTTAGTAGTCTGCAAATTTGTGAATCTCCCCCTAGATTAAATCCCTATTTAGGGCTCCACAAAAAAGCCTTAAAAATTTGATACTCTACAAAATGGATAATAAAAAAATTTTTTTAATTTAGTCGTCTGAAAATCTAGAAATTAAACGCTTTCAAAATGTGCAAATATGAAAACTTAAAAGTTTACATAAAATTAACATGATAAAAAGATTTAAATAATATGTGAAGTTCACATATGTGTACTTTTCTAATAAGAACATATGTACCTCACATATATAAATGTAGTACGTTGAAACATAACGGAAGTTCTGACATACGATGTGTCAATTTTGAATAGAATCGAAGTCCGATAGACGCAGACGTTTCTTGCATATAGCATCGATTTGCGCGCATCGTCGATGGATATCGACTGTGATTGCCGCGACCGCAACTGGTGTTCATGATCGACCGTCTCCAGTTGCTGTCAGCGGTCCTGTCCAATTCTAAACTGTCAATTGCCGTTCCTACACGGATGTTGTGGCCGGTGTAATGCACGTGTCAACCTCGCGTGCATTGAATTTAAATCGGAACGCGCGTGCAGCGACATTTCAATGTGTCGACTCTTGTAATCCCTAAGAAAATTACGACAGTCATGCTATACAATTTGATGGGTTGTTATTACACGTTTTACGTACATCTTAACTCACAATGCATATATTTTACAACTTCGCATATATTTTAATTTGGAGAATTAAGTTTGAAATTTTCAAGTTTCTCAAAAATTTAATTACATAATTTATTTATTTCTAATTAAATAAACTTCAAAATTTCCAAAATCCAGAATGCTTAAATTAAAAAATTTCCAATTCCTTAGATTCCCAATTCCCTAGATTTCCAATTCCCAAGATCACAATTCCCTAGATTCCCAATTTCCAAGATCTCAATTCCCTAGATTTCCAACTTCCAAGATCACAATTCCCTACATTTCCAATTCCCAAGATCCCAATTCTCAGGGTCTCAATTCCCTAGATTTCCAATTCTTTATTCCCAATTCTCTAGGTTTCCAATTCCCAAGATCACAATTCCCTAGATTTCCAATTCCCAAGATCACATTTCCCTAGATTTCCAACTCCCAAGATCACAATTCCCTAGATTTCCAATTCCCAAGATCCCAATTCCCTAGATTCCCCATTCTCAAGGTCTCAATTCTCTAGATTTCCAATTCTTTAAATTCCCAATTCCCTAGATTTCCCATTCGCAAGATCACAATTCCCTAGATTTCCAATTCTCTAGATTCCCACTTCTCTACATTTCCAATTTCCTAGATTCCGAAATTCTCAAATCCCCAAATCCCCAAATCCTCTTATCCCCAAATTCCAAAGTACCCCAATGTCAAAATTTCCAAATCCCCAAATCCCCAAATCCCCAAATCCCTAAATCCCTAAATCCCCACATCCCCAAATCCCCAAATTTCCAAATTCCCAAATCTCCAAATCCCAATATCCCCAAATCCCTAAATTTAAAAATACTTGAATCTGTCCGATTTCCAACTAAACAACCCCTAAATTCCCAAATTCCCAAATCCTCAAACCCACAAATTCCTAAATCCTCAGACTCCAAATTCCTGAAACCTGACATCTCTAAACTCCCAAAGTAAGAACTATTCATATTCAAATAACTAAACTTCCGTGATAAACTTAGCACATAACTTTCCTCACAAAAAGATCTCTTGATCCCTGATCCTCCGAGCACTCAGTGCAAACGATCGGCGGCCATCTTGAATATTCATGGACAGTGGACGCTTTCCAGATTTATATTCATGAAAGTTCCAAAACGCTTACGATTTTGCTAGAATACGTTTGAAACCATTTTCTTCGAGAAAACTATCGCCTATTTCGTCGCACTTGAAATATAATATCGCATCGAACTATTCGATTCTTCGCGAAACGCGAAAGTTCGGAAAGAGGACCCCTTTATTCGATGAAATGGGACTAGGCAACGAAACGAAGCGGCGACAGACGAGAAAATTGCACGAAAGCGCTTGTTTGCAAAGAAATTAGGAAAACTCAATTTACCCGCCACGTAGGAGCACGCTGTCGACGAGAGTCGCGTAATCTAGCAGCGTGGTACACGATGAAAAGGAAACAGGTTGCCGAACGCGTTTTCGACCACTTGACGAGCTGTCACTGTTGTTAATACCTTGTTCATTGCGGTTGACAATATGTGGATTATTTCTGTCTCGTTTTAACGAAGAGACCTATTGTGAGCTGATAAATTTCCCGTATGGGTTTAATTCTGTCATTTCAAATTACCTGTTTGGAAACATAGATGGTTCATTCGATTATGCGTATAAATAATATTTGTCACGTTTCATACAATTTGATCATTTAAAAGTACCTTAAAATTATGATACATCAATTTAAAATTTAATGAGTGAAGAAAATGGCTGCTTAAGGTACATGTTCTTAAAACAAAATGGCTGCTGGCCAATTTAGGAGGTTATGGTCAATTTCGATATATGGAGCTTCATATACAATTTCATGACATAAAAGTACGTCAAAATGAAGCTTGTAGTATATCAACTTAAAGCTTGAAGACTAAAACAAAATGGCTGCTTGCCAATTTAGGAGGTTATGGTCAATTTCGATATATGGAGCTTCATATACAATTTCATGACATAAAGTATATCAAAATGGAGTTTGTATATCAACTTAAAGCTTGAAGACTAAAACAAAATGGCTGCTTGCCAATTATAGAAGGTTATGATCAATTTCGATATATGAAGTGACATATACAATTTCATGACATAAAAGTATATCAAAATGGAGCTTGTAGTATATCAACTTAAAGCTTTAAGACTAAAACAAAATGGCTGCTTGCCAATTTAGGAGGTTATGATCAATTTCGATATATGGAGTGACATATACAATTTCATGACATAAAAGTGTATCAAAATGGAGTTTATAGTATATCGACTTAAAGCTTTAAGACTAAAACAAAATGGCTGCTTGCCAATTTAGGAGGTCATGATCAATTTCGATATATGGAGCTTCATATACAATTTCATAACATAAAAGTGTATCAAAATGGAGCTTGTATATCAACTTAAAGCTTGAAGACTAAGACAAAATGGCTGCTCAAATCTTTCATAGATACACTTGGTATAAATGCCTATATTATTAGTGTAATTTATATTAAACACTAAAATTTTAATTATCTTCTTTGCAAAATATAGACGTTTCGTTAAGAGGTCATGATCAATTTCGATATATGGAGCTTCATATACAATTTCATAACATAAAAGTGTATCAAAATGGAGCTTGTATATCAACTTAAAGCTTGAAGACTAAGACAAAATGGCTGCTCAAATCTTTCATAGATACACTTGGTATAAATGCCTATATTATTAGTGTAATTTATATTAAACACTAAAATTTTAATTATCTTCTTTGCAAAATATAGACGTTTCGTTATGAAGAATGCAGAACTTTAATTAATTAATTTTCTTTGTAACTAATCTTGTATTGTTTCTTCTGTTACAGTACGTGTTCGTGGTGATGCTAGTATTCGTACTGGAAGCTGGTGTCGGTGCTCTGGCACGACTTTACGAGGAACAAGTCGGTCCCGAATTGAAGATGAATCTTAATCGTACTTTCCTTGAGAATTATTCGGTTAGGAGCAGGGAAACTAACGCGATCGATCAAATGCAAACAGAGGTGAGTATTGACAGATGAAACAAGGTTTCAGATTTCACACTTTACCTAAGATAACATATCAAGACTATGGCTTTTGGAAATTTGAAGATTCTAAAGTTTCAGGATTTGAGAATTCTAGGATTTCGAAAGAGGGTCTATTTGGAAATTTAAGAAATCAGAAATTAGAAGCGTGGAAATTTAAAAATTCGGACTTCTAAAAATTTGGAAGTTTTCAAAAATTTGAAGTTCTCAAATTAAAAAAATTACTTAAAAATTTGAAAATTCATATATTTGAAAGTACCTAATATATCCAACAATTAGCCTTCTAACAAACCTGTTTAGAATCAGTTATAACCCAGACTTGTATACATCACTACTTCAGCCACAAACAAGCTTCATAAAAAGAAAATAAAAAGAAGGATAAAATTCAATTTCCTCGGTACCAAAATGAAGACGGAATAGACTACGATAAAATTCAGGGAGTAATTAGCAGACAGCAACGTGTGAAATGGAACACATTAATCAAGATATCCAGAGCAAGTACGATCTTGCTGAAACGTTTCTTCTTTTTTCGCGTAGTCTTTCGACGCAAAAGACGTCGTTAAATTTCGTTCTACGTGAAATGGCTAGCTCACGTGGCCACGATATCTCTTCACCATTTTTCATTGCGCCATACCAAGACCACCGATGCCACTGTTACGAGTACTTTACGACGGCAAATCATCGTTATCGTGTCGGAGAGCGTTCCTGGTTCGTCCTACACGAATCGATTAATGTCCCCGCGGCTCCTTTCATCGACCCGTTTTCTCCTGTTGTGTCGTCCACGTTCCAGGAACTCGGATGTTCCTCTCAAGATGCATCGAGTGCATCCACTTGACGTGGCCGTTTCTGATTACTGAAATAGAGATTTCTCTCTGAACCGTAGTCGCAAACGATTCATGTAATTCCTCTTTTCATTCGGATCTGGATTGCGGATGTTTATACGTTTCGAATACATTTAAGTTCACGATGTATACAAATATAGCTGTTATATCTAGTATTATCTAAACAAGTTAACACTAGGTTTACGGACATTTCTTATACACCTAGACATTTCTTGTATACCTACTTCTACGAACACAATTTGATGCATGAATACATATATTTAAAGAAAAACAACCACTGGAAAGCTATATGTATAATTAAACACTACAAGAAATGAAAATATGGGGATTTATAGAAAGTTTTTATTATTCAATAATATTTTAGTACGTTAGTTCAATATTCTACATTCATATTTTCACTTCCCTCTACCCTGCGAACTGCGATTTGCACTGCGACGCCGGGTCCGAACCCGGCATACCGGCTGCGACTCCGGACTAGCGAAGTCCGTCGTTTATAAGGTAATATCGGTGCACTCATATTTATTACTGTTGTAATTTTTGCTTGGGCAAAAATTTATTAAAAATTTTATTTACATTACGATCGCGTGAAATTGACGCACATCCATAGAGATAGGTATACCACAAATTTCAATATTTCAAAGCTTCTGAAGAAAATAGACTTCAATATTTACCTCGTTCAATGGATAGGTCAGCACAAGATAAAATAAAAATGCAAACGGTTTTTGTAATTTTCGAAATGCGTTAAAATGACCACCCGTAAACCCGGTGTCAAACATTGTATTTTCACCTAGTAATTTAACTCGTAATCAACCCTCAACATCATTTATCTTCGGAATTAAACGATCGTTCACGAGTTCAAGAGGGTTAATCTGACATCTCACTTAATGTTTCAGTATATCTGATATCTCTGGAAAACATGATCTCTCGTTGAATTTCCAGTTCAAATGCTGCGGCGCCCTGAGATTCGAGGACTGGCTGGTGAGCGAATGGCACAAGGACGAGGAAGTCCTTCGAGAGGGGAGGCTTGTTCCCGATAGCTGTTGCAAAACGCAAACCTTCCATTGCGGGAAACGGGATCATCCGTCGAACATCCATTATACGGTATTTATTTCTTTAGACTTTTATCAAGATTTATGAAATTCTTATATGGTTACAAGAGGTTTAGGAATTAACAATCTGTGAATATGGAAATTTAGGGACGTGGAGGACGAAAGATATAGACAGTTTGGGGTGAAATTGAAATTTAGGAATTTTTGAGGTGTTGAAATCTGAGGGTATAGAAATTTTTAGAGTGGAAGATTTTGAGATTATAGGAATATCGAGGGTGAAAGATTTTAAGAATGTAAGAATTTTGAGGGTGATCAGGTATGTAGGAATTTGGGGAGATCCAGAAATATAGGAATCTAAGGAAAAAATAGAAGTATGGGAATTTAGGAGTATAGGAATTTAGAAGTATACGAATCTAAGAGTATAGAAATCTTGAAGTGCAGGTATTTGAGAGTATAGCAACCTAGAAGTATAGGAATTTAAGAGTGTAAGAATCTAGGAATTTAGGAATCTAGGAATATAAAAATCTTGAAGTATATAAATCTAAGAGTATAGAAATCTAAATGTGTAAGACCTTCAAAAATATATCCTAGAGATATAGAAATGTAAAAATCTGACAGATGTAAAAATCTAAAATATAAAAACCTCCTAACATTGAAATACACATCCCAATATAGTACACAAATGTTCGATACCTTTTTGCATAAAAATTCCAATTTAACCCAAGAATCAATTTATCCAACTAAGAAGCTAACAATGACATTAATCAGTTACCGAAACCCAATTTATTTAGGGTTGCATCTACAAGTTCCTGGAAACAACAAAGGATCACTTGATCATCGTGGGCGCAGTGGGACTAGGTCTGTCAGTGCTTGAATTATTCGGCATCGTTCTTGGATCCTGCCTTTACATCAAGCTCAGACACGATTTCGACGACTGAGGATTGCTTGAAATTCGCGAGAGCAACAACAACGGCCGTTCCTGGTGCAGATACATGCAGAACGACACGGGAACCGTTTGATCGTTAGAGCGGAAGCGAAGAGGAGCAGCCATCCAAAGGGATCCACGTCTTCCGTCGTTCGCCGTTCAGGATTTCCTCCGTTTCTGATTCTCCTGCAGCCGCTCTCAAAGGATTACTGCAGCATTCCTGCCTCGATTCTTTTCCTTCGATGAATTTTACAGAGCGCGGTCGAGGAACGTGATGCGAACGGACACCGGTTATCCATCGAATATTAAAACGTTTTATTAATATTTTGCAGTTTCAATTCGTCTATTATTCTTCGTTACAAGTATGCTAAATACAGTGTGCAATTCGTGTATCTAGTCGAACATAAAATCATTAAAATTCTCGAGAACATCTCCATATTTTATAGGGAAGAAAATTGTTAAAATATGTAAAGTATAATGTTTCTTTTCAGAAGACTTTGCGTACTTTCACGATCGCTTTAACGAGTAAAATGAGCTTTCGAATTGTATTCCTTTGATACTCCAGCTACGTTTCATAGCTTGCTTTCACCTGCATTTATCGTGTGCCATATTGCGTTTACTGTAACAATCGAAATTTAGCGAGTATTTTTGGAATACTTCAGCCTTGTTCGCATCACGTTTTTCGCCGCATCCGGAGGGTCCCAAAGAAAGGAAACACTTGGAGAAAAAAAAATCGTGCGTGAATTCGAGTCACCGCAGCGATTATTCCTACAATGGGTCTCTCTTTTCTTCCTGGCTTCCGCAGGAATCAAAGAGAGTTAACAAGCGAAAAAAACGCCAAGTTACCAAGATATTGAGATTCGAGGAGAAACGGGGATGAATGAGAACTCGTTTCTGTCGCGCAGGACACAGGACTTCCTTTCGTCTCTTTGATCGGTCGAGGGAAAACGGAGAGACGGTGAAAAGTGTCCGGATGAATTTCAATGAATCGACCACCGCCCCGAGAAGGGACGCTCGTTATTGTACCCATGACGATTTTAGAGAAAACGTTTTTAACGAAGATCCTTTTTGATCGATTCCGGGAGCTTGTCAGCTCCTTTTCGCGGTTGAAACGATCGGTCGAGCTATACTTGATCCATGATCGAGTATCTTACCGTATCTTCCCGTATCTTCTTTCGTTTGGAAAGAAAGCTTCGTCTTCGAAGACGTTCGCTCGCGACAGATGATCTCTGCTATGTTAAACATACTCGGTTTCACTGTCGACGACGTTTCTCCCGCACAAATCGCGCTGTCTCTTTGTATACTGCCGTTATAAAACCGCACAAATGTTTCTACAAATATATTTCGACGTATTTGTTCAGATGAGGTCGTTTGGAGATAGAAAATGTTTACGCGATGGGAGGTGTAATTAGAAAATGTTTAATGGAACAATTTTGGAAATAGAAGCGGTTACTGTATCGACAAGTATTAGATTACGTGTTAAACTGCCATACACTTCTACACGTATTTCCGAAAAAAATTCGACAAGTTTTCACGAATTTATCTTCAAAATATTTAATAGATTTGTACAGTACATCTGTAACTATTATTTCATTCTTGCAAAAAATTACAGAAGTATCTTAGAACAGTTATTTCGCCACGCTGTGCAACAGAAACGTTAGCATTAAGTCAGTAGTATCACGATGACAGTGGTAAAAGCCGCTCCGGGGACAAACAGACCCCATTTGTCGATTAAAACGGACCACTCAATCGTCCTGAGATTTTAAAGAAAAGGAAGAAACGAGGAAAAAAAGATTCGAGTAGCCACAGGAGGATCGCGTTCACGAATATTTTATACTCTATTCAAAATGAAGGTGAATCTTACGCGTCGAAAAAGGATTGCAACATTGACGAACTCGAACAGAACTGTAAAAACAGTGCCTTGATGACTAGCGTTAAGTCAAGAGATATTTTAAATTATGAACGGTGTAAAGAGAGGATGCATTAACATTGTAAATGTACGTACAGTATTTATCTATTTATCTATTGCTTCGCTGATCGACACGATCTTTTCGCGCATTATTTATGAACAATCGCTACGTTTGTCGTACAACGAAAGAAATAATTATAAACGTGTGCGTTGCCTCGACGATTGCACGCGTATTGCATGTACAAATTCTACTGTTCGTTAACCTCGTCGATTTTTACCTAACAATTATTTTCCGCGATCGTTGGATCAATGTTACACCAGACAAAGTTTAAGGGACACATATTTTACTATCACGCCACGGCGTTATACATGTTATTTTATTCTTAACGTTATTGTCTTCTTTATTGATATCACGTGTACATGTACTGTCTGTTAGAGTTTAGAAACTTTATAAATATTGTACATATCAGACACCCTATTCTGTTACGAATAAAGAACTGAAATCGTACCGTGATGTATTCCCGAGTCAAAAGAAACGAAGAAAATCGTACAAAAATAACTGAAGATCGATTGAAGCAACGAGTGGATAAAGGTGTCATCAAGTCTTCACATCAATTTAGTTCCAAATATTTGTGGTATGACACCTTTACTCGCTCGTTTCTTCAATTTTGTATTTTCTCTTATTGTCCAGATTCGTCGTTCGCATATTTCTCCATGGACAGTAAGTATATCAGAAACGCGTCGTCTTTGGTGCCAAGAGAAACGAACAACCAGGAGAATACTGCGAGCATATCTTTCGACATCGATATCTTATGCCAACTGTTCAAATCATCTAGAATAGTCTGAATGTCGGTGACCTAAAACAAAATTAGTTAACACAAGATGAGAGAAGCTTTGTTTCTGCTTACGTTTTCCCACAGGCTATCATTTGAATTATAATAGCGTGCCAAGCTCAGTTGATTGTCGGTCTTCGCGCAGACTTGATGAAGACAGAATGTAATCAAGTACAAAGGAACCGCGATTACGGCTTTGCTGTAGTCGAGGTAGATCTCGCGGAGATGCTCCATGTCGAATCGTGCCAGATCGAATCTAAATTAGTAGTGGAAATTTAAATTATCTTCATAATCACAATTAAAAGTAGAAGAGTCTTAAATGCATTGCAAATTTGAAAATTTAGTGTAATAAAAGCCTACGGTATTTAACTCTAATATTCTTTGTTATTTTATAAAATCTGACACGCATAAATTTAACATAAAACATAATCATACTTATCAAAACTCGACACGATACACAATGTGACGAGAAGAGAAAAGATACTCGCGTAAATCTCACTGATCATCGAATATTCAGCAACGAATTCCATGGAAGCATCAAAGAATATATGCAACTGAAAGACAGAACTGTGTAAGAGAAATAAACAAACGTATAAAGAAAATTAATGTGAAGATGTACCATTATAAAATGCATGAGAGCCATACCACCCAGAAGACCTTGATACACAAGACCAGTTTTTTTCCAAAACTTTTGAATCAACACAGCTATTCTTATAGGCGGAGAACCTTGATTTTCAACGATATCGCTTCCTATGTCTTGCTTCTCTCTTCTTCGAGAATCTCTTGATTGATTGATTTTCATAGCACTGAAACCATCTCTGTGTTGCACGTAAATCTTATCCGTCGTTAGTACCGGAAACGGTGGTTGCTGCTCGTATTTCGTTCGAGCATTTTCCTGGGATCTTCGCAGAATCTCCGTAATTGGCAGTTCATTGTCCTCTGCGTAACGAAGAGGTTTTAAAGAGGAAAAATAGAAAAATAAATTTAGAAGTGGAAAATTGTCCTTTCTTCTTTTAATGTTTAAACCAGGCTATTATATCCTTGTTAACAGATAACTTTACCTCGAAATCTTCGCTGTTTTCGTTTCGGATGTTCTCCGTCTCCTTCACCATTATCCTCCTCAGTCGATTCTGAAGTAGACGTTTCCTTCCGTTTCTCATTTTCCGACTCTTCAGAATCGCTCTTCCGTTTCGTATGCCGGTCATATCTTTCTTTCCTCTTTTCAGTTCTACGACTATTCTGAGACTTGTCTCGACCAGCTTTATGTCTCTGTAATCTTCTTTCATCTGGAGACGGTTCTACATCGTCAACCTTTCCTCGAGCATGTCGCGGAGACCTGTTGATTTGCTCCAAATCCGACCACCTGCTTCTCAAAGGTGTGCTGGTGCTTTTCGCAGGTGGCGAATACTCGATGCTGTTGGTAGGCGACGAAGATTCTTCGGAACTGGAGGGATCGTTCCTCTTAGAAATCGTCTCCATAGTACTCCATCGTCTGGAGAGTCTTTCGCGAGGACGACTCATTTTACCGTCTCACCGATCACGTAAAAACATTTAATCGTTTCTATACCGCGATTGCACAATGTCATATTTAACGCATCCACCCTTTGCATTGCATTTGATGAGACGGTGAAAATAACAGTCACTCGAGACAGTTCTGTCGTGCATAAATAGAGGAACGTATCCATAGTAACGCTTTGTTGTCAGTCTTCAATACACCGCCGACGAGTGTTTCGGGTAAATCGATAATTCGTAATAGCACAAAGTGTTGGGCTATCGTCTGTGACCGTTTGAAATAGTTATATCTCTGCCAATTGTTGAGCAATACATTCGTTTGATTGCACTGGGTGCAATTGTGTTTGCATTTTATGTTCGGAGGATTACAAAGAAGAGAACACAGTAATCGTTTTATAAATAGGACATTCGAACTTTACTTTATTTCTCTTTTTGATCTATAAATGAAACACATATACTACATATATGTATATAAATAGTAAGCTTGTAGTGCTATATATATTAAATATGTATGTATGTATTTACATCGTGTATCACGTTTACCTTTGTACTTTGTACAAAAGTGTTTACAATATTTCCAAGTCGCAATGTCGTATCTCTGGATACTTTTTCTGCAATTATAAAGAAGTGTTAAGGAACGAAAATATCAGAATATATTGATATATTTTAAATAAACCTGACAGCACCTTCAATTTTCGTTCCATTCGGTCTATTTCTCCACCTACGGTATCAACGATACCTTCACCATGTTTCAACACGAACACTTCCACCTCATCAATGTCGTTTATTCCCTTTATTTCCTGTAAATGAAAGTGTCGTTAATATGACGTACCCTTTCTGTTTCATTTTTAGCTCGTTTCATTACCTTCAACATGTCATTTAGGTCATGCTTCTCCAAATAGAATCTCGTCAATTCTCTTCCGTCGATATCTATTTCAGCTTTGTATCGAACTAAATTATTGCCCATATCAATACCTTTAACATCATGAATTGCTCGAACCTAATATAATGCATGGTATAACCTAATATATAATCAATTGCAAAGAAAATGTTCACTTTCATAATAATGATCATGCAACTGAATCACATTACCATTATATCCGATTCTAATTCCATATTGATCTTATCAAGACTATCCTGAGGTATACTTCTTCCAATTAAAGCAGTAACATTTGTATAAATTATAAAAACTGCAACACCACCAAGGAGACCACCAACTAAAAGAGATCCAATGGCATCATACATTGGATTTCCGAGAAGAGAAGTTAAAGCCATACAGCTACCAGCGAGACCAATACTTAATACCTATTAAATTTTTAGCAGTCTTTAATTTTTAACAAAATCGCTATCCATTTCTTTATTAAATACCTACAGCTGCAAAATCTTCCATGAGGACAACATTTACAGATGGATCTAGCCCTCCAAATACGTATTCCTTAAACGACAGTTGCTTCTCATCTGCCCCTTTTTTAATCGACTGTAATGCTACTAATAATGTCGCTCCCTCGGATACCAAGGAACCCATTAAGGTGTAATACGCCCAATAGAAAGAATCTATTTGTTCCGTAGGAAACATAAGACCGTGAATACCATGATAAAACGATAAACCAGTACCCACACAAAAGATACCAACGCCAGATATTAAAGAAGAAACGTATCTCATATTTGTATAACCATATGGATGATCAGGATTAGGAGTCTGAAATATTTTGAATAAATATTAGAATCCCGATATTTCTTTTTCACTTCAAAATTACGCACCTGTACTGATTTATAAATACCGTACGCTAATATTAATTGATTGACTGTATCCGCTGCCGAGTGTATGCACTCAGAGAACATACTATGTGATCCTGTATATAGCCACGCGCATAATTTGAACAAGAAATTACTGCCATTTCTACAGAAATTCAAAGAGAGATTTCAGTACATAGACAAGAAAGTTTCTTCAAATAAATATCGAAAACAAAACTTACATAATAATTGCAGTTAAAACTACTTTACCAGACCTTCCAAAAAGGCCCTCTTGTGGAACGACATCTGCTTTGCTGCCCATTTCTCGTCTGTAATCTCTCAGTCTTCGTTTAACAGTAAATATGTCTATAAAGTAATTAACAAAAAAGTATTAGAAACAATTATTCTGAGTTTCATGTAACAATAAAAAGCTATTATTTTTACTCTGCTGATGAGCTTTCTGTTCAAGTTCATTCCTCAGACGTTCTTTAAGTAGTGCTTCCTTTGATCCCCAAACTTCCAATGCTCTAAAAAGAAATAAAACTTATTAAGCAATATTATTATGAATGTTATTGCATAGTTATATTATTATGTCTTATTTAAAATGCTTTACTTTGCTTCAACATCCTTTCTCCAATATACAGTAATCGGTGGTTCAAATTCATATGGGGATCTTCTTTTGGTTTTTGGTAAATCTTCAAGATCAGAGGGCTTCAGTAAAAAATCAGACATAGCTCTAACAGGAGTAATAAAGTTACGTTCTAGGGAAGATGCACTTTTATCCATTTTACTTCTTTTTTTGGCTAAAAATAAAAAAACTTAAATTCATGTATCATTATTCGAACACAAAGTATGAAACCTTTGTTATCACAAAGTTATTTATACCTGATGGTTTTTCTTTCTTACTCTGATTATCATCAGAGGAAGCATTAGATTCAACATCTAATTTTCTCTCTTTTAATTGTCCTAAATTTTCTGCTTTCAATTCTATTATTTTTTGTACATCGCCACTTGTTTTGTCACCTACATTTCCTGACTCTTCTTTTTGTACTCTTGTAATAACAGAAATTGACCTTGACATTGTAAGAAACAACCATTTTAATTCGTTTAGATTATTTATTTTGCTTTTACTAAAAACCTTCTGAGAATTATCAGCTATGTGTAACTTGCATCTTGCACCGTGGTTGCACGTTATTAAGGTACTGGCATGTCTCTTTGTATATACTTCTTGAAAAATGGATAAATAGTCTTTATTATTGTGGCTAATATTTCGAAGAAACCTCGAAAGGTATAGACTTCTATGTAACATATTTCAATACTTTTTTGCCGGTAGATATGGAGGAGGGCTCAATGTTATTAAGTGTTGTATACTGTTTAACCTATGCAAAAACAATCACCATTTAAGTACTTCAGTAAATAATAATTATCTCATAGATTTTATTGTAGCAAGTATTTTTAAATGAAATATCAGGCTCGAATTGTTATAAAATAAAAGTACTTTGAAAAAGAATATACAAAATGAAAAAAATATACTTCGAAAATTTTCTTTACCTTTTTTAATGTTCGTTTTAGTTTATAAAATAGTATACATTGTTTAACTTGTAAAATAGTATGTTCAGTACTAAACTATATTATAAATTATATTTCGATAATCCTTCGAGCTGTCAAAATACTCAATTACTGACCGGCATTAGTAAGGTAATAAAGCTATCAGTATCGGCATCGATAAAAATATTCTACTTTTATCGACGTGGTTGTAGTGTTGGTACTTTATAATCTTGCAAGCCCTACTCAGGTTAGGCAGTTGCAGCGCATGTGCAATAATAGTCCTCAGTACAATATATACTGTCCTGAAATATAAGGCATCATTAGACCCCAATAAGAAAAAAAATCTAAAGGAAATTGCAGGAAGGAAAAGAAAAGGGCTAAATAAAAAAACAGATTATATTTAATAAAAATGACATTAAATTTATTTATTATTATTACTATTTTTTACATTTGCAGCAAATATGTATTTATTTATTATATGAATATCTTATCACTGCGTGTACCGGCTAGGTACGATAATGGTAGCAGACGGTGTTCAGCTGTGACACAGCTAACACATGCGCACAAAGCACTCACGCGAGATAAAATCTCATGACTGCTCAACATTATCCCTACTGTGTTTATAAAGTCTGATATAATGATATACTTTGGAACCTATAAACATCTATGTATATAAAATTATTTTTGCGTTCCATAACAAAACTGTCACTAGTTATGTAATTTGTTACTAATATTAATAATAAAACGTTAATAATGTAATAACTTAAATGTGATAACATAGTATTTTGGTGTCATCTAACGAGAGATTTTATTGTTATTGATATTGTTAGGACCTCGATTGTCATACAACACTATAGCCATATAGCGGTAGAATGTTAGTACTAATGGAAAAATTGTACTAATATATCGAGCGGAAAATATCAAATTATTTTTTAAATTGACCGCTTGGTGCAGCACTTTACAGAAGTCCCCTAAAAATCTGGTTTAAGCGCCCCCTGTTCCTCTTTGGCAGATGCATCAAACCTTATTAGTCCATCAGATTATGAATTCGATGGGGTCTATATTTTTTAAACTTAAATACTGAATGGATCATCGTGATTCTAATAATAAGAATCTGTATTACTTCTTAAAATTTAAGTATTATAAGATAGTCCAAGTCAAATCGAAATTTAGAAATTTTCAAATTGAGAATTTTGGGATTTCAAAAATGTTTACTTAGCAAATTTAAATTTTTAGAATTGTACAAAATAATATATGAAAGAGAGTCCCATTCGTACAGCCCATTACACAATTTTTATTTCTACAACCCTGTTTAAGGTCATATAACAAAACTTCACCGCATTTATGTCAAGAAAATGAAAAATAGTAATCTGATTTATATTGTATCGACAACCAATTTTAATTACATATAAATCTTGTATAAAAAATAATGCATAGTTATTCTTTATTAAAGTTATAAATTGACACTGTACCTCTCCGTGCAAAAACATAAGGAAATGGACGATGATTTATAATTTTGTTAATTATAATAAAAAAAGTGTTACAATAAATTATTTTCATAGATGTTGTGTACGACATATACTTGATTCAAATTTTGTTTAATAACATGTCAAATTAGCATTTAAAAATGGCTGCAAGTCACGAAGCAACTAAACAGTGATTTCGGGATTACAATCGATACACTCTTGTAATCATCGTAATAAATGCGTCAATGGCCTAACTTATTTATAGTATCTAATTCTTTTTATTAACTTGCCAAGTATTTTGACGTAAGAGTCTCGTGGATACCGATTCATACTTTTACATTTGTTCCTTGTGCGTAAAGTACGTCGGGACGATTACTGATTCAGTTCGTACATTATTTATTTAAAATGCAACATTTTGTACGATCGACTCTGTAATACTTGCAGGTAATTAGCGTTTTTCTGTCTTTATAAAATTATGTTTATTTAATAATGACGTATCGTGATAGTTGTGCAGCGAGGTTAACTGTGAGAAAGTCAACGAACAGAGAATATTTTTTCAACGGTGTAAGAATATTTTATACAAAGAACATGTCGCCGGGTGTTAACGATGGTCCTCGCAATACAGGCACACTTCCAAAAAGCAATAGAAGAAATGATAGAAACAGAGAACGGTCAGCAGCTAATCAATTTGCAAACTGTTCTTCTTATCATGGACATGCACACCATTCTAACAATTTGGTAAAATAATTACAAAATTTGAATGTTTTTTATTATTTTTTTTTACATTAAAATATGTAACAGTATTTATCAAATAATACTTTTTAAAGAATCAAAGATTTCATTTCTTATAAAACTTGATACATTTTTTTATGATTTGACCTATATATTATTACTTAAAAATATAAGAGATATTTTATTGTTCCACGGTATTCAGTATTTTATGCATCTAAGGATATTACTAAATTTAATGTAATTTGAACTTTCTAAATGAAAACTATATACAGCATTCTGTATATAGTAGTTCAAAAGATAATCTATTAATAGGTAGCTGAATAGTGGGGAAGTTCTCTCTAAGAATACGTATCCAGATACAATCCTACCTTGAAGCAGTAGAGTGTTGCAGTGTTTCACTCATTATTTCTCTATAAAGTAATGTTATTTTCCTGTGTATCCACTAACTGTTTTTGTTTTATAAATTACATGGAATAGTATCAATTGGATTGGAAACCAGTTGGTGAACGAAAACATCTGAGGATAACAAAAAACAGTAACACAAGATCAGTTGCATCGATCCCATCTACATCTTATCAAGATATATCTGAATTTTGTATGTATTGAATTATTAATATTTTTATATATTTAAAATGTACTAATTATTAACTTAAAAATATTACCATGATAGCAACATATAGTTGTGGGCAACCATATAATTACCGTTTAGAGGAATTTCCACATTGGCAAAAAATGGTCCCTCCCACTGATTCCCAAACTGAACCTCCTACACGAATTCAAGGAACTAAACCTTCTAATGTTGATAAAATGGTATTACATTATATTAAATTTAATATCTGTTATTGTGCTTTGTGTTCCATTAAATAATTTTTTAATGAAATTTTTGTATGATTCTTGCAGCCTGATAGAAGTCAAGTAGAATCTCGTTTAAATCAAATTAGGGACTATATCAGAGTTACATCAACAATGATGGATTCCCTTAATCAATCCAGTGATCCAGTAAGTGTATAAAATGTTACTTATACCTAATATTCTTGCTTTTCATGTAATTGAATTCTTTCCATATTTATATATCTATGTAATTACAATGTAGCGTGCACAAGCTCAAAATGAGAAGTTAAGTAGAATGGTGGAGGATCTTCATGACAGTGAGAGAAAACTAACCAAACTGTTGGAACAATATCAAAATAGTGGAATATTTTATGAGGTTATTGAATTTACTAAGTTTTAGTATATTTAACTGGTTTGAAACTGTTGCATATAATAACTTCTTCTGCATGTTTTTATAATTTCATGGCCTGCATGTCAAATTTTATATATATGAGTTAGTACACACTCAATCGTTCTTTGATACTAACAAATTAAAATATTATTTTTTTAGAATGGAGAAAGTAGTAGGGAGGATACAGAAGAAAATGGCGATGTGAGTAGAGAGATGCAGTTACGAAAAAAAATGGAAGAATCACAGAGAAAACTTGCACAACTACAGGAACATCAAGCTAGTTTAGTTGGAATGCAGTTACGTGTTAGAGAAAGATTAAACGAAGCTCGACAAGCTCAACAAGCTCTTTTACAGCAAGAAAATCAGAATTCAGTTAGTATAGCTGTCCCATTACCTGTGAATGTTGAGCAACTTGAATCTGAAACAGCTGCACTAAGAGGAAAGTTAGCTCAGCTTCAAACCAAGAAGAAAAATATGGATCACCTTGTAGCAGAATTGCAAGCTGTAGAAATATCTGACAGAGGCAGTTGTGTTAGTATATTACTTGCTTTAATAAACACTATTTTTACATTTAAATGATTTCGACGTATATCAATATTTTAGAGCTCTGAAGGCTCAAGAAACTTTGGAAGAGATAAAGCTGCTGAATTGGAAGCTATGAAAGCACAGCTTGTTCACTTAAAATCTCTAATGGAAGAAGCAACGAGAGTTCGCGAATGTCTCGATTCTAATTCTGATGCTGAACCCGAAGTAGACGTAAATGGTGACGCTGCGGCTGAAGTAGATACAAACGAAGAAGAAAACGGCCCAAATATTTCGTTTGAACGTCAAAGCGATACCGATGAAATAAATCACGAAAAAACCAGAAACACCGGAGAACGACTAACAGTTGAGGAAATTCAGGTAGCATACAATCTAAATGTGACTGTTAATTACTTGTTGCATACTATTCATGCATAAAATATATTTTATAGGCTGTGACGCGAGAACTTCGAGAACAATCAGCTTTGTTACAATCAACCAGAGCAGAATTGCAGCGATTGAAACAACCTGGAGCTAATTCAAATTCTACATCAATAATTCCTACTTCAACCCCTCCTCCATCACTCACAGCATCAGTCTGTTCTGAGAAAAAACAAAGTAACAATAGCAATTCTGAAGTTCAACCTATGCAAGGAAAACGACGACAAATCGAAGATATTATGCGAAAGGTATTTAATAAAATGTTTCAATACAAAAGTTGTCATATATATAATATATTATCAAAAAATAGGAATCATCTCAAGCATCTAGCATCAATCGCGACATGCCTGGACCAACTGACTTAAATAGCCATAGAAGCTCTAGTTCACAGATTAGTCATAGCAGTACTCCTGCTAACATCTGGCCTCCTCCTACAGTGATAGGTAAATCAAAAGTATCTGTTGTTACTTGTTACCTCACTGATTCTAAAATTATATTTTAACGTTCAGGAGGATCTAACGATCAAAGCGTTGATGGTGTATCTTCAGAAAATTTAATGGATATCGGTCCTCATACCACAGCAATTGAAAATGGATTTACTGGAAACTGGTGGGCATATCCGCCACCTCCGTTAAATCAGTTACAACATGGTAAAATTAAATATGCAATAAAAAATACTGACAGCTTTAGGAGGTAGTTACAGAAGACAGTAAATTATGAATGTTACTTCCAGGTTCGGCTGAGTATTATCGTCAATTATTATTGGGTTCTCAAACTCAACAGCTTCAAATGATGGGTACAACAATACAGCAATGTTGTCAATTACTATGGTCTCAACAACGTGAATTACAAGCTATGCGCGCCGCTATTACTCAATTACAACAACATCTAAGACAACCACAGATACAACAGCGAAGTAATAATGAAAACAACGATGAATATTCCAATTTAGGCCGTAACATCCATCATCTTAGCGAAACACTAGACTCCGCGTTACCACCAAGTTCATCCCTACCAAATTTGGTGTCATTACCGAATTCTTCTCCTGCTGCAGTGTCTTCCGTTAATTCTCAACATCAACAACAACAATTGAATAATCAAGTACCTCCTGGAAATAGGGCAAACAACTACTGGGATAATTTCAGAAGGTAATGGAATATATCTATACGTTCATTGACATGATTACTTGTCCTACAACAGTGGAAATGTTGTATACATTGGTACAATAATATCACGTATCGAAAACGAGTTTCTGAATCGTATAATCATTTTAATGCAAAAATGTATTCGATAAAAGTATAAAGTATGATTTGTTTTGTGATTTATAAAAGTTGATTTTACAGATATTGGATTATTAAAACAATCAATGTTTTCTTTTTAATTAGTTGGTATTTAAAAAAAAAAAAGAAGTTTTCTATCAATTTAGGTATTTTATAATCGGTAGATCGTGCACATCCATCTTGCATTTTTGTGTAAACCTAATGTATCATTTCATAAAGTAATAAACTTCACGGTCTATCTGTGCACTATTCTGTCTTGTACTTGTTACTTTATTGCTACCCTTGTTTAAGCCATTTCGCACATAAAATCTGTATTCATTTAGTTCTATAGACCAAAGGTTAGTGAATATGAATCTAAATGAGGATAGTATTTTGGTACGTAAATCAAGGGTATGTAGCACAATATATTTGAAACAGTTTGATTTTGACTAACACATAGAATCAGCAATAACCACAGCTTTAGCTTTTTGTGCGATTTGAATTTTTTTTTACAAAATGAGCCTCGTATTAAACAAAATCCCATTACTTCATCTTTCACATCACTACCTTCAGCATGGTATGAATACTTCAAAAATAACATTGCGTTACAATTGACAAATTTTTTTGCATTTTCAGTTACTCCAGACAAAACTTACTCTCGGGAAATGTAAAAACAATGACCGATATTACTTCAGGAGCTATTGCAAATGCATCTGGAAATTCTGTGTCCAGTGTTAATACTACACTTATGTATGTAATTTTATTAACTATTGAATTCGTAAGAAGTAGGCTTATATTTTAATATATTACACATTTGAACCGAAGGAAAGATAAACGCAACAGGGATCAAGGAAGTGATAATTTACCTTTACCCTCATTGAGTGCAGTGGAAACACAATATTCTTCGAACTTGCAACTACAATCGAATTTACAGCAGCAAGAAAGGGAAAATACGGCTATGCGTAGCAATATCTTAACAAACGAGGTATCTCAGCAACAAGCGGATAATCTTTGGGAAGAAGCGCATTCATCGTTTCGACTATCGTCTGTAATAAACGATGATCATCTGTTTCAAAATTTAAGGTTCACTTCTTTTCTAAGTATAATCGGTTTTGAAAAGAATATAATTAAGAACAGTTGTTTTACATATTATACAGCTCTGAAATGAGAGAAGTTTTGAGTTCGCTCATTTCTATAAATAAAAAACGACCCGACTATTTAGTTATCATACTAAGAGAAATTAAGGCAATAAGCGAGGACCATAGATTACGACCTCGCCTTTTAAGATCACTGCGTTCTTTACAAGATACACAGTCGTTAAGCAATCCATTGGTTTGTATAATATTTAAATATGTTAAACAATACATGTGCATAATTTTTATTATGTTAAATTGTTTACAGAATGAAATAACTGATCAAACAGCGAGTGAAAGTTGTCAATCCAGTGATGAGGATTCTGAAATAGGTGTAGTTTTAGGTATGAGTACAGAAAATCACTCATGTGGAGTAGAATTAGTTGAATTAACTCGACCAGTAACTTCATCTCCTACTGTTCATGTACCACTAATAGATCACTTGGATATGCAGGTAAATGTCATTAATTAATAACATAACATTAAATATTTAATAAAAATATTATTCAACATTTTATATGCTTTTCATAGGGGGCATCTTCAATTGATTCTGCAAGCGCTTTACCTTCCACATCTACTGTGAAACCAGGTTACAATGAAGATCTTGCAGAAGCAGATCAATCCAGACCTGAATCTTCTGGTAATCAACAGGTACTTGATATACATACCTTTCCTAGTTTAATAGTGAAAGAAAACAACTTCATTATAATATTTTTGTTCAGTCTTTTGACAATGAAGAAGAACAAGCCTATGGAGAAGCAGCTGGTCAGATTTTACCTGTACAAGTAATATTTAATGGCGATGGAGATTTAGAAAGTTTAGCTGCAAAAGCTGAGGATGAGAGAAATGAAAATAATTCATTGATATTTTGATATTGAGTTTTTCTAAAAATAATCTCAAATTGCATATGTTCAACAATTCAGTGAACAAATGTATTATACAAGGTTTCATAGTTGTTACGTATGTCTTGCTTAGTTAAAGTGGAATATGTAAAACTTGCCTTTCTTATTGTTCAATGTTCTTTTTGTTTCAAAGCAATAATTTTATTAACATATTATTGAATTGTTAATAATTTAATTGTAAGTGTGGAAATCTTGATAAAGAAAACTTCTTTTTACTTGTAAACGCGTATTATTTAGATTATAATAAAAGCTGTAACTTAGAAAAGTAAGTTATTTATTTTTAACTATTATAATACAGTGCAATGACATACTTATGTAAACGTGCATAATGAATGTACGCTTTGCAATACAAATACAAAAAATATAAACATTAAAAATGATTGTCAATTATCTTACTTAAAATTCTGTCTCAGTACAGTCATTGTCAGTCAGTTGTAACCGATGAAATTGATATACAGAACATCCATGTGTTTCAAATAAAATCTTCTCATATTCAACACTGTTTTCAACCGATTTATGTCCATTATTGGACGATAAATGCTTATAATCTGAATTATTTAACAGATTATGACTACCTGTTGCCCAGCAGCAACTGTTTACAATCATGGATTGCTCCAGATTTTTATTGTTGGTTGTATTTACATGTAATGCCCTTGAGTCATCAAACATCATGGCCGATCCATAGTCCTTTATACTTGGTGTACCACAGTGTACATGGTTGTTACCACCGCCTCTGAAAGGAAACCCATTGCCTTATCAACTAATTTAACTGGATATCTCCTATGTCATCCATTTTGTCAGCAAATTGTGTCCTTACCATTTAAAAAAAGACCAAACTTACTAAGTGTCATTAGTTTATGAAAAAATATTAGCATCCATGCTTTCCATTGCATACCATTATCCATGGTACAGAAGATGACAGGATGCATTAAGCTTCAAAATAAATTTAATGCCAGGACTGGATGAAAATCTCTGTGGTCACATGTAAATATACAACCTTTTTCCCCGTAGGAGGGGAAAATTCAATGCTCATATATATTTTTATATTGATTATTAACAAGTACTATGTTCAGGTGATTTTAAAAAAATGTTTTACTATTTCTAAATTCCAATTTGTTTGATATCTTATATATCTTTCTTATTTTCGGTATATGTAAAAAATTCTCATATATTTCAATGCAATGTAGGCTTCCTTTGAATAAAAACGAATTTAATTTTGACAGATCTAATATGTAAACTTTTTTAATATACTTTCCAAATCCCAAAATTCTAATTCAAAAATTTTCAAATCTCTAAATCCTATAATTTCTAAATTCTGAAATGACTAAATTTTAATAATTTGAATTTAAAAAATTTCAAATATCTAACGTTCCTAAATTTGAATATTAACAAATACAAGAACCTCTCCCCCCTACATCGCCATTTGCACTAGAGAAGCCTATAATGCTTGGCTAATGCAATAAATTTTCTACTATTCGACATAAATACATTGGTCTTGTTACAATAAATATTTTTCCGTGTACAAAAATTCTCCCGCTCAAACGAGAAGAGGGAAGAAAACAACGACCTCTAACAAGATCTATTTGAAGCACATACAAATATGAATTGATGAGGTCGCATTTTTGAGTTACATTTCCACGAACAGAGGATGTAAACAGATTTATTCATTGCGTATGTAAACGAATTGAAAAAAAGAAATTATAAATCCTCTCCTACCTGCCCGAAACTTTTTCAATTCGCTGGCAGGGTTGAGATCACTGTTGCATCGTTTCCGGTTCCTGCGTCGAAGCGTATCCACGCCGTGGTTTGTCTGTTGTTGATGTTGTTGCTGCTTCTCGACAATTTTTAGCCGATTCTGAGCGGATGATTCTGGAATCACGGAATCATTATTCGCGTAGCGAGATGCCATGGAATAATCGTATCCGTCGTCATCGGTTTCCATAGCTGTATCATAGGAACAGCGATTGAATACCGGTGCTTTCGTAATTTCTGTATGTTCAATAGTAGCGTTAAGTTGATTTTCTTTTCTATAAAGCGGCACATAACCATAATACATATTTGACGACAAGAACGACGGAACGACGTTTTTTGCATTATACATAGCATTGCTCGCTACGGCCATATTTACTGCCTTTTTTGTTTAATAAACGATTTTCGATATGAAATTAGATAATATAAAAGTATATAGGTAATTATCACTTGAATATGCGAATTTAATCACGCGATAGAAAGAAAAACATGCAACACTATAGAACGAACACGATGTTGACACTTTCCAAGTAGAGCAACGAATGGAGTTCGGGTCATAAGCCGAATACTCTCGAGCGATGAATCGGCAACGTTCGGCTTTACTCGCTCGATTTACTTCGTTTCTTCAAATCCCCACCAACTTTTATTTCCAACAATCGACCCACACGTGAAAATTTATATCGATTGTGTCAGAATCTGACTCAATCTTTTAAAAATATTTTCGACGGATAATTTTATTTTAAATGAAATAGCAGACTGATGGGAACGGGTTCGAAATGTTTCCCTATGGTTATTGGTACTATGTTGTAATTGGTTCGCACGATTGCATAACAAACGCGAATGAAACAATTCTTTTTTCTAAAAGTATCAAATATATATGTACAATTTAATTTAGTTTTATAAAAAAATAAACTTTGCGGAGTTTGTAAAACATTTTAACAGTTGTTCTTTGAATAAACAAGCGAAGTAAAGCAAGTAGAATATTACAAAAAGAATACTTTATTCAATTAACATCCTCAACGAAGTAATATTAGCGCCATCTTTTCAACACTTATATTTCATTTTTTACTTAAATAAATTATTAACATAAAAATTAATTGTGCGAATAGACAAAAACTTTTTCATTATTTTTTATCCGCTGTTTAATTTTACAAAATTACAGAATTTGACATAATCAACTGCTGTAAAATTAACTTTTTAAACCGTCGATAACTGTGATGTTGTTATCGACGTTACACTAAGATTTAATTATCGACTCCGTTTCAATTCATAACACATTATTAGTCAGTAAAATGTCAGATAATGTTTATCACTGAATAATAGCACACAAAAATGGTGCATTTTTATGTGTCATACAGCTCCATCGTGCACATGCAATAACAAGTGTTGCACTTTTTTTTAACTTGAATTATATGTAACTAATTATTTAATCTTACGTTTGAAAATAAAAATATTCTAAATTTTCTAACAAAGCAACAAGGTTATGAATTTTCAAAAATACATTGGTAAAAACGTATTATTGCAGTAAGTAATATTATTGACTAGATAACTTATCATTTTGTAATTTAAAATTATTATAGTTTTAGTAAAATAATATAATGCATTGTGAAAACAGGTATCAATAAAATGGCAGAAAAATCAGTTGTAGGAGGAATTCCAGTTGAGTGTTTAACTGGAGAATCTGCTGTTATTTGGTCTGGTTGGCGTACATTAGGAGATAGAGAAGTTGTCAGAGAAGCATCGGCAAAAGGCACTCATATTAACCTTGCTCATAAACATTTAGCATATAGGAGAAATTGTTCTATCGATGATGCTCAACAATATTTTAACAATGAAGTAGAAATCTGGATTACAGAACTTTTGAAGAAACGCCAGATTTATAGAGCTTCCCATGTTTTAAATAATATGGTACCTTAAATTTATTTTATTGATATATGTTATTTGTTATTTATGTTTAATGTTGTTCCTTTTATAGAAAAAAGACCCAATTGAATATATATTTAATATTTGTATAAGCTGTAAAGATTCTATGTTAAGGAATTATTTAGCAGAATACTTAATAAGTGTAGAACACTTTGAAACTGAGTATATAAATTCGTGGAATATTATAAAAAGTATTACAGAATTTGAACAAAAGTACATGTAAGAGTTTCTATAGATATACTTTTTTAATTTAAATAGGATTAAAAAGTAATAAATATAATTTTTACAGGATTGAAAATGGTATAAGCACTTCTCTATCTATACAAGATGTTATAAAATTGCCAGAAATTGTGAAACAATCATTATGCACTGAATTATATTTTTCTATCACGAACCATACTCTTTCTACAAACATCACTAATGATGTATTATGGGATTATTTGCTGTCAAATAATAAAATTGAGATGATACAGTTCTGGATTGATAGTTATTATGGCGATAATGTGATGTCAGAATCAATTGATATCAATGATGATTTAAAATCTTTATTTACTTCATTGAATATTACATCAGATATGATTGAATCGATTGATTCCTCAAATGCTAGCTCTCTTGTGAAAGATTTAACTAAAAACCATTTGTGTAGGTATGTCTATTTGTAAAATACTGAGAGAACTCTATATGTTTATATAAGTATTTATTTATTTGTATTCTTAATTTATTAGGAATGGAATATTTGTAGAAAAAGAACGGCAAGATATAAAACTGATGTTAGGTCGTATTTTTAGTAATGCAATGACGCTATCAGAATTTAACAAGGTATTGTTGCATAAGTCTTGTAACATTAATAGGACTGAATTTATGCAAAATGTTGAAAAAGAGTTGTGCCTTGCACATTGTTTAAATGAAACAAGTACTCAAGAAGATAAAGTAAAAATCGGAGAATTGTATGATGCATTGACAAAAATGTGTGAAGGAGAAGAACAATGCGAAGATATGTTGATAGAAGGCATTTTTAAAACAATTCATTATTTCGCGGATGATGTTGATGAATATTTAAAACAAAATTATTTGATAGTTTTGGTATTAATATTTTCGTATTTATCCAAGGAAAGCAAAATAAGTCAAAATAAAAATACAGAAATGAAAGAAAGTATCTTACAAGATATATTTCTGAGTAAAAATAATTTACAATTGGGCAGTTATAGTGTTTCAAATGATGTTCTTCAAAACACATTAAAACACGTTCCACTTCTTGAGCGCGTTGTAGAAAATAAACCCAAAAAGGAAACCACAATGTATGAATTATTAGATGGTTATAAAAATTTAAATACCAAGCAATTATTTAAATGGCGTTTTAATGATGAACCAATGCCTCATTTTTCGAATGATGCTCTAATTAAAAAGTATGGATATACCGAATCGTTAACGTATGAATATTATCTGAAAGAAGCCCGTCCTACTATGGCCATATTCAGTTTAAAACACTCTCAAGGGAAACTAATTGGAAATATATTTTCTAGAAGGTAAAGAAATTATGTTGTAATGTATATTTTTGCTGTTGAAAAATATAAGTATGTAACATACTGATTTCAGGAAATATAAAGCAGCTCTATATGCCCATATTTTTGCTTTGCAAAATTTAGATAAATCAGAAATATTATGCACTTGTATCTCTTTTATTGAAATGCTAGGTGTTGACTCAGAAAATTTAAGACTTCATATAACGGCAGCTAATTACGTGCAAAGAGAGATGAACATTTCCATTGGTAATTTTGTATATCACAAATTTAATATACGTAAGAATTATAAATATTGTTGTTTATTGCTTAATTTGCAGGAAATTTATTAGAGAACATAGTATATAAGAATGAAGATGATTTGAAAACTGTTATGTCACATCTTGAAAATAGTTTTAAAACCAATTTTACTGAAAATATAATTGAAGACAGTCAGCAATTTGTAAAGATACTAAAAATATGGGACGTTATTGTGCGATTTGCAAGAGCACATAATTTTCCTTTGCCAGTCAGTTTATTAACATTTTTAGCAAATCACAATTACTGGTTCGAATTTACTTTAGTTTCTGATATTTTCGCTTATCCTTTAGATCAGGTAATAATTTCACTTATAAACAATTAAAATTTTAGATTAAAAAGAAATTCTATATAATACTGGTTTTAGGTACTGGAAAATGCAAAATATATGGAAGACACAATTTTAGGAGAGCATTTGTTAACTTGTTTAAGCAATACACACCTTACAAAATGCCAATCAGCTGTTTGTAGTGAACATAAAGTGAAATCACGGGATGTTAGACAATCACTGTATTATAAAATTGGTGTTAAGCAAAGTGTAAGTAGCCAATACAATATGTGCCTAATATATTCAATGATACGTAATAATGTGTTCTTGACTACAGGGATCCTCTATTTCTGATTCTTCAGCATCAATAGATTCTTTAAGTACTTCTGATTCGCGCAGTTTAACTGAATATCCCTTACATGATAATATTTGTGCTCCAAATGATGATTTATGGTTAATTATTCTTAAGTGTCATCAAAGTCCAGACCCACCAGGTGCTTTAATAAATGCTTCACGATTAACATCACGACCTTTTCTTACCGTTTTAGCAACTTGTTATGAGGTACATCTTATGTTAAAATGAATGTTTGATACGTATTTTTTGTGTAAAAAAACTTCGTGATTTTATATCATTAAAATTCATTTTAGCCATCATCAACAGCAGCATTCTGTTATTCATGGATGGTAATATCTACCGCAGATGAGGACATACTTTCTAAATACAAAGAATGTCTAGAACAACAAATATGGACTGCTAATCAAGTATTTCACTTGTTAATTAAAATGTTAACATGTGGATATATTAGTACTCTTAGTAGGGCTTATAAAATTTTTATGCCGGTAAGTGTATTTTTTCTATATTAATAACATAAAAATATTATATTAATAATTTTACTAACATTATTCAATTATAGGAAAGTCCTTTCAATTTATTGTTTGAATTTTTTGTACAATGTGCAGAGTATGGTAATTTTGAAGGATATCAGCAAAACTTATTGGAATTTAAAACTCAGTGTTTAAATTTAAAATGCAATGTATGTCTAAAATAATATTAACATATTTCATAGTTACATGATTAGATAAAACAATATAATAATTACATATTTCTTAGAAAGCTATGGATTGGGATTGTTCTGATACCACCTACTTAAGTAATTTGCATTGGGTTGCCAGTGTTGCAATTAATTGTGTTGTTACAGTACTCGCCTACGGTCTTAGAAGTACACACTTACAAATCAAATTTCTCGAAATATTAATCAAGTCTAATTTTTACGCAGAGTTTCCAGGTACTAGCAATTTGTTTATCACTGTTAATTTATTATAGAGAATAGTACTAATTGTGCCAAAATTATTTTGTATTTTACAGTTCCCATTCCAAATTTTAAATCTTTACTACGTATTATAAAAATCCTTCAAAAAACTAACATGGTCTTTAACTATGTCAAATTTACTATGTCAAATGATGCATATAACTTTGATGTAGACATTCAAAGATGTATCGATGATTTATTAAAAATTGAAGATTATAACAGTGCTTTGGAATTATCAAATGTAGTAGGATTTAATTCATCTGATATAATTTTAGCTCAGGTATTGTTTTGGTATATGTATTATGTTTTATGCAGAATAATGGATAATATGTACTTTAATACGTATTTGCAGTATCGAAGTAAATTTAAATATTGTGCCCAAAAGAATGATAACATCAATGATAAATTTTGGAGCGAGTGTGCGCAAAATTTTGAAAAGTATGATGTACCTTGTGAAAAATCAGCAGAGTTTTTTATTGAGCACGCCGAGAAAGTTATTTCTCATAAAGAGAGGTACATAGATCTTTTTTATAAACTACGATCATTACTTTGGTTCGATGGAAAAAAGTAACTGGTATACACTTCTTAATAGATATGAAATACTAAAACTAGCTTTTGAAACATTAAAGAACGTTGAAACAGAACAGCAAAATATTAATGCCCTAGAAGTGGCAATGTGGAAATCATGTATATTAGCTGGACCTGAAAACATACAACTAGACAACGAATCTCATAGCTTCAATAAACTGAAAACAGAGTTATTATCAGGATTAAATAAGTTGAAGCTTAATTGCGTTTTGAATGATTCGCATGAAAAGACTGCCGCAAAGAATCTAATTGATAAATTAATTGATTTAGGAAAATTAGATACTGCATTGAGAATAAGTACTATTTTTAATTGTAAACATAAAGTAAGTCTTGCTAAATTTTATGTAATAAACATTTATGTTGATAACGCCTTCAATATTTTACTCTCTACAGGATTTACAAAATCTCATGCTATGTTTGAGATTGGCAGAAGGTGAAATTTCACCAAATGAGTTAACTGTTGAACAAAAAGATTTTTTGAAAGATGTTAATAAAAATAAACAACAAAAATACGGGGCCTTAAAAAATCGTGGTTTGCAAAGATTATCTTCATCTTCTTCATGTAACTATTATGTTTATACTTTTGCTACAACGAATTATAGAGTAGCTACATCATATTAATAAGCAAAATTGTTACTATAGTGACTACTTCAACCAGTACAAGCGAAATAAATAAAATAAGAGATGAAAACATCTATAAAGTTCAAATAGAATGTTTATCAACTCTACAAAAATTACTTGAAACATTGGAACATGGAGCAAACATATGTCTTAAAGTTGTATTATGTTATAAACTAGCAATGCAGCTGGGAAAAAGTTACCAATTGTTGTTAAAGTTAAATAATCCCATTCAATTTTTACAAGAGGTTGCAGAAAGTGATATTGAAGATAAATCTGAGGTTATTAGTGATATAATTACTGCATATAAAATAAGCAATAATACTATCGCAAAATTTTTAGCTGAAAATATTACAATGAAAATTAGTCGTGGTGTGGAAGGTGTGTAAATATTGAACTCATTATAATTTTATATACAATGATTGTTATGAGTTTTCGATTGTTGTAGGTGGATATGAAGATAATATTTATTTGTGGGGATATTCTTTAAATACAAATTTTCGAATAATTATGGAATTATGCAGTGATGTCTCACTTCTTGGTTGGCAACTTTTGAAAACTGCAAACAAATTGCTTGGGCATTTTCATAATGAAATACGAAACGGTATAGCAATAAGCCTAATTGTTATGCATTGCTGTAATGTTCAAAGTCTCATTATTTTTCTTTATTGCCTAGAATCAACTTTAAAAACAACAGTGGAATTATTAATACGGGTTCATGATTGTTTTACAACTTCCTGCAATATGGAGGGAATAGCATCAGTATTACGTAAATGTCAAAATCTTGCAAATGTTTTACAAAATCTTAAATTCTGGACGCTATTGGTATGCCCTCATACTATAAAAGTAAAGAATAAGATTATTGTTATTTAATAATATTTACCATGCAATTTTAGGTACGTCTTGTAACAGGTGTTGGTCGTTATACAGAAATGAGTTACGTATTTCAAATATTAAAGGAAAACGATCAGTTTGAATTCTTGCTTGGAAAAGGATTAGATAAAGTATATTTCATTGTATATTATTTGCATGATAATGTATACATAACATACATTATAATTCTCATTATAGGGAACTGGTTTAAAAACGGCACTTTTGGAGTTTTTAAAACGTCATTGTCCTGAAAATAAAGATCTTTTTACTCTAGTGGCATTGCATTTTCAATTATATCACGAAATTGCACTTATGTGGGAGAACGAAGCAAAAGATGTAGTTAAATCGTTAATAGCAGATGCAACAAAAGAACATGGAAAATTACAAGGTTCTGTTCAACATGAAATAAAATTTACTAAAACTGAAACTGTTCAGAAGCAGCTACAGTTAGCAGTTACTAATTATACTCATGCAACACAATATTATTTACAAGTAAGTTATTTGCTATACTCTTGTATTAAAAAATTCTAAATATTATTATATATTTACATAGGCTAACAAATTAAATTTTGCTGGTCAATGTTCTGATCAAGAACAACTAGTTGCTCTCCAACTTTCATTACTTAATTCAGTGTCTTATAATCAACAAGTAATTTCCATACTTAATTTGAAGTCTGAAGATATTGATAAAGTATTATGTCATATCTTAAGTTTTTCTCAAGCTCTTATTGTTATACGTGCCTATAATCATCATGTCGATTGGGTGAATCTAATTTACAATCATTGCATACTAAACGGAGAAACTAAATATTTAAGAGATTTTATAGCCGTAAATAAATTAACTACTAATCTCGTGCAAGATTGTACTCGCAGGTAAGATACTCATTTACTTAAAAAAAAATTCACAAAATAATTTTTTAATTAATTTCAATTCATTATAGGTATAGATTGGAGAAAAGCATTACTCATACTATGACGGACAATATGAAAATATTAATTTCTGAATTATCAGATGTGGAATGTAAGTATGTGCTAGCCAGTCAGTTAGGATTTAAAGATATTGTAGAAACAATGCTCAATAATCCTATGATAGGTGCATACCTTAAAGACACTGTGTGGAAAAGAAAATATAATACTACCTAAGTATTTTATATTTAAATAAAATGGTAAATATTTAAAGACATAAATTCCAAAATGTATATATATTTTTATTTTTATATAAATAAATTTGTTTTTGTAATATGCTATTAATGTACTGGTCTGATTTATGCATTCAAAACTATATTTGATATAATACATATTTTGTTCATTATGTGCATACATAAAAACAAAAGAAGTATTTTTGAAACTTCATAGTTTAATACAAAATAAGATATAAATATAAGGAGATATACCTAAAAAATATGTGCTATAAAAAAGTCGAATGTCATGGTAAATCTGAAGACGCGATTTCAAAATTAGATAAATATATAAAAAAATATGAACAAAAATTTGGAAAAATATCTTTGTCAACAGTTTTATCGCAGAAGCAATTAAAATTATTAAAACTTATACGTAAATTAGTAAAAGCTATAGAGCAAGAACAAATCGATAAACATCAAGGTACCGCTCTATAATTCGATTGAACGTTATTTAACTTTCTAATTTGATTTCTTGTATTATAGCTTTACAAATATTAAAAACATCTAATGAAGCAATAAAAGAAACGATTGTCACGTTTCAAAATTCAATGAAAATGTACAAAGAAAGTATGAAATTTGAATTTGCAAAACTGGATTGTTTAAGTACAAATCGACTTTTAAATATTAATTATGCTTATATATAACTTGAAAGTTAAAAATACAAATAGCTCTATTTATTGTATCATTTTCTATAAACAAAATGATTTAACAATTTGTTTACAACTTTATATACAAAATATAAGTTGTTTGACCCATTTTTAAAAACATATAGGTTAACAATTATTTTACAGATCTTTATCTTATTAAATGTTATGAAAGGAACGATGTAAGTGTATGACTTTTATGAGATTCTGAAGTATCTTCATTCGGTCGACGTTTGATCGAATTTGTGCTTATATCACTTGCGCTACCTTTCCTTTTTATATTTGCCGTTTGCAATGCAGGAATATTTAGTTCTTTTTGCAAATTTTCAGCCACATGAAAATCGCAATGTTCCTGATAACTTACCAAAGGAATCATTTGACAACATTCTGTGCATAGTTTAGACGGAATGTCAACAACATTAGGAGATTCTTTTTTGACTAAAAAGCTATAAATATTATTAACTTTTTTTACTTTTGAAACATTTTTTTTAGACCTATTTTTTCCCTTTGTATTTCTTTCTACAATTACTTTTTTGTTATCATTCTTATTTTTTGCTTTTATATACAATTTGGCTTCTTCTTGTAATTCTGAAGGTAACAATGCAAGTACGCTAAGATCAATATTATTCAAATCAGGAAATATTTCTTCTAGTTTTATAGTACTTTGCAAATTATTTACATTATCATTTGTACGTATATTTATGTCTGTCTCTACTTTATTCTTGCTGCTCTCAGATTCATTATGTTCTTCAGTACTAGGACCTGAAACGTCCTCGATATCATTTTTTTCTGCATTATTTTCATTTGAATTTCCAGATTCAAAATTAGCATCAATATCTTCATTTACGTCAATCAATTCAAAATCACATGTATGTGCATCTTCTATTTTAGTTTCCTTTGAATTAAGAGCATTCATAAAAAATGAACCTTTAAAGTCATTTTGATCCAATGAATTGCTAAAATTACAATTATGTACCTTTTTTACATGAAATATATTTTTTTTATTTCGCTCGTTTAATGACTGAATTAAGTTGTTCAGTTTATTAGAAGTAGGTGAACAATCTGATTTTTCGTTAGAAATTTGTTGATTCAATTGTATACTATTAATGGTTTTTACTTTACTATTTGATGCATTTTTCATTTCATCAGTCTTAGAATTATTAACCAATTCATTTAACTGTATATTGTTTACTATTTCAGTAGTGTCTACTACTGTGTCAACAGATTTCAATTTTATATCTTTTGTTTGCGTATTTACTTCCTGAGTGTGTTTCATCTCGCTTAATTTAAAAAAGTTTTTAAGATTTTGATTATCTTTAGCTGGTACAAATTTTCCAGCGGATATTCCCAAAAATGCTATTGGACATTGCGTCGATTTACATATAATTTCTACACAGCGATCTGCCATTTTTTCTGGTTTGTACGAATTCAAATTACATGAACGCGATTGGGTAACAGTACTCTTATTTTGATAATAGTGGTAACATACTGTAAGTAATGTTGCACGCCGTTCATTTTCTTGAAGATCTTGTTCAAGTCGTTCACAAACTTCTGCTGCCATATCACCAGCCCAATGTCTTAACTGTAAATAAAATATATACTTTATACGTATGTGCATATTTCGTGAATGTTATTTATCATTATGTTTTTTACCACATCTACTGAAGTAATTGCTTGTTTCCCTGGGAACTTTTTGCATGCTCCAATTGATTTTGATATAAGTCGTGTAGTGACCGGCTCATTATCTATACCCCGAGCAATATTATATAACCATAATCTATATAAAAACATTAATTAATATACTTGAGTATAAATCATGAACATAAAATAACAATAATCATTTGTGAATTATCATGATTTAGAAAGTATACCCCGTTTTGTCATCAAAACGTTTTTGTAGATATTGCAGTGAATACTGCAATAAGTCACCCATAACATTACAATTAAGAGATTCAATAACAACATCTCCAAACTTCCCACCGAGATTCCTAACTTTTTTAATAGGTAATGTCGAATAAAGCTCTGATACTGCATTTGGTGGCAAAATTGTCTGTCGATTTGGTTTATGCAATCCACATGCTAATTTAGCTAATATCTAAAAAACACAATTTTTTAAATTAATGATAACATTGTAAGTTAAAACAGAATTATTTATGAAGATATTAATATTTCATCTCACTTTATTGTTTGAAATACCAGCAGAACACTTAAATCCTGTTTCATTATATATATCTTGTCTTAGTTCTTCAACTATTACACCAGCTAATGCAAGTTCCTGTGCTTGTACATCTTCAAGTTCTTCAAAGATATTTGTGAGCCAAGCATTTACTCCTTTTCGTCTTTGTTCTAATATCAAATGGCACATCATGTATTCAAACTTATTTATAAGTTAGTTATACAATTACATCTTAAGATAATTGACCTTACCTTCATCATTCTTTCCAATTTCTGAATATCCTACTATAAATGTATTTGAAAGTTGTGTGACTAAATACTCTTGAGAAAGAAAGCTTGTAGACATTCTTTTAGCAACAATATCAGTAATATCTAAATAAGCTTCATCCACACTAGCTCGTTCTATAATATTACAGTGTTTCTTTATGACATTAAGAACGTCGCGACCGGCACTTCTGTATCTATATAAATATACATCAAATTTAGAAATAATATGAATATCAAAAAGTATTTTTATTTTTTATATGTACCTGGATGTATCTGCTTTTCCACGTGTACATGGTACGCTAGCTAAAATCAGATCTGCGCACTTTTGTTTGGCTTCTTCACCTCTCATGTGACGAGTAACACCATATTCTCTTGCTTCGTAATTAACAGCAATTATTCTGATTAAGAAAAGTTAATAAGCTAATAATCTAACTAGGTAATTGTAGCATATATTAATTTAAACCTTACCCTCCTAACTTCCATTGATTGTACTGTACAACAGCAAGTGGTTTTCCAGTATATTCTGGTCGACGTTTTGTTTCAACTTGACAGAAGAAACAGTCCATGTCAATTAGTACTACAATTTTATTATTACTTGCATTTGCCATTATTAACAAATTTATATGTAAATTTTGTTATAAGCCAATAGGTTAGAAATGTTTACAATTTTCCAATAATTTAATCACAGATATACAGGCATTTCCTTTTATTTGTGCAAATTTTGTCTGCATTTTTTAAACAGTCGAACTTCAAATGTAACACAGTTGTGTTATGAAATAAGTAATTGCTATAACATAAACAAACATGATTACCGGCGCGAATTCTTGAACAGTACTTTCAAATACCGCCAAAGCAAATCTGACTTTTCTATAGGAAATGAGGGGCAAGGGGAATCGATTCCCACCTGCACCCCACACAAGAGCATTGGCAAATATTATGCCTAATTCACAGGAGGCATTTGCGAAGTCAATAAATTAGCAAAATAAAATTTTGATAAAAGTAATACTGTACTCGATTTGAAACTCAGATATTAACTAACATATATCATGTATAGCCGTACGTGTACGGCTCTCCCTCAACTTCAATCAAATATACAAAATTGCAAGGGATCTCAGAATTACTCTCGAATGTACATACATATGTGTACGGATACATACACGTATTTAAAATTGCACATGATAACAGCAGTATTAGATAGAGTCATATTATCGTACATGACTTTTAATTTTGATTAAACCTGTATAGGCATTTGTATTCGCCATAAGTATTATCTGCAATAGTATTTTGTGTCAAGTTTTTTTATTTATAATACTAATATTTTACTGGTGTTACAATATTCAATGATTATTTATTACATTGAGGTTAGGTAACAAACCGCATTATAAAATATACATGCATAATATTTATTGTTACATGCTTGATTATAAAGAAATAAATATTATATTCTTAAGATGATACATTGAAAATAGAAGTAAAATATATATCATGTTATAAAAAATTGTCCTTCCTTTTTAGTATGGTAGAAGATAAAAAATATGAAATTGGTAGCCGAATTGAGTGTGATGGATATCGAGGTACATTAAAATACTGCGGCCCTGTCGGTGATACTAAAGGTTTGTGGCTTGGTATAGATTGGGATGATCCTACTCGTGGTAAACATAATGGCACATATGAAGGAATAGAATATTTTAAAGCTAGGTAAAGCTGTGTAAAAATATTATATTGTGTCATGTGTCATGCTTTATTAGCATTTTATTAGTAAATAAAATGTTGTATATGTAACAGGCACCCCACATCTGGTTCATTTATACGTCCAGGTAAAGCAAAATTTGGAATCTCTTGTCCAGAAGCTATAAAAATGCGGTATGGTCTTATCAACGATGAACTAGCAGGAATTGATAGAGATACATTAACAAGTTTGCAAAAAGAAATCAATGCTCCTTTTCTGGAAGTTGTTGGTTTCTCTAAAGTAAATAAAAAACAAAGCAGGTTTGATCAATTAAAAATTGTGGGTTTACGAGAACAATGTGTTAGTAACGCTGGTAAGCCTGATGAATTGAAAGTGTTGTGTCCGAACATAGAAGAGTTAGATATATCTAGAAATTTAATAAATAGTTGGCACATTGTGGCAGACATCTGCTGTCAGCTTAATTCTCTTGAACGGCTTGATGTTAGGTAAATTAATCTTTTGTCACACTTGTTATTATGAAATAATTCTGTTATGTTATAACGCTGTTTTTATTACTCTGTTTAGTGAAAATTATTTACCGACTGAAAATGATATGAAAGTATTAAATAATTCATTTTTAACTGTCAAATCCTTAACAATGGCAAAAATGAATTATAATTGGTTTGATATTCAACAATGTATGTGTATGTTTCCATCTCTTCAAGAACTTTCACTTTCTTTCAATATTGTCGATATTATACAGAAACCAATAGAGGATGATAATTTAATGAAAATAAATAACTTAACGCTTGAAGGAAATTTGATATCCAGTTGGGACGAAGTTCTCAAATTAGGTTCACTTCCATGGTAAGTCATTTGAATGTGTATAAATAATTACAATTTCTTTTTATGATACTTGACAGTATATTTAAAGTTACATAAAATATAATAATCTAATGTTGGAAAATTTTACTTTGCAGCTTAGAATACCTTAATTTAAGTTCGAATAAAATAAACAAAATAAGATTTCCATCTGTTGATTCAACAGGAAAAACTTCGGCTTTTCCTAATTTACGACAATTGCATATATCGCAAAACAACATATCAGAGGTAAAATCGAGTATTTATATAAATATTTGGACGCCGTAAAAAAAATAACTTTATTGAAATTTATAGTGGAGATCTATATCAGAATTAGAAAAACTTAATAATTTAGAAGATTTAAAATTTAGAGAAAATCCAATCTTGAAAAATGAAAATATGGAAACTGCTCGTCAGTTAGTAATAGCAAGAATTTCGAAATTACGAGTTTTAAATGGTACTGAAATTTTGCAAGATGAAAGACGAGGCGCGGAATATGATTATATGAAACTATATTTCCCAAGATGGATTGAAACGGAAAATAATTCTGAAAAGAGAAAACAATTTATAATTGAACATCCTCGTTATCCATCATTAGTTAAAAGTATGTAAAAATATATAAAATTAATTAAAAGTTTAAAAGTTGAAATTCTTAATATTACTTTTAGAACACGGAATTTCCGATATACCTTCGGCTGAATCAAAAACGGAAATGATTTCTAATGTCATAACGGTAGAATTTGTATGTCCTGATCATCCGAACCAGCCTAAAGGAATTAAAAGAAAGCTTTTAAAAGATATGGAAGTTCAAAAAGTAATTGGAATTGCACAGCGACTGTTCAAAACTGGAGGAAAAATCTTATCACTCTCATTCATACAAAAAAATGTAATTATATATTTTTTTATATTATATATGTAGTGTACTACTTTATAAATTTTATTTTAGCTTTCGAAAGACGAAATTCCTTTGGATAAACCGCTTCAAGAACTTAGTTATTATTCCATACAAGACGGAGATCAAGTTATTGTGAGGTGGTGATATTTATGAATTGTTTATAGATATAATTGTATTTTTTACACTGTTAAAACTTCATCACCATACTTTGTTATTAAACTTTTTTAATTGTAAAGATATATTTTTTATACCCTAGTGATAGTTTATTGAATTTGACAATGTTTTGTATTTGACAGAAAATCTCTTTAATTTTTTAAAACTCTGTAACTTAAAAAGTTTACAAAACTCATTTCTAAAAAATTATTTTTTTACAATATTTTATAATTATTCCTTTTTTCTCGCTATAATATAAAGTGAAGTACAAATTATGTTTCTACACATCATATTTAAGAATGGCACAAACAAATTCTTATAAATATAATATTAAAATACTTAATTTTGTTGTGCTTTTTGTTCAATTTTACCATATTCTTCTTTCTCCAGTTGTTCTCGCGTCAATAATGACAATCCTAATTGATTTTCACGCGTGAACGGTTGAGCCATTTGTCGTAACCAACGTTTACTTATCTAAAGATTATAATTTGTTAATGCTTATTTTGTAACTTTTAAATCTTGAAATTTACCTGTACAGCTTCCTCGGTTGATAAATTACATAAATTATCAGTTAAATGTTCCTGTATCCATTTTGGTAATTTACTTCGTTTATCTATTCTTGAAAATCTCTTATCTGCAAACACCATTATACCATAATCAGTTTTGCCTCTAATTGCTCTCCCAACACATTGTGCTGCATGTCTCATTGCGTCGAATGTCAAAAAATCATTTTCCCTAATCTAAAAGAATATTATTAGTATTATCAAGATTAAAGATATGTTATAACACGCTATTTAAAAACTCACTTGAAATTGATCACGAAGATACTCTAATCGCGCTTTTAAAATACGTGATTGTGTGTACACATAAGGTATTCCAAACATAAGAACAGCTCTTCCTAAATGATGATCAAAATCAACTCCTTCTGATACCTTTCCACGAGCTACGGAAAGAAGTACGGCACCTCTTCCGTTTTCACAAGCCTTTATGTAGTTAATTAGAGCCAAACTCGTTTCTGCAGAATCTTGAGTTTCAATAAATAGTAACTTATGCCTTTGAAGCTGATCTACTACACCTTGATCATACCTACAAAAATGTGGATGAAGATGTGATTCCAAAAGTACAATAAAGTAAATACACACCATGCTGCTACAACAGATTCCATGTATAAATAAGAGGTGAAAAAGCAAACTAAACCATCAGGAACAGTAGCCGCAAATTCAACTAACAGCTGGCCGTAATTTCTTATAACAGCAACATCTTCTCTCGTTTCATATTTTGATGAAATTGTAACTTGATCATTACCTTTTGCTACAATCTGAATTTAAAATAATATAAATTTTGTTGATAACATTATAGTTTTAGTAGAATTAATATAGCTTACCATAGGCAAAAGACATGGTCTAGCTAATGTCATTGTAAATGATGACATTATAACTGGATGAAAATTCAAAATTTTTGGATACATATCTAATGGAGACAATGTCCCTGAAGTAATAACTACTGATTGAAACCTATCAAATATAGGTTTCATTGCAATTGACGAATCTAAACAACTAAAATGAAGAATGGGGTTCAAAACTGTAGGCGATTTATCGTCGAATGGTTCTACTATAATGGTAAATCCTTTTGTATAGGTAGAAACTAATGTTGCAAGATGAGTCACCAAAATTATTGGTGAAAAATCAGTTAAATCTGTTATTTCCATGGTACGTAAAAAAGATCCCAATCGTTCAGCGCAAAACCTTAGTAGTTTACGTTCTATCGAAACTTTTGCTTGTACATCTCGTAAAAATGCAGCAGGTGATTCTTGAACAACATGTTGTACGCGTAAACGAGTTTTCAAGTACTCTACGAATCGTTTCAAGAAACAGATAAAATGTTCTGCATTTCTTATATTACCAGGGATTACCTCTGTAAAAGATATGAAGTATAAATTTCAAGTCATAAAATATTCTAAGATTAAAGATATTTAAAATACCTTGTAAAACTTCATCAGGTAAAACAGGATTAGCTAAGATAATATCAGTTTCTCTTGCAACGCGTGCATCTTTTAATCCTTCTACTAATCTATCATATTCCTCTTTTAATTTATTTACATCATCTTCTCTCATTCTAAGTTACAGGCATTAAAAATTAATGTTATGTAATTGTATGGAATATATTTACAAATTTAACTTACTCTGCCACTGTCTTTTCAAGAAGTTGTATATTAGCAGAACTCTTTTCTAAAATCCTTCTGTTTATCTTTACACTCATTGAATCGATACATACATTATCTGCAATGAATAAAATAATTAAATTTCTAACATTTTGATAATCTAAAATATAAGATACATTGTACCTATATTATGGGCTTCATCAAAAACTACCACAGAACTTTTACTTAATTCTTTTGATACACTTTCTGCAATTTTAGGGTCTAGTAAATAATGATAACTGTATACCACAATTTGAGCATGTAGAATCTGAAATTATACATAAAAGTTAGTGGCTTATTTAGTATGAAAATATATAGCTTGTTCAACAAATTGCTTACTGTGAACCTTGCAAGAAAATATGGACACCAATTACGATCTCTCCCATAGTCTTTCAAGTCATCAATAGAATATATACCAGGTGGCATCAATTGTTCTTTGCCTTCCATGTCAAATCCTTCATAAAAGTTACAAATTGGTGTTGATTCATCGTAATTATGTCTTTCACGAACATACGATGCTGTTAAAGCATGGCAACGTCCATCAACAATTTTACCTTCACGTTCTCTGCTCACCTAATTTATACATAATAACGATGTTACAACGAAAGCCTACAAATTGAACAAATTTTAGGTAAAGTACCTCAGGATGAATACACATATTCTTTCGTGAACTAAGCACTAGCCCAACAATTTTTGGTTTACTTCCAGTTTCCTTTTCATAATAGTCCATAAGTTTTTTTAATTCTTCTATAACTTTTTCTATTTCTGGTACTGTACGAGAGCAATAAATTAACTTTGTTATATCTAATGGATTTTCTAGCATATAAGCTACAATTAACGATAAAAGAGTTATTGTTTTGCCAGTGCCTGAGGGCATTTCCAATAAACAGTGTCCCTAAAATTTGTGAAGGAAATTTTTGTCAATCGCAAATAAAAATTTATTACATTGTTATAAGAATAACCATATAGGAGAGTAATATATTTAATAAATACTTTTGCATCCAAGGCACGCTTGAGCTCAAGCATGTACGCATATTGCTCTGGATAAATATAATCATATGGGAAATAAACAAGTAAACCGTCAACGCTGATTCTGTAAACATAAACATGTGATAAATATTTATTATAGGAAACTAGATCGTTCTATTAACTGAACATTCATATTTACATCATATTTCAATATTATCTATCGTATAAAAAGTAAACTTATACTTAATAATTTCATTTATTTAGACGTATAAAGTTACATAAATATTACAACGTGATACAACGTTATTACAGTGAATCATAACGCGTCAAAGTGAGCGCAACAGTTTGCGTCACCTTACGCGCTCCAACAATCACGCACAAACCACACACAATTGCACATTATGGCTAACTTCAACAGGTCCCCCACCACTAGGTATTATCATAAAACTCCAGGATACTTCTGAAATAAAATTTCTGAAACTTAAAACATAAATTTTAACTTATTATTTAAAACAAATAATTATAATTAAACATTTCGTGATTTCAAAGAATGTTCGAAGATTTCTCTCGACGTACTAATCGATCTGCTACATATCGATATAAAATCAACTGCGATTACCGGCCTTAACCGGAAGATGTTCGAAGAATTCGTCGTTTCCGTAATAATTTAGCGTCTTTGATACACGTGCATGGAGGGTTCAGTTGAAATATAATTTAGAACTATAATTTAAATATTATACGTTAAAATGGGGAAACCAGGTATTTAATAAAATATATTTGCATCTTATTTTTTATTTAAATTGAAGTACTCATTGTTAGAATAAAGCTTTTCGCAACTTAACATAGAAATAGTTATTTATTTTCTGCCGATGTGATGTATTTATGTTAGATTTATAATATATATACCCTTGTTTAAGTGTAATAATTTATTTTTTATTTAATTACATGCCTCATTCAGTCAAAAAAGCAACAATTTTCATGTTTACGTTTATACCATGTTCTAACCTAGCATTGGATACGTGCATACGTTTATAAAAATAAGAGATAAAAAGTGTAATATGTATTAAACGTTTATGTAAATGTAACATAAGTTGTTTTAGAAAATATCTTTATTGTTCATTTTATGAAATTGCAGGGTTTTCACCAGGTGGAGGAGGTGGAGGTGGCAGAGGTGGAGGTTTTGGAGGTAGAGGAGGCGGAGGCGGTGGAGGCCGCGGTGGTGGATTTAAAGGAGGAAGAGGTGGAGGAGGTGGAGGTGGCAGAGGTGGAGGTTTTGGTGGTAGAGGAGGTGGCGGCAGAGGAGGCGGAAGAGGTGGAGGTACTCCACGTGGACGAGGTGGTGGTGGTGGTCGTGGAGGAAGAGGACGTGGAGGTGGAGGTTTCAAAGGAGGCAAAACTGTTGTCATAGAACCACATCGTCATGAGGGAGTTTTTATAGCCAGAGGAAAAGAAGATGCATTAGTTACATTAAATTTAGTACCAGGTTCAGAAGTATATGGTGAGAAGAGAATCAGTGTTGAGGTACATAAAGATATTAAAGTAATTTATGTCATATAATTTATTCAGTTAAATGTATATTGCTAAGTAACCATATTGCAGGGTCAAAATGGAGAAAAGATTGAATACAGAGTATGGAATCCCTTTAGATCAAAATTAGCTGCAGCCATACTTGGAGGTGTAGACCAAATTCACATGCCTCCTGGAAGCAAAGTCTTATATTTAGGTGCTGCATCTGGAACTACAGTATCACACGTAGCAGATGTTGTTGGACCAGTAAGTTTCTTTAAAAATTTTTGTAACATACAGGGAAATTACAGTGCATACATTAGAGCCAATTTAGTGGATCATTACTAATTTGGTGTCGAAGTTATGCTATAAAATTTACATGCTCGTTTTTTCATTGGATTAAATATAATTGTATTTAATTTTAAAAAGACGAGTGTACAAATGCAAATATTTTAATTGATATATATTTTTGTACTATACAAATATGAAATTTCTACATTTATGTTGCCTTTAACTTCAGGAAGGATTGGTATATGCTGTGGAATTTTCTCACAGATCTGGTAGAGATCTAATAAATGTTGCTAAGAAACGGACAAATATTATTCCTATAATTGAAGATGCAAGGCATCCACACAAATACAGAATGCTAGTTAGTATGGTGGATACAATATTCGCAGATGTAGCACAACCAGATCAGGCCAGAATAGTAGCATTAAATGCTCAATACTTCTTGAAAAATGGTGGTCACTTTGTTATTTCTATTAAGGTAATTATTGTGAAATAAATTAATAATTCTGTTATAAACTTGAGTTATATGTTTTTTCAAATACGTTTTTAGGCAAGTTGTATAGACTCTACAGCTCAACCCGAAGCAGTATTCGCGGCAGAAGTAAAGAAACTTATCGCGGATAAATTGAAACCACAAGAACAAATTACATTAGAACCATACGAAAGAGACCACGCTGTAGTAGTTGGTGTCTACAGGCCAGCACCTAAAAAAGCAACTTAAAATTATATATATATGTATATATGTTTTATCTAATTATTAAGATCACCTTAATTGACCACGATTTTTTAGAATGTACGCAATAAGCTTTGTTTACCTACAAGTAAAACTTCAAAATGTTCATATTTGTTAACGAAAAACTTTAAACAGTATGTAATATAATGTAAAGAAGATACTTGTGCAGACAACTTAGACGTTTTCTATAAAAGCAATTTAACGCGTCCTTGTACCTGTACAGTTGGTACATCAAATGAAATGTACACGTATGATTGTCTAATATAAAAGTTTATATTTTGAATATCCTCAATTATGACTTATACTTTAATTAAAATAAACAATTTTTATTAATCTGTTACTCGTGTTTAATTGTAGAAATATCAAACTACAGTATCAAATATAATATTTATTTCTTTGAACATATTATAACATTAAAAACAAGTGAAAGTTAGAGTAATATTCAACATCATTTTTTTAATTCAACTCGTCAAAAATATATTCAAAATTTACATATAAATTAACCAGTTAATTTATTCTTTTATAACTATGTTTCATTGTCATTATGTTACATATACATAAAAATGCCTCGACCTTCGTTAAATTCATCTAAAACCGGTAAGACATGTTGAATTTTCTTTTTCATAAAATGGTTAAACTGATGGGTTGTAATTACTTCTAGGACTTGTTGGCGAAAGTCGTAAAGCATCAAACAAATCGTTTAAATTTAAAAAGTCAATATCTACGGCAAGTGGCAAATGTAATTCAAAAAGTCCAGACCGATTAGTGGGAGGAGCAGATGCCCCCGTAGAAACTGAAGATGCAACAGAAGAAGTTACACAGGAAACTTTACACGAAGCTACACAGGAAACTGTACAGGAAACCGTTCACGAAACCGTTCATGAAACAACTACCTCGACAGAACAAAATGGACAAATTACATTTCCAAGTGGACCATGCTGCTCTTGCCTTGGACAAGAACCAGGATCAACTGGGTACAAATATTTTTCTATGTTTTATACAAAAATATTTATAACTAAGAAAAGAATATACTTATGCGTTTATTATTTGTTAAAAATAATATGTTCTTATGATGTTTCTTGTATGGTATGAACTAAAATATTATTTTGCAAATACAGAGACAAGAAGGTGGATGAAATGATCGACTATGTGCACCAAAATTTACAAGAAGCTGGTAAAGCATTGGCCACCTTAAGCGAGAATTTTGAGCACGAAACAAAGGTTGAGCCCTGTACGCAAGTAGAATCATCATGAAATTGGGAAACACGGGGGAGTATTTAGCGAGGGATACAGCAAACAGTTGCTCTATACAGTCGATTATGTACAAGAATGAATCAATGCAATTACCGTTAAAAACTCCCAATTTCGTAAAACTAATACATCATACGGAAACATAAATAAACGTAAAGTAATACTTCATTTTCCATTACAAAAGTTGATGTTCGTCGATATACTGGGCAAAATACAGCAGTGGACTAGTCTAGTACAGAACAAGTTGGACCTTTGTAAAGCGGATATTGAAGCTTTGCGTAAAGAACTAATGGCACGAGCTTGTGAAATTGCCAATCTCAGAAAATTATTGGCAGAATGCAGGGAGCGTGAAGCAGCTCAAGTAATCATAAATTAAATTCAAGTATTTATTGTACGTGCATTGTTAAAATGGATGCCAATAATTTTATTACAGAAGCAAGTTACTCATACAGTTGCACAAGAAGAAGTTACGCACACACCGGAAGCACTGAAAACGGAAACAGTTCATGAACCAGTGCACGAACCGAAAGAAGTAGAACAAGTAGTAGAGAAAGAAGAGGTTAAAGAAAAGGTTGAGGAGAAAGAGGTTGAAGAAAAGGCTGATACGAAAATAGAAATTGTTTGTACAGACGCAGCTATTCAGTCGATCATGAAAGACAAAGATAGAATGAGACGTGAAATGGAGGTACAATAAATATTTATTATATATTTCTCCGTCATTGAATAGATTTTTATTCTAAAATATTTTAATCAAATAGCTGGAAGCTGAAATAGATAGGCTTCGCAAGGAGAACGAGCGTATCATAAAAGAACGTGCGGAATATGAAAACGCGATACAAAGAGCATTATTGAGAGGTGTTTCTTCTTTGAATGTCGAAGCACTGAGAGTTCTACGTTGTCCACCGATTCCATGTTGCAGTCCATGTGCACCTTGTCCTGCCACTGCTATGTAAGATTTTATTTTTTACACATTGTAATGAGATTGTTACTTTAATTCATTGTAGTTTATTTACGATAATTACAGAAGTTTAATTTTGAGGATCAGGAATTTGGGAATTGTTTAATTTAGGAATGTGGAAATGTGGTAAATTAAAATAAAGAACATGGTATCAAGTATTTCTCATCAGAAGTCCTTCATGTTGAAATAAAAAAGATTGTCTGCACTGATTAATATCTAATCAAGGCCATTCTTGACTCACCGAAATTTCACTTGCAGGAAACCATCGGTTTGCAAGAAGGACAGTCGGTCTACGTCCAAAGGTCACGGCATGCAACGTAGTTGTAACAGAAAAAATGGTGCTCAGGAAGTTTGTTCTCACACTATAAAGCGACCTTGCGACAGTCCTTGCTGCTTCTCTAAAAACCGGAAATCTGTATCTAATAATAGTATGATCTTACTTCTTCATCGGGATGACACGGAGAATATTTGTAGTACGAAGAGCACCGTGCCACCAGTTTGTGGATCACCAATGATGAAGAAAATCGAAATACCACCGTGTCCTAGATTCATTTGATAATTATAAGATTCATTCCTTGTTACATATTGATAGCAAACTTCGATTATGTTATTTTCAGACAGATCTATTGTATTTAATTTATGGTTAAAATTTAAATTCTTTTGTACTGTATGTCATCGTAAGCGCTAACTAAACTTTGAGGCCTATATTTTATTCAGAATTTTCCAAAGAATTAATCTGCGTAAAAAATAATATAGCGAACTTGTAAATAATTTTCAGGCGATGATGTAAGAGTACATTCTCATGGAATTTGTTATCGTTATGAAAAATCGATTTGAACGCGCGTGAATATGACGGTATGAATTTTCATACAATCGCTAATAAACATGATTATTCGTCACTTGATTGGGAATTGTTTGTACTGCAGGAAGGGAATAAAAAGCAGGGCGTTGAAAGTATAAATATAACTTTATATAACATCATCAGAAAAATATTATAAATATTAAATATTCGTTCTCATAAATAACATTAAGATTTCGTTTCGTGGTTTAATGCAAAATAGTACTGGAAGGTGACGTCTCAAACTTCACGGAAGTTCAATGAATGCGCAATGAAAATTATAACGTTCAATTTGTCCAGTTGCAAATTTACAAATTTCAATTAAAACTGAATTTTGAGACGGCATATAATTAATGTTGGTTGTTTAAAATAAAAACTACACCTACAATTGTCAACAGAGGCTTTGCTTTTAAAATATTTGTCTGGAATGTTTTAACATTAACAAAAAGAAATTTCGAACAAAACTTTCAACGATACAAAATACATTAATCAATTTGATCATTTAATGCAATGAAATTATCGCAGAAATTAAAGTAATATCAACTTTCAGTCGCACTTTAGACATACAGTGTATGGCTGAAACACTGTGTGTCAAGATCTCTTTTCTTCATAAAATCTTTTACGTGTTATTTTAAAAGTTACGAATACAAATATTGTCTTTTCGTTATGACCGTTTAAATTAATAGTAATTGTACTCGTGTCGTAAACCGTTTAAAAAATTACTGTAGAATCACATTCGGATAATAGATTGGAAAATAAGGTTGCAAACGTTTTGTTTTGCAAAACGTATGGCTGTTACGTTTTACAAATTAGAAACAATAACGAAATTAAAAATATTTCTGGTACAGGATGTCCTAAAGTTAAATGATTAGATTATATTGATATATTCTATAAGTTAAATTAGTTAAATTCTCAAACTTCTAAATTTTCTTCTTTTTTCAAATCACTAAATTTCCAAATTTGTAAATATGTAAATTTCAAAATTTACTTTGACCAATATGTATATATATGATCTTCTATTTACTCTTGTGGAACATATCAATGAAGTTTAGTCATTTAACCTTAGAACGCCCTGTTTACTATAAACTTCTTCAAAATATGACATAGAATTTACACCGTATTTTTCGATCGACATAACGGATTGCGAACACTTCAGTCTAATATACGTATACATAGTCTAAAATGTGTATTGTCAGGATTCATGAGGCCATTGTTGAAAAGTGTCCAGGCAATACGTTAACAACTGATGTCGATCAAAAAATCTGCGGTCTTAATTACAATTACGACGCAATTGCCCGATCAGAAGACGCTTCCAAATGTTTCACGCGTTCTCCAAATATATTAATAACATTACAGAAGTATTCGCAAGGTACATGTACAACAATCAAACCGATAATTATAGCTGGTCCAGCAGCAGCAGTATATGTTGTTAATACATTTTAAGAAGTCTCGAATCGGAACATCTAGAATAAGCATGTTATGCTTTCACAAGCATATGCGTCGATTACGTTTGCGAAACGATTGGTACCTGTTCCATAACAAAAAGAGACGTCTCTTCTTATTATAGAATTTCAATAACAATTTCTGGAACTTGTATAAAGTTTCAACGAGTAACTACCATATTGTCTCAGTGTCATTCGATCAGCAGTTTATGAACATTCCAGTTTCAAAGACGTCTTGAACGTTGTCTTCCATAATCGTTCCTTTTACGATAATCATCAGGATTATCTTGGCCACACAGTCGACCAACGTCAATAAAGTATTTTTGTGGGATAAAATAGGAATGTTGTAAAGAAGCACGCCTTTGAAATCAACTTCTTTTTTTTGGACGCCTTTTGCGGTGAGGTAGCAGTCAGACAAAAACGTTGGAAGAAGAATCGTGCCGGGGGCTCTGCGTATCCCTTCGTCAATGCGTTGCTTGGAGATCGGAGTCAAGAGGTTTTACTTGTTGTGCACCAGATTAAGAAATTCTTCGCGGGTTTTCGGATCATCTCGGAACACGCCAAGCATCGTTGACGTAACCGTCTTGCTGTTTATCTTCTGCACTCCTCTCATCACCATACACATGTGCCTGCAACGTAAAAATATTGTTCATTCTGTTATTCCGCGAGCATGCGTTGAATAATTAATCGAATATCACCGTTAGAACGGAATAATAAAAGCGTGTTGATATTACTTTGATTCTATGTTAACAAGGATACTGTTATCTAATGCATAGGATACGTTGATTATGTGACTTTTAAATTACACTCGTCACGAATTCACGGAGAGGAAAAAAATGATATTAGCATTAAGGTCGTATTTCCGGCCATTATTAGTCCTTAGTTTTTGTATGTTGAGTACATTCTTGAGGTATCGTTTATGAAACAACGTGAGTCCACTTTTTTCGCTGAACCTGTTTTCTGTTTCGATCGTACACAAGGTTTTGAAGTATTGAATGCGGAGGAAATGATTAATGATCGAGATAACTGATATTTATCGTCACTTGTCATTGATTTGTGTCTAAATACTTTGTGGATAATACTAATTTACTAATTTATTTAATTTATGGAGTAGATGGTAGAGATTTAGATATTTAGGAATTTGATGTCAGAAAATTTCGTATCAACTATTCCTATCTTACCAGTGTTTGTAAATTATGTGATCAAATTATAGTACAGATAATTAGATGTACTAATTATATCTCTGTGTTTAGTGATTGAAGCGTTTTATGTCTAGTAAATGCAGCTTAATTCTTTACCGAGAGATAGCACCTTATTAGCACAAGGTTACATTCTTACATGTGATTAGTCCTTGCGAAAACCGTTGCTCAAGAACTGTGTGTATTGAAACGAAACCAAGGGAGGTGCAAAATGGCAACCTTTGATTCGCATTAAAATTAAATTATTAAATTACCAACTAAATTCACCATTTTTTCTATATATATATATTCTCTATATTTTTTACTTCAAAACCTATTTTATAACGAATCCTTTTATGTATTCTGATACGTCAAATTACCACAAGTCTGCCAAAAGCTTGTTTATCAAACTGGTGGTTACTTTAATTGATTGTTATTTATTGAATTATAAAAATGTGAAGATGAATTTGTTATCCTAATAAAATACTTACACTCCTTCAACGACCACAGCTACTCCCGCTGGCTGTACAGCCTTTGTTACTGCTATTGCTATTTGCTTGGTGAGACGTTCTTGAACCTGAAGACGTCGACTGAAGATCTCCACGATTCTGTAAAGAAACAATAATATGTTACAGAACGTTTTCTACCAGAATCCTTATAAAATGAAGTTATCGCTCTAATACATATTTGAGTCCACATTTTAGTTTCATTATAATTATTTCTTAAATGACCGTCACTGTCCTATATCGTATAAACAAAAAAGGAAGTCGAAACATTCGAAAATCTACAGGTTTCTTATCGTTTGAAGGCTAATGTTAAGTTCATAACATTTAAACGAGTAAATGGACAGTCGCCAATCGAACGTGGCGGTGCGTGAAAGTGGTTGGTGTGCCAATGTGATCAGAAACCGCCGTATTCTTTTCTTCCCGCTTCAATATTCCTCGAATCAAGGCCGCGACTGCCGATGCAATTTGTTATCTGCAAGTTGTGAAACGTAGTATATCATGTCCAGCGATTACTCCGTCCATGACTATTATAACGGATTTTATTTTCATCGCACGACCAACTGGGTGCATAGATAATTTTAATTAACTCAAGATTATTAATCCGAACTAAGACTTAAATCAAGCAGAAGTTTCGATAATGATTAATTGCAACGCATTGATTTTATTGCGTTCAAATCGTTTGCGTCAATGTGTGAAAAAATAAGAGGAGTTCGATGAAACAGCGGTTCGCAGGGGTATCCGATAAGGCAGCGTGAATGATGACAACTCAATCAACGAGCTAATTGAGCTCCGGCTAATATCTCGATCCAATTAATTCCTTTGCCGGATATCTGAATTTTTCGACGATTCAACTATAATAGACTCTTGGAATTCCTTGTTCTTCAATCGTTTGTTCAACGCAAAGAGTTTGAAGAATTTAAACTTGAACCGCCACATTAAATTCTAAACTTGAAGAATTTTAAGCTAAAAACGTTTCAAAGCTGTGGTCCTTTGAAGCGTTACCTTGAATTTGAACTTGAAGCAATCCTTTCAAATCTCTCTATCTTAAAACTTTAAAGAATTTCACAAATTGCAGATAATTTCAAACTTCAAAAAATAATTTTCAAACTCGCAGCTTCAGATGCAATATGTTCCCTGCTAAAAGCTTCTAATCAAGTAAATTCTTCATTACCTGGCCAATTTGCTGAGCCCCAGTATCTTCTTACAGGGTAGGTACCCGATCGAGACTTTCCCGTAAAACGGCACCAAATGGTGTTCGCACATGGAGAACATCTCGATGTCTTTCACCACAACCATCTCGTCATGATCCTCATCGAACACAGCATCGTTTATAACATCTGCAAACAAACATAAACACGGCTCGTGAACAATGAAACAACGATACTTTCTCCGTGCGAAGTTTTCTCAACGGAGGCCAGAGGTGCAATTGTTGCTCAATATCGCTTTTTCTAACGGCCGTTCTATCAATGATAGTCGTCGTACAAACTGCATTGTACGTAGAGTGCTGACGTTATCGTTTAAATTGTTCCTGCACGTGGGTTAAGGTCCTCACGATCCTGGCTGTGATTTACTCGATATTGACCTACTTACTACAGTCACGACGTTCGTGCTGGTGTATATGTGTTGGTAGATATACAGTGGTTGGTAGGTGTCGGTGGATAGGTAATGGAGGGTGCTCTCCACGGTTTCCACGGCAACCTTAACAAGAAACACCTTCACAATGACCGTCAATAATGAAACGAATTCATGTCTCGGTTAACCTTCTGTATTTTTCTACACTTCATATTCTAGCCAGTGATGCAGGGATTTGAAGAGGTTGACTGAATAAAAATATTATAATGTTATAATTCATGAGATTATCAAAAATTTAAGGAATCTTGGTTTCTTTTTAGACCCCTGAATTTTGTCATAAGTGATTAATTCATAATAGCTAATTCATAAGAAGTTCATACCTAATTTATTAGTATGAAGTAAGTTCATTAGTGTAGAAGCAAGAGTCAGTAGTTGACTTTTAATAAACAAAAATCTTCTGAAGAATTTTCAGTAATTTTTGTGTTTGCTCTTTGAGGGGAGTCTCGACCACCCCTTGTGCGTCACTATCACTAAATAGAAAGAAAATACGACCCGTTTCAACAATGGGAGGTTCTGAAGTATAATTCGACAATTTATTTCCTGCCTTTCAACGAAAGTCCAGTCGCTTTTACGTGTTCGTATGTTAGTCAGGCAATTTCCTCACCGTATATTACCTCTGATGCTCGAAGTGTACTTAATTTTTCGACCCGATGATCTAAGTCTAATGCGATCAACCTTCGATTGAATTACTCAGGGTCGACAAAGGAAGAAATACTTTGGATTTAAAAATCTCTCAACTGCAAAAGCGTAGTTTTCATGAAATTAAATAACAAGGAGAATGAAAATTAATTTAAAGTAAAGCAAGTAAGAAAATGAACAGTGACATATTGGAACATATGTGATATCTTTCTTTTTTATTTTTCTATGTATAGTGCAGAGCAACTCTCTGTAGACTGTACTTTTAATCAACGGGAAAAAGAAAGAACTGTAAATCTATGACATAGAGAGCAGTATCGATCGCCTGATATCATATGTGCTGAATAAAAGATCTTTTAAAGTACAAAATTTTGTTGAAGCTCGAAACTACTCAAAACAAAATTCACCTTAATATTCTACAATAAAAAAATTCAAAGATTTAATAAAATTGTGTTATGAAGGTAAATCTTGAAATATAAAAAATTAGAATTTTTCAAAATTAGAAAATTTGAATTTAGAATGTGGAGATTTGGCAATTGGGATTTGTAAAAATGTGGAATTTGTATTTTAAAAAATTTGGAAACTGCAAAAGTTTGCATTGTAACACGATTGGCTGGAGAAATAACGTCGAGTATCAGCTACAGGTGGTGGAGAGAGTTTAATTCACTTTGACTTAACCCTCCCATGAGTGCTCAACTGGAACTGCCTCCGAGATAAGTCTGGTTAACCGTAGTTTCTACTCGCCCCAGTGAATCTGAAACGAGCACTTTCCTATGAAAGCTCAACCCTCTTTTTGTGGCCACCCATTCTCGTGAAACCCTCCAACAATTTCTCTTCGCCTTTTATTCTTGTCGATAAGCTGGCCGAATTCTCTCCCACCATCTTGTTAGTGTGTTGAAGCATCTTTTACGGAGATCTGACTATTAAGCCTCTCTTTTACACCTTTGAAGAGTAAAAGTAGAACTCAGTGCTTTAATTGCTAAACCGATTCTTGTTGGTTCTTTAATCTGAATTTTTGGATTCATATTCCTATGGTTCTGAATTTCTATCATTTCTGTTATTTGTAATAGCAGAAATTACTATGCAGGGTGTCTCTGAAATGGGGGATAGCTGACTTGATTCTGAATAAGATTTCTCTTTGCAAAAGTAGAGTTTGAAGCTTCGTTTCTGAATTATTAAGAAAAAACATGAACCAATGTATATACAAAACATACAAATTACTTGTAATTTGTCCTGAATTTCTAATTTCTATATTTCTACTCTTCTAAGTTATTAAATTAATATACAGAGTAAGAAATTTGTCTCTAAACGTATACAGAAACTAAAAATTAAACAGCATACGTTATTCTTTCTACGCGAATTCCCACCGAAATCCGTAAAATGGCGATTTGACACGAAATCGATTCGGTGTATTGCGTGACCGTGCAGTCTCGTTAATAAAATTATTAAGCCCCAAAGGAACGAGACAGTTAATTAAGGTTTCAAGCATCAGGAAATCAAATCGTTAATGGATATATCGTGTCGACATTCCACTTCGTTTCGCTGTTCGTCAACTTATAATTACCACGGGACAATGGTAGTTCCGACTTAATACAAGACAAATGGAAGGAAAAGGTGAAAGGCATTATTCTCGAGGTACGTCCCTGAGACCCATTTATATCATGAGCTTTACGGTCTCTTTTTTGAATCGTAAGTACTTAAGTCTTCCTCTCTTTTCCCTCGTGACGGATCTCGAGTAGCTTGACGTAGAGAAAGAAAGAAACGGCATTTTCCTAAAGTGGGTGTATTCATGCCTTCACATCGATCTTATCGCTTAAATAAAATTGCCGGAGAACTATAATATTTATGGCAATTAATTTAATAATTCAGAAAACTTTCTTGAATACTAATTTTTATAAAGAGACGTTTCGATTGTTTCTGATGGTGGATGTAGTTTATAAACGAAGAACGACTTTGAAGAAACCCTTTGAAGGGACTTTGACAAATATTACATTCGTAAAATCAATTGTTAATTACCTATGAACTTCTTTTTCTTGTATATGTATGAACTTCTCGTTCTTTTTCTAGTAATGTTTATAATATCCCTTTCATTTAATTCCTGTTAACTTAGTATAAAAGTAATATAACAAACAAAATGTTAAAAATTAGATCATCCTTTTTTATCAACTTGTAGAAGTCATAAGAAAGACTAAGTTAATGTCTTCAAAATTTTATAGCAAACCGTGATAGAACACGTCAGCTCCATAATTTTGATGCTAATGTTTACACAAGTTTAGCTATTTCTTTAAGTCACACACGTCTAAAATATTCTAAAGAGACAGCATAGTCTCCGCTGATTCCAATGGAACCTGTCCTTTTTCCTTCTCTCTTTCGCGCCTACATCTAACCCAGTGTCCTCCAACATAAGGACCATTCTCTTTTCATAAATTAAGGTGAGCTAGATAATTTACCGTCGATGTTTTGATCGTAGCCTTTCGTAAAGAACAGCATGGCCTTTGCAGCACGTTCTGGCGTCTTCAGGAGACCTGGTCGATCAGGATCCTCGCCTAAGGAGCCTAAAAGTAGCCTGTAACTTCGTGACATTTCCGGAAGAAGAGCCTCCCGCGTGGGTGGCCTGTGATCCAGCTCTAGATCATGGTGGAACGTGCATTTTTCGTGTCCTGGAAGGAACAAGATCAGTTTTATGATTGATATTTATTGTACTACAAGGTCTGAATTTATTATGAGGGTAGTTGAGTTCTTGCTTATACAGTAGATTTGATGAGGAATGATTTGTATATATCTTTCTTTAATGATTAATATGATGTTAGACTTAATACATACATGATGTTAAACTTAATACATGATGTCAGACTTATACATCTCTTACTGCAGATTTTAAAGTTGTGTGATATTGTGGAATTTTGAGAATTTTTGGAAGACCATTGCAATTTTGACATTGTGGAATCTTGGGAATTTGAAGGTGTAGAAATTTGGAATAGGGGAAGTTGGGATTGTGAGAAATTTGGACAATGAAAATTTGGGTTTGTAGGAATTTGGAACTGTGAGAAGTTGAGACAGTGAAAATTTGGATTTGTAGGAATTTGAAACTTTGAGACTTTGGGATTATAGAAATTTGGAATTTTAAGACCTTTGGACTATAGAAATTTGGAACTTTGAGACCTTTCGACTATAGAAATTTGAAACTTTGAGACCTTGGGACTATAGAAATTTGAAACTTTGAGACCTTGGGACTATAGAAATTTGGAACTTTGAGACCTTAGGGCTATAGAAATTTGGAACTTTGAGACCTTGGAACTATAGAAATTTGGGACTTTAAAAATGTGGAACTTTGTGACCTTGGAACTTTGAAACCTTGGAATTTCAGAAATTTGGAACTATGAAACTTTGGAACTTCGGAAATTTGGAACTCTACAAATTTGGGACTTTGAAACCTTGGAACTTCAGAAATTTGGAACTCTAGAAATTTGGGACTTTAGAAATTTGGAATTTTGAAACCTTGGAATTTCAGAAATTTGGAACTATGAAACTTTGGAACTTCGGAAATTTGGAACTCTACAAATTTGGGACTTTGAAACCTTGGAACTTCAGAAATTTGGAACTCTAGAAATTTGGGACTTTAGAAATTTGGAATTTTGAAACCTTGGAATTTCAGAAATTTGGAACTATGAAACTTTGGAACTTCGGAAATTTGGAACTCTACAAATTTGGGACTTTGAAACCTTGGAACTTCAGAAATTTGGAACTCTAGAAATTTGGGACTTTAGAAATTTGGAATTTTGAAACCTTGGAATTTCAGAAATTTGGAACTATGAAACTTTGGAACTTCGGAAATTTGGAACTCTACAAATTTGGGACTTTGAAACCTTGGAACTTCAGAAATTTGGAACTCTAGAAATTTGGGACTTTAGAAATTTGGAATTTTGAAACCTTGGAATTTCAGAAATTTGGAACTATGAAACTTTGGAACTTCGGAAATTTGGAACTCTACAAATTTGGGACTTTGAAACCTTGGAACTTCAGAAATTTGGAACTCTAGAAATTTGGGACTTTAGAAATTTGGAATTTTGAAACCTTGGAATTTCAGAAATTTGGAACTATGAAACTTTGGAACTTCGGAAATTTGGAACTCTACAAATTTGGGACTTTGAAACCTTGGAACTTCAGAAATTTGGAACTCTAGAAATTTGGGACTTTAGAAATTTGGAATTTTGAAACCTTGGAATTTCAGAAATTTGGAACTATGAAACTTTGGAACTTCGGAAATTTGGAACTCTACAAATTTGGGACTTTGAAACCTTGGAACTTCAGAAATTTGGAACTCTAGAAATTTGGGACTTTAGAAATTTGGAATTTTGAAACCTTGGAATTTCAGAAATTTGCGACTTTAAGATCTTGGAACTATAAAAATTCAGAACTTTGCAATCTTGACACCACAGAAAGTTACAACTCCCTAACTTCAAAAAATAAAATATCCTTGATCTCCAACCTCTAAAAATCATCACTACGCTTCACAGTATCAAATATCCATGAAAACATGAAGATTCATCGCATCATATTTCTATCAAGTTAATTAAAACAATCCTTCAATGCAAAACGAAACAAGATACATATAAAGATCGTCGTTATCGCTTGCAGTGACCCCTAACTGCAATACATTCATAAACAAAAATTAAATTTCTTTTCTTTTTTCTTATTACACAATACACGTTCACTATTTTATATCTTCCGTAATATGCACTTGTAAGTATCTTTAAATATTCTAAACAAAATACACGCTCCGTATCATCAACTTCCGCCAATTCTTTATATTGCCAGAGATGCGTTACGAAACGTAGCATTTGAAGATTGCATGGTGACTTTAGAACAAAGAGGCTTTACGTTGCTGATATTATAACATTCCTGTGCTTTGTAAAATATTATTAGAAGCAGATCAAGCGTTCAGAAATTGTAAAATTAAAAATTGAGAATTATTATATTGTCTTAATAATTAAACTAAAGTAATTATTTTAGTATAAAAACTGTTTAAATAATAGTTAAACTGTTTAAGTAATCATAACATAAATTCTTTTACTGAGCCTCAAAAATAATTTGTACCATTACCATATTGTTTAATATTATTTAATATACATTGTTTTTCTTTTTTTTATAGTATGTAAAATTTTGTCTGCTATATGTAATGTATGTAGTAAAACACATATGTAATATATGTTTTGTGTATTATATTACACATATGTTTTGCTACATATATTACATACAATAGACAAAATTTGACATATAATAAAATAAAAGGAAAACAGTGTATATTAAATAACAGAACATATATGTAATATATGTTTCGTGTATTATATGCAAAATTATTTATATGTAAATTTTGTATATAAAAATTTAATTTTTGCATAAGGAATAATACAGCAATGGCGGCCATTATTATCAGTATAGAACGAAGTGTCTAAGACGTGTAATTATTATGTTTAATATTATTTAAATTGCAAAGGAAGAGAATTTTGTTCTAAATGCAGTTCCTCTAAATATCCAACATACGTGCATTCTATATAAAATTAAAATAAGCTAGAATAAATAAATTACTGACTTTTCTATAATTTAATGTTTCAGTATACACAAATTAAGTTTCAAACACTTATACCGTGGACCAGTTCTTTCCTGTTCCCCTCCTTCTTTCAAGGTGTGTGAACACCTTGTGTGTATGAACAATCAAGTAATTCCATTCGCGATTAACATAACGTTTTAATTAACGATGGATCTAAATCTCCACGTGGCGATTATAATTCAAACACGCGATTCGCATGGAAGTTCACCAAAGATTTCTCGAAGCCTTCGTTGCCGAACTTGTTGCATAACGATTAAAGACAACTACGCGTGAACCCGAGATTTCGATCGATCGGGAATAATTTATATCACTTGTATAACGCTCTGTTCGCGAGCAATCTAGAACGTATTAAAGCGAAACGGCTCCCGGGACTTCGCTGCATAGATTTATTCGTGGAAGGCGTAAGGATCGGATCTAACGCTGGAACTGACGTATTCACGATGGAAAACTAAGTTAAAGCTATATCTTTACGATGAAACTGCATCGCCTAATTGAACCGAGGAACGTTGCTACGTTGTATCGGGAATCAAGGTTCTCCATTTTGTACGGTTAATTTGTCTACGGAGTACGGAGCAATTACCAGATTATTTGGAATTAATCTCTTAATAATTGATAGACTTATAGTTAGTTATGTACCATTTAAGTCATTTCATATTTTTTAATTACACAAACCTGTTTCACGTGTTATTTTATGTGGAACCTTGGAAACTATTTTATTGGTACTATGAAATTGATATCTAGTGTTGATTAACATCACTAAAAAATGTATTTTTACAAATTTATATTATATTAAGTTTAAACTTAATTTACTTTAACTTTAACTTTTTTAAATTAAGTTTGTTTAGATATTCTGTTTCACAAAGTTGCACAACTTTCCTAATCCTCCGCATCAAATGTACAACGTATTTCATATTGGTTCCTAATCTAAGTAGTATTTATAGTATTGGTATAAGTAGTTTTTTTACAAATATTTTTGCGTAGCTATTTATTAAAGAAGTCTCATGCTAAAGAATAAGATTCCCACATAGAGAAAGTACAAGTCTTTTTACAAGGTCAAATCTGACCCTACTACAGTATTTAAGATTTAATGTACTTTCAAAAATAACAATATTTAAGATGAACATTGGGTGACTCATTTCGTGAGGTAGCAAAAATTATTTTCTTTTCCTAGGTCTTTTAAGATTTGTGCTTTTTTATAGTAGTCTGCAGTAGAAGTGAATATATAAATTGTTCGATAATGTGGATTCTTAGAAACATTCAAAAGTAATTTTCCAACAGAAACGCAGTATAATTATCAATGTTTCATTGTCCTTCCTACTGTACCAGCGACCGTGACACTGTATGACTGGCAAAAGATGCAGCCATAATTAATAAAACAATAATATAAAATTTAATACACATAGATTATTGTGAAGTATTAATTTTGTAGTCTAACGTTGCAGTTTAATATTAATTAATTATAAACCACTATTGTGATAAAAATATTCAAAATAATCTTTGACATTGGTCTTTACTAATATATGTCAAGAAGGTTAGTTTCATTAAATCTAACAAAGACACGATTTTTCTATTTATAGTATCTGTATGAGCTTTATGATGACATACGTATGAAACAACCTAATTAATTACTGAACAAAGAACGTTCAGCTAAAAATGAACATTACTGACGAAACTCCTTCAATCTGATAAATTATCAACTTTCCCTGCAAGAAATATTCAATATTTCCAAAGTCATAATTCACAAAAAGAAACATTTCCCAAAAACACGAAAAATATTCTTAAAAAAATAATGTCTGAAGTAACGTTACAGTTACGATCATAACTGTACGCCACAGTTCCCAGGCTTCTTATCATTTTAAGATCAGCAGGTACGATTAACCTGAAAACGAGAACTATGGCGAGTGTTCTCTAAATCTTTTTCAGGGCTCCCTATCAGTGATAGCGATCCGAGATTATAAAAATTAACAAGTACGTGTGATTCTCGTTCCTGAGAACGATGAAAGTAACGAAGTACGATAGAAAGTTCATTGTGATCCGTAATAAGTAAACAGCAGGGGATTTTACGGGGGAAACTACAGCTGCAGTTTTGAAGCAGAGTTACGTGCCACTTGTTACGCCTAAGCGATCGATAATCGAGAAGCTACGGGGAACGGTGCAAGGATTTTGTTAACGTTTGTCAATTTAAGTATATTTTATGTAATTTAATGTGGGAAAAGGATATTGGGACTTTAGGGACTGGAAGGTTTGAATTTTGGTATTTTTAGTGATGGGACTTTGAGAGTTTGGGATTTTAGAGTAGTGGGATTTTGGGATATTGGGAGTTTAGAATGTTGGGACTTAGGAATTGGGATGGTGGAGTCAATACTTAGGAGTATTGGGACTTTGAAATATTGAGACTTCGGAGTATTGGGATTTTGGAGTATTGCGATTTTGGAGTACTGGGATCCTAGAATATTGGGATTTTGGAGTACTGGGATTTTGGAATATTAGGAACTAGGAGTGTTGGGACTTAAGAGTGTCGGGACCTAGGAGTATTGGGATCTTGCAATATTTAGATCTTGAGGTATTGGGAGCTAGGAGTGTTGAAACCTAGAAGTGTTGAGATCTTAGGATATTTGGATCTAGGAGTGTTGGGACCTAGGAGTGTTGGGACTTAGGAGTGTTGGGACCTAGGAGTGTTGGGACCTAGGAGTGTTGAGATCTTCGAATATTGTAACCAAGGAGTGTTGGTTCTTGGAATCTTGAGATCTTATAATCTTAGTACCTCATCACCTTATTTTAATATCTCAGAAATTGAGTACTTTAAGACTTCCAAGTTCCAGAATTTTAAAACCTTGACCCTCCAAAATTTTATAGTTATGCAATTTTCGGTCTATGAGTGTTGGGATCTAGGAGTGTTGGAACCTAGGAGTGTTGGAATTTAGGAGTGTTGGAACCTAGGAGTGTTGGGATCTTGGGATATTTGGATCTAGGAGTGTTGGAACCTAGGAGTGTTGGGACTTAGGGATATTTGGATCTAGGAGTGTTGGAACTTAGGAGTGTCGAGACCTAGGAGTATTGGGATCTTGGAATATTTAGATCTTGAGGTATTGGGAGCTAGGAGTGTTGGAACCTAGGCGTGTTGGATCTAGGAGTGTTGGAACCTAGGAGTGTTGGGACTTAGGAGTGTTGGGACTTAGGAGTGTTGGGACCTAGGAGTGTTAGGATCTTGGGATATTTGGATCTAGGAGTGTTGGGACTTAGGAGTGTTGGAATTCACAAGTGTTAGGACCTAGGAGTGTTGAGATCTTCGAATATTGTAACCAAGGAGTGTTGGTTCTTGGAATCTTGAGATCTTATAATCTTAGTACCTCATCACCTTATTTTAATATCTCAGAAATTGAGTACTTTAAGACTTCCAAGTTCCAGAATTTTAAAACCTTGACCCTCCAAAATTTTATAGTTATGCAATTTTCGGTCTAACAAAACCTTGAAACCTCCTGATTTTACAACTTCGGGTCTTCAAACAATTTTAACATCAAAATTATCAGACTACGAACCTTCATAAATTTACAAATGTAATATTTTTATACTATTGAAATTTGCATCCTTGACATTTTTTAATTATCAAACCTTGAGATTGTAGTACTTTACAAATTTGAAACTTTAGGATCTTGGAAATTTACCCTGTGAGCTCAGAACTTAAAAATGATTCACAAAAAAAAGATCACTGATCGTTCTATTAGAATCTGACACGAAACATCCCTAGAAACGATACCTGGGGTAGTGGAAGTTCTCGGAGTCCTAGGAGTCCCCGGAACATCCAGGTTGCTCTCCTCGACGTTGTCCAACCAAGAAACGGTCCGCAAGGGGCCAGGTTTTTTTATCACCATCGCGTGATCATCCTCACCGTCGTAAATGTTCAGATCCTTAATTTCCTTCATTTTACATTGACTGGAAATCCCGTTCATGACTGTGCGCCCCGGGCTTGTTTGTTTCTTATACCAACGAGCTGTTCGCCGCTTCTGAATTCAAGGTAATCGGACGAAGGAAAATAGAAATCGTTCTAACAAAATAGATTTGATATACGAGAAGAACGACGACGGGCAAGGTAACGAATCGAAGTGAAAGTGGTGGTATTAAAAACGAGCTAAATAACGGAGATTATTATCTTTCAGTTTCAAAATTTTTTAAAATTGCGTGTTTTGTTGTTGTGAACGTAGAAGTGAAACTTCTGTGTTTGGACAGAAATTTGGGGTTTAGGGATTTGGAAATTTAAGGATTTTGGAATTTGGAAATTTGGAATTTTGGGATTTGAAAATTTAAGGATTTTGGAATTTGGAAATTTGGAATTTTGGGATTTGGAAATTGGAGATTTGGGGATTTAGGGATTTGGAAATTGGAGACTTGGTGGATCTGGAAATTTAAGTATTTTAGAATTTAAAAATTAGGAATTTTGGGATTTGGAAATTGGAGATTTGAGGATTTAGAGATTTGGGGATTTAGAGATTTAGGGATTTAGAGATTTGGGGATTTGGAGAAGTTGGAAATTTAAAAATTTTAGAATTTGAAAATTAGGAATTTTGGGATTTGGAAATTGGAGATTTGGGGATTTGGAATTTGGAAATTTAGGGATTTGGAATTTGGAGATTTAGGGATTTAGGGATTTAGAGATTTGGAATTTGGAGATTTAGGAATTATGGGATCTGGAAATTAAGGATTTTGGAGATTAAAAAATTCAAAAATTCAACAATGAAGAAAGTGGATATTTCAAAGATTTGACAATTTAAAAATTCAAGAGTTTGTGACTATTCTTAAGAGTTCCAAAATATTGAATTTTACAAATGTAAGAACTTGAAAATTTACAAAATTTATTCACACATCTTGGTACCCAAATGACACCCCAAATAGCGACCCTAGAAGTTTCACTTCAGTTCACCCTTCCCAACACGCCAATAACAATTAACATTCGAAAAACTGCGAGCCAAAAGAATGATTTAGAACCGCGTTACGCGAATCCCTGTTTATCCCTAACGCAGTACCACGTGATCGCCATTCATCCACAAACCGCGCATCAATCAATTTGTCAACTTACTATCAATCGTATTCAATCACAGTTCACGTGTACCAGGTCGATGCTAAATCTTTTCTTTGTTTTCCCAACTAGAACTCCCGACGCGTAAATTTCTATATCGAAGCGACAGTTGCAAGTTAATCGAGAAAAGAAAACAATGAAAGGGACTGAATGTCCGAAAGAAAGATTGGACCGCGAAGTTGCTCGGTCGAGTGACGCAGTGTGACTGAACCGACTAAACCGTGCAGAGTGCGAATGTCCCTTATGATTCTTCTGTCTCTCTTTCTATCTCTCTCGCTCGTTTCGTCACGCTCTTTTTGCCTCCGTTCTCCAAACAATTTTTCTCTGTACCGTTTGTTTTATCTGGAATCAGCGATCGTAGCACACGTCGCGGTGTCACTCGGTCCCCGAAAAAGCAAGGTCCGCGACTGACGAGCAACACGTTGTGCCAGGTTCGGTATATATCGGGAGAATGCGAGCGCGAGGTGAGAGTGATAGATAGGAGATGGTAGAGCGAATAAGCACTCCCTCCAATGCAGATCCTCCCGCTACAGTGTTCCAGAGGGAAATACCCAGCTTTTGCCCGGACCACAACGCGGGAAGCACGCTCTACTGTGACAAGTAGCGCCTCGTATGGCGGAAAATGTCGAGGTATCTCGTGAGGTCACAGATGCGTGATCGTTGCTTTATATCGGTATTTTATGTGTGGATGCTTTTGGGGTTTAATAAAGGTGATATGTGAAGCTGGGTTCTGGGATTTTGGAAGTATGCTAGCTTGAGATTTTGGGACTTTAAGGCTTTGGGATGTTGAAATTTTTCAGGTTTGGGATTTTGGTTTAGGATTTTGAGGAATGGGGACTTTGAGGTGTTGGGATTTTCAAATTTTGGGATTTTGAGGATTTGCAAGTTTGGGATGGTGGAATTCTTTAATTTTGGGACTTTGGGACTTTAGGATTTTGAGGAATGGGGACTTTGAGGTGTTGGAATTTTCAAATTTTGAGATTTTGAGGATTTGCAAGTTTGGGATGATGGAATTCTTTAATTTTGGGACTTTGGGAGTTTAGGATTTTGAGATATGGGGACTTTGAGATGTTGGGACGATGGAATTTTGGGACTTCGAGGATTTGCAAGTTTGGGATGTTGGAATATTGCAATTTTGGGATTGAAAGTTAAGGATTTTGAAATATGGGGACTTTGAGACGTTGGGACCATCGAATTTTTGAACTTTGAGGATTTGCAACTTTGGAATCTTGGAATTTTGCAATTTTGGGGTTTTGGTTTAGGATTTTGAGACATTGGGACTTTGAGATATTAAGACATTTTGAGACTACGGTGTTTCAGAATTTTGAGATATTGCGACTGTGTGGGGATCTTCAAATTTTCATAAGATTTGATATGTGTATATTGCAACTTTGGTCTATCACAAATTTTGATATATTGCAACTTTGGTATATTACAAACCTCGAGGCATTGCAACTTTATTGTATTGCAAACCTTGATATGTTGTAACTTTGGCGTACTGCAAACCTTGATATATTGCAACCTTGTTGTACCGCAAACCTTGGTATTTTGCAATTTTGTTGCATTGCAAACTTTGATATATTGCAACTTTGATATATTGCAACTTTCTTGCATTGCAAACTTTGATATACTGCAACTTTGTTGTACCGCAAACCTTGATATTTTACAACTTTGTTGTATTGCAAACTTTGATATATTGCACATTTAGTACATTGCAATTTTGGTATATTGCAAACTTTAATATATTGCAACTTTGGTAGTTTGGAATTTTTACATACTAGAACTCTGATGCTTTAGTCCTTTGAATTTTAGAATTCTTAATAAAACATTTGATAAATTAGAATTCTTGAATTTTAAAGCTCTGAGATATTAAAATTTTCAGATTTTGAACTTTGAGACTTGAACACCTTGAATCGTAAAAATTGTTGCATTTTTAAATCTTTAAATTTTGGAACTCTGGTTCGAAACTATTGAACTATTTCCAAAATCTTTCCAAGTATTAAAGTTATCACAAAAGTCTATATGAAGATCTTATTCAAAGTGCCATATAGAATGCTATGTCAAAGCATATAGAATGCTATATCAGAACATATAGAATTCTATGTCAAAGCATATAGAATACTTCCTAAAAAGAAATATATCAATACGTATTTTCGTACACTGATATGTTTATCAAGTTATAGTTACTTCCCGAATGAAGGGGTCGAAAGAGACAACCGTTCTTTTTCTAATCAAACAGTACTGGTTTATAAATAAATGCTACGTCTAGCGGTAATAATTGCATATACACGTAAGTGCATACGGAAGATTTGGCTCGTAGGAAAGTACAGAAATTTCATCCTTATTTGGTTTACACTACGTCAGAACCTACGTCATCGTGATTTCCAAGAGACCGGTTTACCTACTAAAACTTCCCTTTTCCTTCCATTCGCAAACTCCTTAACCCAACACCGTGTCTACGTGTTCTCGATGCACTTTAGAGAGACCTTTCCTAGTACGAACTCAATGCATACGTCAAACAGGTTAATTTTACACATTTTCAACCTTTTGAATTCTTTCTTCATTTCGAATGCGTTCTTTCTTCTTTTGTACGCAGATAGCTACTTCAGAAGGTGCGAAGGGGTTGACGTCATGGGTTTTTGTTCAGGAAAGTGAATATAATGCTCTCAGCCTTTTAACTGTGCCACTCTTCAACAATAATACAATTATTTATCTTTTAGAAAGACTTCGGACGATCAATATACATTTTCAATACAATGCTCATTGATAAAATGCAGTTTCTTTTCTTGTTCGCTATTTCTTGACAAACTACATTTTTCTTATCGATATTTCTTTTCAAGAGGGTTTTCTTGAAAATGCATTTTTCTCTTGTGTGTGCAATATTCACTGACAATATTGAAATATTTACAATATCGATAATACATATGTATAATACGTATGTATATTATGTAATATGTATACATATGTATAATACATATAATAATATTTAGATAATGTACATGTATATAATACATATAATAATATTTAGATATTATACATATGTATAATACATGTGTATATTATCTAAATATTATTATACATGCAATAAAGATTTAACGAAGAATTTCTATCCTTTCTGTACAATACAAAATACATTTCTCGAATTACATATTTTATGGGAATAATATAATTGAAGTCTGCAGGTAAATGCAAAAGGCAAAACTCTTTACGTAAATGCATTGCATGAGTTTTATTAGAAGTTAACTCGTTCCTGTGGAGTACAAAGGCACGTGGCTGTTAGTTACACATTTTCAAAGGACATGACCTTGAAAATAACCCCATCGATAACGGTAGACTATGTATTATTAAACGATAATTAATAGTGACAATAATAATTGAAGTGACCGTGACAGCATGCAACTGGCTATTCCCAGTTTCAGTAATGAAGTTTAAACGTCGATGAGGCTATTACGATATCCTGACGACGTTATTAAACTACGAGAGAAGGATGCTATGAAAAGTGAAGTTATGTCAGTAAAGGATACATCTACGTTTGTGTCTGTTTCTTAAAAATATTAAATAGGTGAATAAGATGTTAATAACATATTGTAGCTAAAGTAATTTATAATTTATAATTGAACGTGGTTGATGAAAGAAGTTGGCTTCAGTGTCATGGCGGTTGTATACCTTAAGGAGCATATTGCAAGTTTTAAATAAATCTAACATGTTAATTTATAATATATTTGTAATATACCATAATAAGATATTTCTTCATCATTAACAAATGATTAATAAATTATTGTAAACATTAATATGGTTATTAAATACACGAAAGAAAAGAAAATTTAGTAATAAGGTATAAAAATTTTATACTTATTACACTTTCACTGCAGCGATCAACGTATTAGCACAGTTATGATATTAATATTATATTACTATGGTAACGATCTATTAACACCTATCACCTATCTATTTCACCTATCAACGCATTAATAATAGTATAAAGATTATTAGCATAATAATATTACTTCAACGTTATTATTAACAACCACGCCGAAAATATCTTTAATCGCCATTACATCAGACTTAATATAATATTAATATTATTAACACCTTCGTCACACCCGAAATATAAATTAACTTTTAAACTTTGAATTCTCTATTAAATATTAATAACCTAGTGTACCATAACAAACACTACTGTTCTACAGCGGCACTCGTCGTTGAAAGGCTCTGCAAATGAATGGACGCGAATGTAAATCCTTTGTCTTATCTACGCGATCTGCAAAGAAGAATAGTCTATTGAATTCTGTTACTTTCTATCGTAACGATATTTTCATCGAACTGTACAAAAGAGCGTAAAGCCGTTTCTTCTCCGTATTCATAGTTGCACTACTGAAACTGGTCTGAATTCAACTGACCTTCACTACTTGCAATCAATACAAAGCTGCTACATCGTGATTCGATACATTGCCACAATGAAAATGAACAAGCACATTAAAATTATAATTTTATGATCACAAATTCGGTTAAATAAAAAATTAGAATAGAATCTACTTGTCCCTGAAGACAAGTTAAGGAAGACGCAAAATTGATTTGAAAGTAACACTCCTGACAATGTGGATATGACTCGCGACTTAACAAGCGTGAAGAAGTTTTTACGTCGGTTTAGCGGTCGAGTTGAAAAGGGAGAAAAACTGAAGGAAAGGCAACACGTAGGCAATCGAAGTATATTGGCGAAGAATTCGAGGCCATTCTCACGTAACAACAGCGGCAGAATTAATGCCACAAGAATGTACGGTGATGGACGGCCGAAGAATGATACCACCCCGAATTCGAGATTGAATAGATGATATTGTGATATGATTTACTTGCGAGCAACCGTGAAAAGTAATTAGAGCGTATGTATTTCGATCAAGATCTAGGTAGTGAAACCAGAGGTATCCGGTAAAATTTACAGTGACTCATTTGTTCACGTAAGTACTTCTCAATTCTAAGAAAGGTAAATACCAATTTTTTGCTTAGCGATTCCCGATGCGTTAATAAATATATGTACAAACAATTTTGCGTGAACGATTGTGAGAATTGATATACGATCTAAGACGCATGTTTTAAAAAAGAAGTATACGGATAACATTTATTTTGTATAGCAAATTAATTATATTAATTAATTATATTGTATAGCAATATTATTGTAATATTATTAACGTCGAGTTCCATTTATAAATTATAAATGATGGTCCACGTTTTATACGTACGACAAACATACGGATTTTACCCTAATGCAAACACCTGATACAATCTCGTGTTTTACCCTACGGACACTCGATACTGTTTCTTAATATCATTTCATCGACACTTAATATGATTGGGACATATAAATTTACGATATCGAGACGCATGAAAAAAGAAATGTAACAGACCTGAAACGATATGAAAGTACACATCGTTCTAATCTAATTATCAAAGACTTATGATACGTTCATGCGATATTTATGTAATCAATAACTGTGATTTCTTTCATGGTCGCAAGATCTCATCTTCCTCAGTAAATAAATTTTTAGATTGTTAATTTTGTCATTAAAAAATGATATCTGAAAACAATGAATATTTTTGATGAATAATATTATTAGTTGAAGTCGCTTGTTACGTTAATTTTACAGTTAGTAAAATTACAAATTAGTAAAGTAGACGAATACAAGCAAAGGTAGACTTACCGCCCTCCACTATGCGATCCATTTTGTATAATCTACTTCCGCGTGTCGCCAAGTAGAAACGCGACCAAGATCGTAGAAAAGTGTATCTTGCACTGATGACTCGGTTTCGAACCACAGTTTTATATATCTACCATGCTCAAAAAACCTTTGTCAAGCTAAATCCCCTTCCAGCACGTCAATTTGGTATGGCGTTATAGATCGTAGAATACTTGGTAACGTTGTTACTTCGAAATGAATAATACGGGAAATAAAATACGTCATACTTTGGAAACTGTGAAGGAAGAACCGCTTTACATTATCACAAATTAAAAGTTTATAAGCGTAATACGATTCATTCTGCAGATCTTGATCGCAATTATAAGTATGAACCATTGATAACGATTTTGAAAAATATCGCAAATTGTATCGGTGTTACGTAAATCTTATTTTGATTCTCTGCAAAATCTATGCTGTAATCAAGATCTTGTGCAACGTTGTTAATAAATTAATATTTAATAGTTCAGTTATGTAAACCCATCGCATTGAAACGTCACCCGCGTTTAAAAATGGGATAATTGTTACTGTATTTTTATTATAGATACCTATCGGTTACTTAAATAGAAAAAGTTATCATATAATAGTATTCCTTCAAAATAGGAGAATAAATATAGTTTTAATTATGATGAAAAGCACTTTTATTGAAATTGTAATACAAGTGATTAACACGTACTAAATATATGAAACAATAACAATGCGTTGAATAATAACATATTTATAAATTAAGAATAAGAAAATGCACGTTAATGGAACGCGTATAATCTTAGATACTAATGGATATATATATTTTTATTTTATTTTGTGCCACAACATGTTAGCCATCAAAACATGCGGATTTTATATTATTCTTGTTAGGAAAAGTTATTTGTGCACAGTTATGAATTCTTATAACTGTAAGAATATAAATTAAATAAATTCCATTACCAACTAAATTCTGCGTCAGCGTTTAGAATTCAATAATATAGATTAGTATGTTATTCGGAAATGCTTCTACTATTCAGTACTACATTACAAAAATGAAAGAAATGTTGAAACATTTTGTAGAGTAACAAAAAATCCATTACCCTCATTTACCAGTTACTGACATTACTTAAAAAAATATGAGTTTTTCATAACTTGCTTTTAAATGCATCTATACACATAAAAATAGTTCTATAAAAAATATTTTTCTTGACTGTCAATATCACTTACAAAATTGAAAATATCGATATCAATTTAAACCGTAGTTGCAAAGCAAGAAATGCAAAACTCCTTGTTCTTACAGTTTTATTTATTTTCAAGACGAATTTTATATGTAAGAGTAGATCAAAGATCTTATACTTCGCTGGAAGAAACTACCTCGAATCTTATATCCTTTTTATTCAATTCTTCAATTAGGGATGTCTTACTAAATGCAGCACCAGGAGACAAAACACCACCACTAAAATAATAATATAAATTTTGTATTCACATATTTATAAGCTAAGATTTAAAATGGAATTAGAAACATACTTAATAGGAATTTTATCAGATTCTTTGAGAATTGTTATAGCAGAAAGTAATAACATAGTACATGTAGCACCATATCCAGGATTTTTGCCCTTGACTTCAGTAATTAATAAATGATTTGGTGGCTCTTTGCGTACATCAGTGGGCTCTGCTAATTTGTCAGACCAACCTATTGCTCTGAATGTAATACAAAAATGAGTGTTCTCCAGTTCTTCTGGTTTCCCACCTTCACGACTTATAAACCCTCCGGAAAAGAATGACGGATACTACAAATTAAATCAAATAGATTCATAAAAGAATTAGTACTATCATTTAATTAAATGAACAATGAATAAGGTATACCTTCAACAACAAGTTTCGACCGAAACTACATTTAGAGAGCAATGCAAAGACTAAACCAAAGAACAAAACTGCCACTACTTGAAGGAAAGACCTGTTAGTAAAAAATGAATTCATTTAGTATTAATTATTATTCTTAATTTCAAGGAAGTTAATAAAATCTTAAATACAAAATTTACCTAAATGTAACATATGTTTGAATCTGCGCAGGTCTTTGTTGGTATTTTTCATATAAAAATCGTTGAGTGTATAAAGCTATGGAACGATCAGAACCAGGAAATATTGTAGACCAATCCCCTGACACAGGTGATTTATGAATTATGCCTCTGAAATAATTAATAATAGAAGATATAGTAAATAATGTATGTTTCAGAATCAATTACAAAATACTGTATTGTTTCAAACCTTGTTTTAAGTTTTGGCTTAAAAGTAGGTAACTTTTCAGGATAAAGTTTTCTACGTAAGGTTTTCAATTCATGAGAATTTGCAACACCATAAACCAATGATTCGTAAGTTCCATAATGTAAAACAGCACCAGTAACTTTTGCAGTTACCCAAGTTTTTAAATAAGTTTCGATAGAATTAATTTCGCCATCAAATTTTTGCTGAGTAAATATGACACCAAGGTCGCAGGGTATACTATCAAATCCACATGCGCTTATAATGTAAATACCAGCTTCTTCAGCTTCTTTATGATATTTTAATCGCATACTTTCTATGTACTGTTGTAAATAAGAGAAAAGATTATTAATTTGACTGTAATACTATTCTTAACTTTTTTAATTTAGTAGATTACCTGTGGTTCTCCGCTAACATCAACTTGATGAGTACGTGTTGCAATACATGCTTTAATAACTGGTTCTCCATAAAATCTATATGGACCACAACAATTAACAAGTACCTTAGCTCGCTCAGTCATTTTCTTCAATGATTCTTCATCTTTTAAATCAGCAACTATGATTGGTACATTATCTAAAAAATTAAAATAAGTATTAAATTACAAACATTAATATTGTAGCAAAAAAATCTTGTACTAGGACTATAGCAGATCTATAGGAAATTTAAATTTTACCAATATCAGAAGCAAACTCTTTAACAACTGCCTCCAAAGCTTGCTTGCGACGTCCAGAAACTCCAAACTTTAAATTTTTCTCCTTAGCTAATTCCACTGCCACTTTTACAGCATATTTCCCAGTAAATCCAGTCGCTCCAAATATCACAAAATCTAATCGTTCGCCTTCCATATTGCTAATATCTATATAATATTTACAAACTTTACATATACATTACGCATATATTTAATAATACTTTAGAATATATAATAAGATAAGGTTTATAACATGATATACAATAACAAATGTTTATAATTTATAAAACAATATAATTTGGACATTATTAGTGACATACATGGACTTTATAAGTACATATAATGATGCAAAATACTTTATACATTAATAAGGATCATAATTTATTCTAATGCATTCCAGTAGGACATTTTTTTGCGCATACGTCACGCCGCAAAATCATTTATGGATATCACGTATATATGTATAATATTAGAAATATTATATGACGAAACAAGAAATATTGAATAAACTGTGCAGATAAAAATATTTATCAAATAAGTTCATCTATGAGCATAATATATCTTTCGTACATTTCATTGAAACCCAATTAACATTTTACCGGTTGTCATACGCAATTGCTATTCTCAACAAATTATTATATTTCAATACAGTTATTTATATATTTAAAAGATTATTTTTATAAAATACGTACCTTATTATGGGCAAAGAACAAGATTGCAACTGTTTTTCAATGCTAAAATTAGCGAAGTTAATCTCCTCCACAATTGCGTCTGTTCACTAACGTGTTGCTGGAATAGGAATCAAATGCGCGGCTGTCTGTCAAGATCGTTAGAGAGGGGGGGTTTGCGAATTTATTATTATAGAATATCTGATTATAGATTTTGTAAATTGAATATTAAATATTGAAGATCGTGTCTTAGATTATTTACATTTAATTTATATTCTTTGTTGTTATGACAACATTTTTAATTTTTTTTGCTATGAAATTGCGTATGAAAAATTGCAAGTAATGCAAGGACACACACAAGGTTCTCCATGAGAGAATTAGAATAATGAAAAATTACCGTTTATGAAAATTTAATCTTTGAATTATTGAGTCTTGTATTTCGGAAGTTTAGGATCACGGGATATTGGAGTATCGGGACCATTGTAATTTTTAAACTTTGACAGTTCGAGTTTTTAAATTTTAAGATTTTGGAATTTGGAACTTTTAATTAAAAACTTTTACGGTTTGAGAGTCTAAAATTTCTAAAAATAATGCATTACAAACATCTCGAAAAACTACCGTTTTTAAAAGTGAGTCGCGACGCATATATGTTTGAGAACCTGTATTACATTCGTGAAGGATATTATGCAAATTTAAAAACTTCCGTAAATAGTTTAATCCTGTATATTACGATCGCTATGACTTGCAAAACTACTAAGTACAAAACAAAGTAAATAGTAAAACATTAATAAATATTACCGTAGTCTTTTTATTATATACATATTTCAAGCGATTTGGTTTATTAGGTATATGGATTATTGATTAAATAACGATTTTAGTGAACGGTTGAATGAGTTTGATTTTAAGAGTCATTCATACTAATATGATATCTGTGACGTACATGTATGACGAAAAAGTAGTTTTTATTTATATTCTTATAAGTAATAAAATATGTTATTGTAATTGTCCTATTGTAATTATACAGTATTAAATTATTTCACTACATTATTTATTTTATTTCTTACTTTATATTTACAACATATTTGTTTTTTTTATTACGCGCAGTCTGTATTTGGCTAGTAATAAATTATAAATAGCTCACTGTTTAGAATATCACTTTGCAATTAAAATCTTAAACTAGCAGATTTCTAATAGTGGTATAATTTCCATGTACTTTTTGTTTCGTACATATGTAAGGACACAAAATAACGTAGTATACAATTCCGCGTTGATCTGGCCAGATGCATATAACATGTATACACTATTATTTACAGAAATGCACGCTAAAAATTGTAAACTTTTTCTATTCATAAATTCACTTTTCACGAATAAAATGATCTACAAAATAATTTTTTTTCTTTGATAACTTAATAAAGGTATATTATTTATGCAAGTAATTTTAGGTAATAAAAAATAAGTAATGCTACAATGAAACATTTGTAGCGCTCGTATGATCGTAGGTTTATGAAAATTAATGCGTAAATATAAAAAGCTTGTGACTTTCAGTTTTTGGATGAATATAAAATTCGCAAGTATCTATTACGAAAATATAACGCAATTTATATTGCTCGTGACATCCTATTAGATAAACCATGAAATACAAATTATAAATCCTCACTAAAATTTAGTCCAGAAATATTTTAATACTTTTTTGGATAATGATTGTTGAATAATTAAAAACCAATTACTCTTCTTTCTACTTACAATATCATAGTTATATTCAAATGTTTTTAACTGAAGCAAAACTAAGGGAGCTAGTCTTTTTATTTTTTCTTCTACACGAAAGCAGAATACTATGTGAGTTATTCCGGAGTTAAATATACATCGAATATAACTATCACCTTATACTAATATTTACAATATCTCACATTGTCTTGGATAGAATACAAAACTATGGTACTTTAAAAGAATGAACGCAAAAATATAATTCTTATCTACTTCTCAATTGCGAAAGTATAAATTCTATAAAAGAGGAGAAAGTTAATATTTTTTTTCTCTTTTAAGAATGTAATTATCTTGTTGGCAAATACCATATTTGTCATTTTGTTCCTAATTTTACAATAAATACACGTGTATTCCGTTACTCTACATGGTTTCTTTTGATGTAAAATTTTGTGGATGTTCAGTTAATAGAAAATTTATATAACATTCACTAATTTGTACAATTTTACAGATATCATTGTATGAAGTAAAACAGTCGATGATTGATGTATCTATTGCAATGCAATGAGATATCGATCAATGTGTAGATGAATTATTAAACTATAAATCAATCATAAAAATCTGAAGACATATGTTGAAAGATTACATAGTTTAAAATAGTGAATAACTGTATAGAAGTTAAACATCTATTGAACATATATCATCAGTATTGAAAATGCAAAATATATTACATATGATTTAGGAAGGCATACACTTCAGATTACGAATTTTAACACTGTACGTAATAGTATACACTACAAACACATTCACTGATTTTTAGTTCATTATCAAATGTTACTGTAATTGCACTGTAATCAAACAGATTTACGGATAGAAACATAATTATTCGTGTATGAAAAAAGATTGGTGAATATAAACTTAAAACTTCAATACCATTATTTTGCAAAAGATGACATATACGAAAAGAAATATTAATTATAATACCAATAATATGTAGCAGCTTGTTTTCTGTGCACAACCTCTCCTGAAAAGTCTTAAAAAAAAAAGACCATTCGATCATAGTACAATCGTTTTGCATATTAAGTAAGCATTGGAATAGATTTTATACATAGATACAAGTCACGAGTGGTACTAAATCACAGAATAAACTGTGTAAAGAAGTTAGCATATAGCCACGTTTAAGCGAGCATAATGTACAATGCTCAGTCAGGTAAAACAATAATGGCTCCATTAAAGTTACAGCCGTTCAACGACACATTTGAGAGTGATAACAAGAAAAAGGAGCACTAGGAGTTAGCATTTGGAGGAGGTGGTCTTCTGTCGTAATCTCTTCTATAATCTTTGTTCGGTCGCCAATCACTACTAGGATAACTGTCTCCGGGGTAACCACGACCCCTAAAATGGCTTGGTGGAATATCAGATTGAGGATAACCACCACCACCTCCGCCCCCATATCCTCCTGGACCATATCCGTAACTTGGTGGTCCCGATGGATATCTGTAATAATCGCTGAACACCAATTTCATGAATTTCATTTTTAATATATACCGTTTTTAGCCTATTTATAATCTTACCTTCTCTTGTCATTTATGTGCATACTACGGTCACGTTCCCTGTCTCTGTCTCGGTGATATCCACTAGACATTCGTCCATAAGAATCAAAACGATCACGTTTATGGTCTCCAAATCTATGAATTAAAATTATACAGGTAATATTGTAATATATATGGCTTTTTAATATTTCTAAGAATGTATATCAATAGTACCTTCCATCCCGAATATCTCTTCCGTCGCGAGATACCCAATGGTCATCTTCCCTACTACCACTGTAATGTCCACCTATACTGTAACCTCCACTGTCTCTTCTAATCCTCTCGTCTTTTCCTCCACTCATTCTGTCCATATTTCGATCGCTATGAGTTCGATCTCTGTCCCTATCGCGTTCCCTGTCCCTCTTTATGTCTTTGTGTTTTGATTCCTTTTCTTTGTGCCGTGGCGTATCCACGCTATTAGTGGTACTTGATGTAGAATTTGGAGTTGACGTAATAGGAGTTATAGTGATAGCACCGATAGTCACTGCAGAAGTACTGCCAATGTTACTAACAGCAGATATAGCTGACAGGTGTTTTTTACTTGGCGTACTACTATTTGAATTTTCTTCCGTATCTTCGATTCTGCGTTTTGGTAATCTACTTTCTTTACTACTTTCTACTTGTTGTTTTTCGATATGTTTCTCATTATATTTCTATGAAACAAAAATTGGAAGAATGAAATATTTATACTTAATAAAAATTATATAATTGTTAATGGCATGTAATTATAAAAAGTTATCACTATACCTTTGTACTACTTGGCTCGTCTTTCTTTTCGGGACTGGATGTAGCACTCGTATTACTTTCACCTCCTTTTTTCGTCGCGTGTTTGTATAATTTGTAAAGCTTCTTTGCATCGAACTCCGTAAATTTCGACACAAAATACCAGAGATTGCTTCTCCATTCTTTGATCTGTTCTGGATCTCTGTATTCCTCTAAACATGTATTAATTTGGTTTCCAATTTGTACAAGACACTGTCTCGTATGGGCAACTTGTTCTGCTTCACTGAGTGATTGATCAGGTCTGTCTAAAGCTTTCAGTGCTTTTTTCACTGGTCTCATCTTTTCTTTACACTGTGGAATGAAAGATATAATTAGAGTATGATTATATACTTGATACTTATGATACACAATATTAATATAGAAATTCGTAATAACCTCGTTAAATATAGAAGGATCTAAATCGCCAAGGACGTCCAAAGCTCTCGGTTCATTATTTGCAGTGAAATGCATTGGACCTGCAGCTTGTTTGCTAGCCTTTTTAGCCTTTTTATTTTCTTTTCTTTCCTTTTTAGTTTTCTTCTCCTTTTTCCTTTCTTCAGCTACATCTTCACTTTCTTCCTTAATTTCTTTTTTTATTACATTTTCATCTTCTTTCTTTACAAGTGGCTTTTGTTAACAAAATATGAAATATGTTGAGTAAATACTTTTCTCAGACTGAGTATGCATAAATGAATATTATATTCACCTTATCAAGCTTATTTTTTGATTTACTACTTTCTTCACCCGAGCTATCATTTTCTTCTATGATCTCCTTTGTGATAGCACTTTTAACTTCTTTCGGTTTTCGCGGCTTCCTTGCTTTAGTCTAAAATTATGAAATGTATACAAATATATCTAACTATCAATAAATTTACATTTGCGGCAATTTATATTCATTAAATATAAATTTCATGGAAAGGAATGTTAGGCATAAAAACAGGATGGGAAATTAAGGATTTGGAAATTACCTTCGACTGAAATTCTGATTGAGGAATGAACACGTAACCCTGTTAGGATGAAATAAAGGAGTAAAGGAATTCTTGAAAGAGTACTGTACAAATAAAACAAAATAATGTTTTCTTACCACCCCTAATTTTGAATCAATTTGTTTCTTCAGGACTTTTAAGAGGTATTCAGCACGAGCATTTATTTTTTTTAAATGAAGTTTACTACCATTTGGGAAAATTTTATCACCAAGTTTCAGAGTGTTATCCATCTTTATCGCTTCCCACGAACCCATTCCATGCTGATATATACCTTTCAAGAGCCTAGTGTCATCTTCAGAACTCCAGTCACAATCGAAATTTGCAGGTTTTAATCTAAAATGTAATTGAACGTAGAAAATGAATGTATATATTTGATTATACAAATTTCAAAAAGAGGATAATTACTTAATATCAAGATGCCAATTAGACCGTTGTTCAGAGTCAGATGGCAAAGCTTGTTCCAGAGGTTCTAGTTCTTTTACAGCAGCTGCGAAAGACTTTGCATTAACCATAACACCGCCAATTTTAAACGTAGGTCCTCTGCCCCTTTTACGGCCAGGACCTTTGCCCTCTTCTTCTCCCTTATTTTCTTTCGCGGTACTTTCAAATTCAGATAAACAAGCATCGCATCTAGATATTAATTGATCTCCTAAGAAACGCAATTCTGACATTGGTTTTTCTTGTAATTCAGCATCTGCCGCTATATCATCTAATCGTTTCAACGGTGCCGGGAATTTCTTGTAACTTTTAACAAATCTTCGTATCTATGTATTAAAACACAATAATTTTTAATCATATGCAAATTAATTATTACGATATAATAAAGAGATTAAAAATACCTCTGCATCGGTGAAACTCTTTATATTTTCTCGAGGTGTGACTCTTGGTCTACCTCGTTTCTTAGGACGTTCATCGTCACTACCTTCAGCCTCACTGCCAGTTTCTTCACCTTCATCAGACTCATCGCCAGATAGTTTCTTTCGCTTTCTGCCCCTTCCTTTATATCAAAACAAGTACAAATACATTATAACGTGACACGTGATAAATATTAACCTTCAAAGGAACATACCTTCACCTTGATTAATTTGCTGCAATGTTTTCCGACTTCTCGGTGGTAAGTACAAATCTTCCATTTCTTTTGATTTTTCTTCTTCTTCAACTTTCTTTCTGAAATTTTCTGGTATGATTTCCGCCTACAATCAATTTCCAATGTATAAGATTTAAAAAAATATAAAGGTACCATAAGTAATATTAAAACTTACCCAATCTTTGCTTTCATCGTCATTGTCATTAAGCTGATTAACGGGTTCAGATTCTTCCTCAAACGCAGCAAAACTAGCTACTTTGAAAGCAGATAACAATTCATCTCCAACTGTTGAAGGGCCTTCATCTCGTGTTTCCGCTCTCCTCAGAATTTCGTCGATATCGCACTAATTATACAAAAATAATAAAACCTTATTGTTCGTATTTTTACACATTTTGTTGTATAATATTTGAAATCCTTTAGAAAAATTACAGTCGGTTCTTCGTCCCCATCTTCTTCATCTTTAAATAAATCTTCAGCACCAAATTTTAAAATAGCATTCAGATCTTCTTTATTAAACGGATTGTTATTGGTCCCTGCATTTTTCTTATCTAATACTGTTCGACCAGTTGTGTCCATTCGTTGAATTACAAGATGATCCAGAACCATTTTCTGCTTCGCTCTTTCTACTATTTCTTCTTCCACAGAATTTTTTGTTACTAAGCGATAAATATTAACCTACATAACGAAATATTTTTTTTTTATAAAGAACGTTTAATGTATAAAATGGTGACTATAAAGTCAACACAAAATATTTAATAAACACCTGATTCTTTTGTCCAATACGGTGCGCTCTGGCTTGTGCCTGTAAATCATTTTGTGGATTCCAATCTGAATCAAAAATAATGACTGTATCGGCAGTGGCTAGATTAATACCAAGACCACCTGCTCTTGTTGATAACAAAAAACAGAAATCTTGTGAACCTTCAGCGTTAAAATGATCTAACGCCTGTTTCCTTAGTTCTCCTTTTATACTTCCGTCTAATCTTTGGAATGGAAAATGCCTCTTTTGTAGATATTCGCCGAGAATATCTAACATTCTGACCATTTGACTAAATATTAATACTCTATGACCAGTTTCACGTAATCTCACCAGCAGTTTATCGAGAAGAACTAATTTCCCAGAACCACGAATTAGCTGTTGCAAGTAATCTTCATTACTTTCTTTTTTCTCATTTTCAGTCGGTTTTGTGAGAAAGGCATGATTACAGCACTTTTTTAATTCGATAACGATATTTAGGAACGTCATAGTAGAACCTTTAACACCTTTTCGTAATGCATTATAGTTTTTGGTTAATATCCATTTATAATATTGTTTTTGTAAAGATGTCATTTCTACTCGCAAAATTTGTTCAACTTTAGCGGGTAAAGATTTTTCTACGTCCTTTTTAACGCGTCGTAAAATAAAAGGCTCTAACTGTTTGTGTAACTTAGAATATCCTTTTTGAGCGGCATTGTCATGTTCTTTTTCAAATTCTTCCCACGAAGCAAATCTATTAGAAAAGATTAACATGAAGTGATTGTAGATAAAAAAATGGCAGTCTAGAATTATAAAGTTATACATTTTATAAGAATTTATAAATGATGTAATTATAATATTATTTTAAAATCAACTAACTTAGCAGGCATTATGAAGTGTAGTAAGGCCCATAATTCTTTTAAGCTGTTTTGTAGGGGAGTACCAGTTATCAATAGACGGTGATTTGTATGAAATTCAGCCAACGCTTTGTACAAAAGCGAATCATCGTTCTTCAGTCGATGTGCTTCATCCACCAACAACACCGCCCAATTTAAGGCACCCAAAAATGCTTTATCTTTAAGTACTATTTCATATGTTGTAAGTATGGCATTAAATTTTAGTCTCTTTGAACTGTAACACCATTCATATTCTCTAATCTAAAATATAATAAACACATGCACAATATATTTTAAACGTCTTATTTATAGAAAAATTTATAAAAATACAATTTTTGTAGATAAACAATACATACAACATTACGAGAGGTAACATCACCCAAATACGTGACGAAATTCATATCTGGAGCCCACTGTGACATCTCTCTTTGCCAGGAAGTCATTGTTGAAAGAGGAACTACTAATAAAAATGGCCCGTACAATTGATGCGTGTGAAACAAATAATAAAGGAAGCATATTGTTTGTATAGTTTTACCAAGACCCATCTCATCTGCTAAAATAACACTGTAAATAAACAACATTCATCACAATATAGAATACATCAAATACAGCACTGATACAAATATCAGTGTTTTGTAAAAAATTCTCATTTGTTAATTATGTACCTATTTTCTTTACACCAAGAATGAATCATCCAATTTAATCCATCCATCTGATAATCTCTAAGAGTTAAGTCTCGCCCTTTTCCCATATAGTCTGGTTGTCCTTTGAGTTGATGAAATTTGGGTCTTGATTTGAGGACTTTGCAATGTTTGCTGGGTGTCCTTTTCGAATCTTCTCTTTCACGAAATTCTTTAATTTTTTCTGGCCACTTTTTAACAATCAATGCTCCATCTTCCCATGTGGCCTCAGCATACGGTAAACTTTCCCATTTACAATAATAATCAGGATGTTCTGAATCGGGTTTATTGTACTCAGCAATAATTCTTTCAACATTGTTATAACTCTTTAAAAGATCTTGTTGAAGTTCTAATTGACATTCAAAATAATCTATATCTTCAGGTCCAGCACAATCTCTCCATTGTTTAATTTCTCGTTCTTTTTTAATAAAATTATCTAATTTTTTTAATCCTTTTACTTTCTGTGCTTTTAAAGATTCTTCTGATTCCCACGTGTTATGTATATGAGACCATCCTTTCCATTTTATTAAATACTGCATTTCAGTTTCTTCATTAGATAAGTTTTCCGGATTTGGGTCTCCATTTTCTTCAACAGCATATATTGTCGTAACATTCCCTGTTACTGAAGAGAAAGATACGTGACGTTTAAACACACGTGTGCCACATATCTAAACTGTAATATTTAAATGAAGTTATTTTGAAAACGAACCTCCTTTTTTGCCAAGTCTTTGACCTAAAATTCGTTCAACTGTTTCTGCATTATCTGGTTCTGCAGTTGCAGTGCTACCTTCATCAACTTCTACTAAATCTTCACTATCAGTTCTTTCTTCACTTTCTTCTTTGTAACTAATTGCGGTACCAGTTCTTCTTGTAACTTGCCTGTAATACATGAATTTTTACCATAATAATTTTACTAGCGCTAATATTAAATTCATTATTTTTGTTAATAATAGGTGGTGTTATTTAGACATCCAAAACAATATTGAATACCTTCTATTATCATCGCTGTCGAAAGAAGAATTTTCAGATGATTCAGAAATTCGTTTTTTTCGAGGCCTAGCTTTCTCTTTTGCTTTTTGTGCTGCACGTCTATTTAACGATTTACTAGGGGGAGGTCTTCTGTTTTCAACATCCTCAGATTCGGAATCTGAACTTTCAGAGTTCCACGAATTATGTGAACTGTAAAAAAACATGTAAACAAACACAATTTATATAAGCAACAATTATCTGTATATATAAATGATATCAAGGATTTGACTAAATCAGGTGAATCATATACAAATAACTTTATACATAAATTTAGCTTTGTGTAGTATTGCAATAAAGTATTTCAATATTATCCACTAAAATTTTATTCTTTCATTTATACAATAGAAACAAATTAAATCAAACAACAGTTACATGCAAAATATAAAAATTATTAATTTGTTAACGAACAAAGTAATACCATACAAAATATTTAATAAAATCAACAAGAAATTATGTCTGTTTTATTATAATCATTATTATTTATTCAAAACAATAAGTTTCTTCTGCTAACTACATTCTTTGCATGCATATAATTTAACACAAATTTAAATAAAATATTTCACATTCATTGAACATTTTCTTCCTGCAGATATATTAACTGAATTGAATAGATATGTGAATACGTACATGACTACGTAGGTGTTAAAGAATATAGTAAATATGTGATATATTGAAACATTTTAGTTAACAAAAATGGAAAATATACAAACATGTATAAAGCAAAAACACTGCAATAGCATAAAACTATTTTAAATAAACATTAAGCTTCAGAATTTTAAGATTAAAAAGGAAAAGAAAATATGCGTACAGAAATATACAAATTACATGAGATATAGAAATACATTAACACATAACATCTGTAATACCAAATATGATGCATATATGAATATGAAGCATTGAAGAATGTTATTGCTACTGCAATTGCAAAATACAGACCTATTATATAGTGTAAAATGCAAAAGTGTTATACAATATTCAATGCAACTATTTTACTTTTTTCTCAGTAATAAAGATTAAAGTTTATAGTGAATACTGTTGCTACTGTTGTTATTATTATCATCATACATATTGTGAAGTGTATGTTTCCTATTTTAATACATATTTCATCATGTTAAAAATGTAAAGAGCAAACTTTATTTCATACTGCAAACCTATCAATTACAATTTTAAATGTAAACGCAAATTCTATGTATAATTTAGAATCTAGTATGAGTAACATGAATGTATGTTTATGTGTACAATACCTATTCAATCTACGATAAGTAATAGAGTTTATAATTTGAGTTTCTGATGATTACTTGATTGAGTTTGCATATTACTTACCCCTTTTTTTTAAATTTCTTGCGACTATCGCTATCGCTTTCACGTTGTGGAGCAAGCCTTTCAGGCTCTTTTCTAGAACGCCCAGATCTCCTGATGCCATATATGTCAGGATTTTCATCCCATTCGCGACTAGACTCATTCTTAAGCCTAACTTTTGTTTCTGTGCTGTGATTTGAACTTTTGCTCTGGAAGCTATCACTTTGTGCAGGTGCATCCGACTTCTCAGATTTATCAGAATCAGAACCTGATCCAGACCCGGAACCACTTGAGGAGCTAGAGTCACTGCATTAGCAGTCAGGTAACGTTTCACCAACATTATTATAGACTACACATTTGTATATTTTGAAATATATTTAACAGCAACACATAGTATAAGTATCATATATTTCTAATTTAAAATACTGACTGCTAACTTAAAATAATTGTTTGTAAACCCAAACTCTGTCAATTATTCAAACATATATTATACATCTTTTATCAGAACAAATTTTTTATTTATAGTAAATATATAAATAACTATTATGTAATTTCATATTTCCATCTTTTCTTTTTATTTAATAATGATTTGGACTAAAAGGTATGCACATTAGTTATATAAGTGTTGCATCTAAAGACATGAATATTTGATTTGTATTGATTGATTAGATAATACATGTTTAAATGATAATTGATGTATTTCAATATTTCAAAAAACATCATTCAATAGACAGTTCAAAATATTGTGTGAAAATATTCTTTGTGTCCTTGTACAATCTATATTAATACACACTGTGTATAACTTATGGGAATAAATGAATTATAAGTGAAATGAGTAAAAGCAGTAAAAAACTAGCTTACCTAACAGTTGTTTAAAAAAGAAATAAGTACTGTTGCATGAATAACAGAAAATTGAAGATTGTGCTTATATAAAATTTAAGGGACACATTAAATTAGCATGATTATTAAAGCAATGTTAATACTATAAAAAGCTATAGCAATACACAATCTCAAGAACCCTTCATATCTCAGAAAGTCAAATACCTAGTTATTAATTCCAGTATTTCAGCAGAAAATATACAATTCTTTCTAGACAGAGATAATGTAATTGCAAAAGAATAAAATTAAATAATGTACAAAACATAATGTAGTATCTTAATTTGTCATGTATTAGACTTTCTGAAAAAAAGGGATTAGATAACTGTGATCTTAATACCCACCTTTCTGATCCTGAACCAGACCCTGTATTGCTTCCTGAGGAAGAGCTATCACTCTTACTTTCATTTTCAGAATCGGATCCAGATTCCTTACCAGACTCAGATTCTAATGTTTTCTGTAATTTAATCAGAGTAATCTAGTATTGTTTAACTTTGAAATGTGTTTAATACGCAGCGTGTTGTTTGGAATAGTTTTTAATTATTAATATTCATATAAAGATCCTTCTAGAGTATATTATTTTTACTTCTTATAACAGCAACTATTTTATTATATTTTATCTCTAAATTATTAACATTGCATAGTGATGCATCATTAAATGTTTGGTACCCTTTTAATATTGAAAGTTCATCTTATACATAAAATAGTAGTGCCATCTACTAAAACTGCTTTTCCTCCATTTTATAACTCTTGACCACCATTTTGTAGTTCAAAAGCAGGCAGTTTTCAGGCCCCTTCATGTATTCTAACGGATATATTTTAATATTGTATTAGGAATGTATAACTTTTAGTTTCACATTGCCACAGTTTGAAGCAAATACAATAATCCAAATGCAATATTCTTAATACAGGAGTATTAGAGTAATAGTTATTGGGAATATATTTGTGAGCCTGGAATAAGTTCATCAAAACTGTGAACTTTTTATCTCCTAAACGACTTTATGAGTAATAGTTTAATGAACTAAAACTGGAACTTCTGCTGTACTGCATCCACTAAATGACTTTGTATGTTTCAAGTAGTAGCTTCATGAATTAGAACTGGAACATTTACCATATGCTGCATGTGATCATTCTTGACAATGAAATAGTAAAATATTTATAAGATTTCCTGTGAATGATTAATGTAAGATGAAAAAACTTCCTGTAAATAACCGGCATCAGGTATAGTGGGAGTTTTAAAAGAATAATATAATTCAGCGTTCAAGTACTTTTCATATTTATTGACCAACTTAGCAAGTACATCATAAATAGAACCTGACTGAACTTAGAGATTTACATTTCTTCAATAATTTACAAGTATCGATTAACAAGGAAAAGAAAACTTATCTATAATAATTCTGTATTAGCTAATATTAAGATGAATTTTGTGATACTGCATATACATTTAAGTTCAAATATCTTTGATATTTAAATATAGAAGCGGGTAATTATCTTATTGATGAAAAGATAATCTATAATATAAATCTGTTACATAAAGCACATATTATTTGAAAGAAAAGACCAAGATATGTCAAAAACAATTTATAATCAACATTCTGATATATGCTTCATATAACATAAATAACATTTTTATGCTTGAGAAGTTACTTCTTTAATGTACTCTTTGAAACTTAATTTTTTATAAGAATTACTAAGCCATACTGATATGGTCATTTTAAAATAATGTACAATTGCCTCAGATTATTATTATTATACTATACTGTATTATTATTAATACTAAGTAGCTAATATTTTATACATAATTAGTACTTTTAATAATTGTTTATTGTATAACTTAAGAAAAATTAATGAACTATGACCTCTTACATTCACAGAAGATATTTTAAAGATAAGTTATTCACAATGTTAAATAATTACTTCTTACTTCCCAACAAGTTAGTATTTATTTTTTATACTGACAGATATCGATAAAGATTATTACACATTTCATGATATTAAGTATTCTATTATCATGAAAAATATTTGAACAAGAATATTTTTCATGTTACTCCATACATCAACGTGATTCGAATAAAAACTTCAGTTGAAGCGTTTTGTTTTATATGAATCACTTTTCTCTCCCATTTCTGCTCTGGTTTTACAAAAATCTATTTAAATAGATATTAAAAATTACAAATGTATAACTGTTTTGTTAATTATAAACATAAAATTGTCCATCATATTATGTACAAAACCAACTTTTATCAAAAACATAAAAAATAAGTCTTGAAAAAGTTTGAAGAAAAATGTAATTTCAAATCTTTTACTTTCTACGAATCATTTTTCTCTTCAATTTGTACTTTGATTTTATAGAATTCTATGAAAAATGATATTCAAAATCAGAAATACATAACTTTTTTTGTTATTTACAAACATAAAATTGCCCATCAGATTGCGTTTAATCCTAAGTTTCATTGAAAACATAGAGAATAAATCATGAATAATTCTTAATTTGACATGTAAAAATTGTTGAAATATTAGAGAAACCTTTGTTTGCTTCTGATGGAAAAACTTTGAACATTTTGTACGTGAAAAGCATTAATTGTTATAGCTTTCACAAGAGATTGTGTTACACAGTCTCAACTATAATACAGAGAGTGTGCATCATAATCTTTAAGCTAAATTTGCAAAAATGGGTCTATGAAAAATTTTTGAATAAGTATGGGTCTAAGGTGAAGGAAAATGCAAGGAATCATTTTTTATGAAAATCAGGGTGGAACAACGATATTTTAAGTGATGAATGTCAAATTGAATGGATGTAAACAAACTTATAGGTTATTAAGAGGCTGGAAATTATGTAAAATTGCAGAAAATTGTGATTTAGTAGAGACAAGTCTCTGAGCTCTTAAGGTCAATAGGACCCCACCCTACACGCAGGAACCTTTTAAACAAAATTATAACAATTTTTTTCATTTTTACAAGGATTTTTCTAGTAGTAGTTCCCTGAAACGCATGTGACAACGCGATTTTTCCCTACTCCAAACAACACCGCGGCCGTATCATACAAAATCGTCTTCGAAAAGACACCGACACTCATACAGCAACAAAAACAAACAATAATCCCTTGAAAAAATCCGGGAAATGCTGAAAATTGAACTATTTTCGAACCTGACCACTCACCTGCATCGTTCCGTCTGCGCGTCGCACTGAAATCTCAATCGTACACACACTACGCACAAAACCACGTTAATTTAATAATTAAACTACCGCGTATACACGTATTCGCAATATTAAACGACTATTGATGTATAGAGTCGCGACATCGTGCAAAATTATCGAATTTTCACGTACTATATGGTCACGGGCCTGAGCTTGGCCGCCATTTTGTGAACTCGACTCGTTCTTTCGCCCTCCCCGTACGTCCTCCCGACCGCCGACCCATCATGCAACGCGCGCGCGCTTCCCCCGCCCCTCCTTTCATCTACACCCCTCGCAAAACGAACGCCCTGTAAATGTAATAAAAATTAATATCTTTCGTAAACAATATTGCGAATAATCTGGAAAAAACATGTATAATATAAAATATATATCTACGCGTTTCAACTTCGTTCGACAAAACTTCACCTAAAGTAAAATTTTTACGAATTCCGTTGAAACGTAGTTACAAAACGGAAATCGTTCTGCGACAGCCATTTTGATTACTCACAGAAATTTTACCCAGAATGCCTGGCGATGGTTTTTCGATTGCTTTGTGTATGCGCAATTACAACGATCAAGCAAATCATGCAGTGCAGTTCATTATGATAGATTTCACGTTCTGTACTTATGATGCGCAAATTTTTATGTTAAACCCTCAAAAGAACTGAATTATTTAAGTAGAATATTATGCCGATAAAATTTGAACTTTCAACGTGATATGTATAAAAGTGTAATTTTTATAAATATTGTAAATGGATATCCTATTTGAGCTCAGAGACATAATCTCGTTTATCACCATATAATTACAAATCCGTAATGATGAATTGTAACTGAACAGTGCGTAACTACACGACTGTTGACAGTGTCACCATGCAAAACGAATACAAATTTTTATAAAGCAACTTAGTATCTAGAAGCTGTCGTTTTCCATCAGATTGGGTAGAGACAAAAGAGAAAATTTATTCAATTGAGATATTAGAGTACTTAATGTTTTATGTGTAGAAAAATGATTTCTAGTAAAAGAAATGAGTTTACCCGGTCCAATGAAAAGCAGCTTGTATTTTTGCAGACGTTGAAACTAATGTATTATACAGAGAATGAAAGACGCAAAATATTACCCAAACACCCGTGGCACGTCATACCGGAAAAGGAAGAAAAACCTCGAACTTCGATATATCATGATTCAGTTTCCGGTCGAAAGTCGATTTCTCGCCACATTGCGCATCGATATCTCGCTCGACTATAGCGCGAAAAACGAATGGTGTTTTTGAGATTAGAATTTAAACCTTGGTTTATTATAACTTGTTTTCGATATATTTAATCATCTTGAAACTAATTAAATTATTTTATTCAAGCAAATGATATGAACTATAATAAAAAATTCATTACTCGTCCTTAATTAAAAGTTTTAATTAATGTCTGAAAGCTAATAGTTTATTGAAAAAGATTGCAATTAAAATTAACTTCTAATTTTTAAAATAAGTTTGAATTAAGAATTAAACTTTAATCCTCAATATAAATTCTTTATTTACATTATAATTTCAGTTTAATTTTTTAATGTACATTTGAAATAATGGAGGTTAAAGATATGGTGTTTACGGAACGTGTACACAACAGATCAAATTTATATATTTATAGGTGTCCTATATGTATTACTTAGCACATACATACAAATATTAATGTTTTGTAAATAAGAAAGAAATCATAAGAAATTCCCAAATATTCCACTTCAACAAACCAGGTCAAATGTATCACATTTTAATAGAAAATTGATCAAATCTAATTAACAATTTTTAAAATAACGCAGAAGTATGCGGTAATTCAGTCTTAAAGTAATTCAAAGCATAATGTAACGATAATATAATATTACTATAAAAAAATTCGTTAGAGGTAAGAATTTTATGTTCATTGCCTAATGACAATATTTTATTTTAACACATTTGTGATATTAAAGGATACTCGCATAAATGAGTTGTCAACATTAACATAAGTAATTTACAGATTCAGGTTATTCAGGATTAGGTGTTTCATCTATTTCTTTTAAAGATTCATCTTCATCCTTCTTATCCTTGGCTTTCGCATCAGGTACCCAGAGACCAGAGTCAACGCATCGTTTCATATGATAGGATGCAACATCTTGTGGCATTTCTGCTATAGTTTGATGTAACAAAGGAAGATCTTGTGTTTCAAAACATTTCTTCAGAGGCTAAAAACAATATAACAAGGTAAGTACATAGTATCTAACAGTAGTACTTATTACAGTAATACATAAATTTATTTGTACCTCTGGAAGAGTTTCAAATACTTCAAGAGGATCAAGACCACCAGGGCCGAGACGTGCTTTTCTTTCTTCTTCCTCTGCTTCTTTCAGAGCATCTGCTATTTTTTCTGCAGCTCTCTTACGTATTCTTTCTTTAAATGCTCTAAGTTCCTCATCAAAGGCAGTTTTAAATTCTACTTCAGCATGTTGAATACGACTGAAAAAGGAACCAACACATCCTCTTGGATCAACATCTAATTGTTTTGATAATTCTAAAATATATTGCATACATATACATTGGTGAGAAACATGTTCCATTAAATCGTGTTTCTGAAATTAATAATAGGTTAATGATACTGATTTATAGTAATTAAAAAAGGTTTTTATAAATATTCAGATATATGCTTACTTCTTCCATTTCTAAATCGATACACCAAAATACTAGATAATTTGCAGTATTTTCACAAACTAATTGAGGATTTTCAGTCAAAAATTGTTTACTATCATCATATCTTCTTAGCATACCAAATTCTTTCAATTTTTGTTTGTTTTCCTTAACAAACTGTTTCATTCTCTTTTCTTTCTCTTCATCTGTTAAACCAGTGTCATCTTCCCTACGAGGTGGCCTTGTGTTAATTACAGTTTTTGTAAAACCATCTTGCCCAATAGTGTCAACATTCCATGGTGTTAATTTTTCTTTCCTCTTCATCTCCTCTTCTTTTTCTTTAATCTTCTTCTGTTCTTCTTCAAGATCTTGCAATACTTTCTTCAATGCAGTTAAGTCACTTGAATCTTCCATTTTATTTTCTAATTTTGTAAGTTTTTCCTTTGTATCTTTTAGTTTTTGTAATGTCCTAAATATAAATATTAATTTTGAAACTTATAATTAAAAATTGCAACTATAATAGTAAGAATATGCAATAAATATTATATCGAACGTACTCTGCCTTTTTTCTTTCATGTTCTTCTTGCTCTCGTCTTCGTTCTTCCATTCTTTCAATTCTTGCCTGATGACGCCATCTGAATAACGAGGGGGTATCAATATTTGGATGAGTATCATCTTCATCATCTGAAATCTGATAAACATAAATTTTAGCACCTTATTTATAATGAGTAATAAAATATTTTAAATACTCTTTTTAAGTTATAAACACACAAAGTACAGAAAAAATTATCTGTATTAAATAGCAGTAGGCATAAATAAGCAATACTGATTACAACAATGAAACAGTTAAATAAGTTATTTCGATTTTAATTGGAAAAAAAAGTATTCTTTTTCTATGATTTATGATCAACAAACATACATAAACAAAATCTTATAAGAACTAAATTTAATGTGTTTTAGATTTGGTAAACGTATCAAAGTCTTTGAATAAAGTACAATTTAAAAGTATCCTCGAAATTTCTACTGCAACTCTAGAATATTCTATAAGCATACTGGACCAAAACTGAAATTCTTACCTCAATATCTTTCCATTTGCTGTAGTCCACCATTGTTTGATTAGATAAATATAACTCTTATTTAAATAATATACTTTTATGTAATTGATTATTCTGTAAATATAATTTATGTATCAGCTATCTCTTTATTTTTGCAAATGTGAAAATACAACACCCACACTTGCTGAAGTTTAATTGTCAACTGCATCGACGTCAATGTAGGACTTGTATCTACGATCGCTACTTCGCGAGAACGAGATTCGATATATCGCATCAGTGTCGCTCAACTTTAAAAATGTTGAAATTGTGCTGAATGAAAAGAAAATTATATAAATAATATATATGCTACACAATAACTATATATTGACTTATATAAGTACACACTTGATTAAAATTAAATATTATTTCTTATACCTACTCCTTAAACGAGATCTATATAAATGTTATACATTATAATTCATTACAGCAATTCATATAATGCTAATAAATTGTAATTGTATAGAAATGTAATTGGGCACAATAAATTTATTATATTTGTTTTTATACATTGTATATATGTATGTACAACATTTATATACACATATAAATATAAGTACATGAATTACACTTCTATTCGTGATAGCTATGGTGTTTACCACAGAATAAATCGTAGCGTTTACGAAAGTTCCAGTGGTTACTAAATGTTATTTTTCTTTTATTCAATGAATTAATGTGCAAAGAAAAATGATTGGAATGCGTATGAATGCATTTAACGATACTGGACTTGGTGAACCGGAGCAAGATGCAAATACAGCACTTATAGAATTAGATAAAGGTGCATAACATTTTCTAACCTAACTTTATTTTGTTGTTTTTGCGCTATATTAAGTTTATTGAATTAAGTTGTATATCCATAGTACTTTAAAGCCTACTATTTTTAATCTCCTACTCTAAAATTATATTTCATAAATATTTATTAAACATATTTTTCAGGTTTACGATCAGCAAAGATTGGTGAACAGTGCGAAGCCATAGTGAGATTTCCAAGATTATTTGAGAAATATCCATTTCCTATACTCATAAATTCGTCTTTATTAAAATTGGCTGAGGTTTTCCGAACTGGTAGTAATTTTTTACGCGTTTGGGTTCTCAGAGTATGTCAGCAAAGTGAAAAACATTTGGATAAAATATTAAATGTTGATGAATTTGTAAGACGTATTTATAGCGTGATACATTCGAATGATCCAGTTGCTAGAGCTTTGACATTACGTACATTGGGTAGTGTAGCTGGCATTATACCAGAAAGACAACAGGTACAGAATTACCAGATTATTAAATTTAATTACATTTAATAATTTAATGATTTATAAAGGTGCACCATAGTATAAGAAGATCACTAGATTCTCATGATTCAGTTGAAGTTGAAGCTGCAATATATGCAGCACAAATGTTCGCTGCACAATCAAAACTTTTTGCTGTTTCCATGTGTAGCAAAATATCTGACATGATTAGGGGTCAAGCAACACCAGCATCAATGAAATTACAACTTATACCTATTTTACAGTACATGCATCATGATACTTATACAGCTTCAATGGTATGTTCACATTAAAATAGCTTTTATTCTTTTTTCAAAATATTTTACTGTCAGTTTCATAGTATTAATTTCTTGTAGGTAAATAAATTATGTATGGAGCTCCTTGCTAGTTATCCAGCTGTGGAATTTGTTAGAGTTACACTAAGTGCTTTAAGTACATTAGCTTCTGCAACATTAATTGATATTCCACAACAAGTTGTGCTTTTGTTACGTTATTTACAAGATGATCCAAGACTAACAATTAAACGTCATGCTTTACATTTACTACATTCTTTAGCTAGAAGAGGAGCACATTTGTGGCCACAAGGTGCTCTTAATAATTTAATAGGTAAATATGCTGCACATAAAACTTGATATATTCAATGGAAATGTTTAATGAATATAATATTTCAGAGAGTACTACAACACTTCTACAGGATGGTGCTGGAAATAAAGATCTCCTTATTCGAACATTAGATGTGATCGAGGTTACCACTTATTTATAAAGTAATAGTCAGAAATTTTTGTATATATGAAAATTTATTAGTAAATTTAAAAAATTATTCAATCTAGGTACTTAGTCAAAGTGCAGTTACATGTGATGCAAACAGAGAGGAAGGAAATCCTCTTTTATCTTTGTGTGTAAATGCTTGCTACTCTCCAGATCCCTTCATCGCGGTAAAAGCAATTACTATATTAGCGAGAGTTGCGTGTTATTGGTATGTATGAAATAATTATTTATTATTGTAGTTTTATTTCGAGGGAAATGAGGTAGATGGTATATTTATAAATGATATACTTATAGCTATGAAGAAGGTTTACCAGCTTATGGAATACAAGATGTTGTATCTTGTCTTGAATCACTAATTGTGTTATTAGCTTTGGATGATAAGTATTTGCGTCAATTAAAAGTCTGTTTACGTTCAACGGTAAAATTGTGTAGTGCACAACCTAGTCATTGTTCAGTATTCGTTGACGCTATTGGCAGTACACTATTTAATACAAACACAGAAAATACTCAGAGTGAAAAACAAGCAGTTGCTTTATGTGAAGCTTTAGGTGCCATTGGAAGTTTGGAAGAAAATACGTTGCTTTCACTTTTACCAGATATATTGGCAAAACTCAGACAGACTGTACATGTCCACACAAAGGTAGACATACAAACAAAAGATACATATATAATTTATTAGACTTATACAATATAAAGTTTTTTCTTGAAGGTGATGTTATGTACGTTATTATTTCAAATGGTAGCGGGGGGTTATGAATGGAATACAGAATGTTTGGAAGCAGTAGAAGAAGTTATTAAAAATGTCGATGGTTGGGCCAAGTACCGTATTGCACGAAGCGCTGCTAGATACGGTCACCATACAATAGCAACACAAATATTTAGGAACTTGAAAGAAACAGTAGCGTCCGAACAATTACACTTCTGGCTATCCGGTTTGGAATTAGTTACGAAAGCTGAGAGTCATCTCATGTTCGTATAATTTATTTATAATGAGCATTGACCTTTACAAAAATAAGCAATTATTGTACTTATTCTGCGTTCAGGGATAAAACAGAAGAAACAGAAAACAAATCGAGAGTGCTCACGGTGGAAAAATTAAACGGTGCTATCGCACGTTACGCAAGCGCGTGTGCGTCGCTAAAAGCTGCCAGTACACCTTTACGAAGCCTACAGTTCGCTAGCGAATATTCAAAACTTCGTTGCGAATTTCTTCAAGCTATTGTACAACTTTTGCATTCGTGCAGGTATTATATACAATCATTTATTTCCTACAAATTTTAGAGATTACATAAGCAAATAAGTAATTATGCTTTAGGTCTCTTTGTACAGCTCCACCACCTGCTATTACAATTACAGTGATTCTCGCGACGAAAGATGATCTTCAACGATATGGACGCGTTACTAATCAAGTAATTCACTTTTCTTAACACTCAATTGTATTTAAAAATATTTTTAATGTTAAAATAATGTCTTTATTAGTTGAGGAAATCGGCTCAAGAGTTGAAGAATTGTGCTGATAACTATCAGAAACTTTACCAATCGGCTTTCGATGCTGATCCCGGATCATTGGCAAACATACGAGCGTATCCTTTACTATGACATATGTATAGTAGTTTCATTAATTGACTGAGAGATGTTTTCAATAAGAGTCCTGAACTGCATACAGCGAAATTCTACATAAAGTAACAAATGCAGCATATTGTTCCTTTACTTATTATCTGTAGATTGCAGGAAATTTGTCGATTGTTAGCAAGCAGTGTCGAACGGGTTTGCGGCGGAACTGGAATTCGTACATATTATCAAAGCGAAGTTAATTTTGATTTCGGTGATACTGTAGAAATGCGGCAATTAGCACGTTGCTGTACCGAATTGCGTCGACTCGCGCCTAGTTATATAGGAGAAAATAAAGCAGCGGCTCTTAGTCACTCAAGAATAAACTGTTTAGTATCGCAAGTGATGTTATTAGCTGGAACAAAAATGAGATTACCGATGCCTCGATATTACTTCCAAGCTTTACAAGCAACTAGTGTTAAGTTATCGGTTTCACCACAACCACGGGTTCTCGGTGAGCCAGTATCTGTTCCTCAGGGTAGCCAGCTAGCGTTAAAAGTGGAAGGAGTGCTGCGGCACGGCCGCCGCGCGTCTCTTTATCGTTCCGTTGCTGCTGTTTGCATTTCTATTTCAACTACCCCTCCGTCAAAAATCAATTCAGATCAAAAGGTACAAATTAATATTAATAACAATAAATTTCATATTTATTTTTGATTCGCCATTTACAGGATTCTAATACGAACGAATTACAACAAACTGTCACACCACACCGAGATTTCTTCGCCTGCGAATTTTTACTTTCACTGGGAAGTCCGGGAACAAATACCACAGCATGTGCCAGTAATACCGCTAATGTAAATAACAATATCAATTCTGGCGGTGGGCAGTATCAAGTCACAGCTAGTGCCAGTATACTTGACAAAGATGGCAACGTGTGGAAATGCGGACCGCGTTCTACTCTGCAAGTTAGGGTACATGAGGAACCTGCCAAAAGGAAGTTACCATAACAAAGTCTCTATAATTTTTATACCATGTTTGTACTTGTGCAAACTTTATGCAATAAAAATTTGTCTCCTTTCATTAATCATGTGTTACCCTTCTTAATCCTTTATGTAGAATGGAGTTTCAGTACGTGATCCAGGATGGCGCTGCAGAGACGGAAAGTATTGTAGACACGGAACTACTCTGCGGTTTAATGCTTGATTATATATGTCGGCTATACAACGCGTGGCGATAGAATAGAGGTGGTAAAACACGTGGCGAATATAGCGCATGCTGAATACAGCACATGACAAACAGCGCGTAGCGAATACCAAGCGTGACAAATACAACGTGTGGCGAATGCAATACGTGTTGAATACAACCCGAAACGATATAACGCGTGGCGATACAGCGCGTGAAAAATACAAATCGTAATGCAAATCGTAATACAAAATAGTACGCGTGGGAAATATGAAGTATAGCGAATGCAATGCGTGTAGTGATATAATACGTAAATAACAGCATATAGTGGCAAAATCTGTGGCGGTCTAACGTGTGGATGTACAGTTTGCGATTGAAGATTTTTATGTTTCTAAATTTGGGACCTAGAAATTATTTCCTAAACTCGAAAATTTACGTTCAACAATAAATGTACAGCCATATCCTATCAGGATTCCTCCTTTGAAACTGTAGCGATTTCCGCGGGTCGCAATGCATTACAGCGAGGAGTACCTTTAAAGTGCGTGAAAGGTGATTAAGCAGTCGGACCATGTAAAAGGATGCTATATAGCAGGACTGTACATAAATAACAATTTCACAGTGTGTGCCGAGATTCATGAATGAAATCGAACTTTTTTAAATCGTACATGCAATCCAACTTGACGGAAAGCAATTTCGCGTGCACGATATGATATACCACCGCAAAATCTACTATTTGATGGGGGTTAAAGGGTCGAATATACGAGTAACGAGAGTCGATGTACGGGTGGACGCGCCGTGAGAAAGCCCATAAAAGGGAGATTGCGAGGGTGTTCGGCGCACAGTCGCGCACCGTCTGTCCGTTAGTACGGTACGCGGGCAACTCCTCGACATTCGTGCTGCACTTGATCCAAGCATCATCTCGAGAAGAGCAACAGTTATGCCCTCAGATCATCGCGTCATTGGCTGACACGGTCTAATATCAAATTTCGTCACGCGTCTTTACGCGGTAAGTGACGCTTTTTCTTTCAATTTTAAACTGTTTCATATAATTACTAGGGGTAACAGCTATCTTTTGCAATTACCATACGTAACAATTATCTTTTGCAATTACTACGGATAATAGTTATCTTTTACAGATACTATGAATAACAGTTGCAATTATTTTGCATAAGTTATATTTTATGTAGTCGCGTTAATCCTAAGAAATTTTATGAGTTTTATGAAATATTTTTAAACGGTTGTAAAATATTCTTGAAATTACAATAATTGCGTCGGACAATTATTCGTAGCTGCTAAGGCGGCGTGAAATGCTTTATGCTGAATTTAAACTAACTTGCAATCTCGCGAGAAATGTAAAATACCACAAAGGAGGAACCGAAATGCGATTCTTTGCAAGAATTTATATCTCCCGAGTAATTTCTTGCTGCCGCTTTTGAACTCCGCGAAAATGAAGAACTTGTAGAACTCGGGCATCGTTTAATACCGTTAATTGAACCGAAAGAAATACAAAGAACTTTTTGTTTTCGTTCGCAATGTAAGATTTCCCGTGGCTAGTATCTCGGAAATTAATTGTTCGTTGCACCGTGTTGCAAATATGCTATGTAAAGCACAACAATATGTAATTCGTGCACTTCGTTAAATACAAATAAACTACATGTTTTGAGATTATTGAAATTACCGAGAATAATGGCTCCGTTTTCGATACGTGTAATTATCGCTATCGCCAAAATTATTGTTTGTAGGCAGAATATTTTATGATATTACTTATGTGCATCGACTAAAATTGAACATTAATAATGAAGAATAATTATTGATAATATATTTTAGTAATATTAAAAAATTAAATCTACATTTGCAAAATTAGTTTTGTATATTAGAGAAAAATTTGCTGATATTATTTACCGTAAATATTTTGATAAATCTCTAAATACAGCTTTTTTAAAAATATAGATAAACACGAAGAAATTGAATTCCATATTTTGTAGAATTATCTCATTCTCGGTTGTACCATTAATACTGGGTTATAGTATATTTCTAATCATTTCTAATGGAAAAATTTTTCAGACGTTCCAATACAATTTTTATTCTAGTAATTTTTAATAATACTTTCTTAAAATATTGGTAATAGTAATTTTGTTGGCATACGGTTAATATCACATAAATATTTCTAAAATAATATATTATGGGAATAATAAATAAATCGTAATATTTCTAACACTAAATAATATTTCTAGAGTTAATAATATATAATCGGAATGGCTATTTCGTGGTGAAAAATAATAGTAACAAGTGCAAAATCTAAAATGGACGTTTCCTTAAGAGATACGTTGATATTAAACATCAAATAAACGTTTCTAATTTTTGAAAGGCCGCAATTTTTCTAATTAAATTATCGGATTTTTAGGTTCTCCTTTTTCCGAAATTCTCTAATTATTTCGAGCAGTGGTAGTTTTAAACGAACGAAAATTCGCTTCCGCAAAGGTGCTTTCAATTTGTTTCGACCCGGTTGAAGAGGTGTCTCGCGGTCGTTATTTTTTCCAATTATCTTCGCACATGTCTCGGGAATGCCGTAGTACGCTTTTAGAAAGGGATGAAGATCCGCGAAGCATAATGTACAATGAGCATAGTACGAGTGCTGTGGTACTAAGCATTGCGGTTTAAGCTGTATGGCGATGTATGCGCTGTGATTCGAGCTACGCTCGCCGGGACCGACTAGTAGTTGTGCTAAATGGTTCGCAAACTAATGTTCAAAATTCGGGCAATGTCGCGATGATAGTGTAGGTGCGAGTTCGGGTTTCGGGATAGGGATGAAAGAGAACAGAACAGAATAGAACAGAGGGAGAGAGAGAAAGTGTTAGAAGAGAGAGCGGGATAGAGAGTGGCAGTAAGCGATGTCTGCGAAGTCTTCCTTAGTTAAAAGTTTTCAAGATTGAATTAAATAAAACTGCTACGACGTTTCCGTTATCCTGTTTTACCTCCACCGATCCTTTTTTTCCCCTCTCTAGTTCCTGGGTACCGTTGCAACGAAACGACTTTCGAAATAATTAGTTCAGGAATTCAAGAACCTGTGAAATACAGTAATCGGTATTGGCGCGTACGTTTTTTCCCCCCCGGTCTGTTTCTCTCTCCTTTTTATTTATTTCTTTTTTGTTTTGTTTAATTACAAAACGTTTCGTGCGGCAGGTAGAAAAGAGTTTCGCGTGTCCACGCAATTGGATAAAATCCCTTTTCTCGAATCTTGTTACGTACCCTGTTGAACGCCTATTGGATTTTATACAGTTGTAACGGGAAATGGAAACAAGGTTCAGTTTATTTCTCTATGCATAGCAAATCTCATTTCCTTCGTAGGTATGTACACATATACACGAAACAGATATCTTATTCCTTTCCGTGTGATCAAAATCGAAGATTTTCAGATATTTCTTCGGGAAATCTGACCTCGATTTACATTGTTGTTGGGTCTGGGTAATCTATAAATGCAGCTCGGGCTGGTCGAATGCAAATGCAACGTATTAGATTGTTAAGTACATATCAAGTCGTCGATTTTGATATGTATCGTGTTTAATATGATTTGCTAACGTAAAATTATTAGCAATTGGGGTAATGTATTATGCACGTGTTATGCACATTATACGTACAGTATGTTTCATTAAATTAGCTAAAAAATTTCCTCTTTTTTTCCTCTGAACATTTAACGTAAATTAGTATTTGAAGATTTCAAAATTTAAAAACATTTTTAAACTGAAGTTGGAATTTAAAAAAAAAATTACTAGTTATTAGTTATTTTTATACCTATATTCCACGTAGTTTACAACAATTGGACGCTTGCATTATTCTTTTTATTTAATCCGCCTTTTATCCGGTAATTGCTTTGAATTCAAGCCAATGTATCTTTATAATGCAGCAAATTGTGCTTACTTTATTAACAATAAAGCGTATTATTGAAGTTCTTTCCAACAAAGGAATACGTCAGGAAGATATATTAGAAAGCAGATGTGGATTCGGAAAGTGGGATAACATGACTGGTGCTATATTTCATTGGTACGAGTGAAACAGATATACAATTGAATCGTAACTATTAGCGTATCTAGCTAAGGACTAGGGTTGCAACCCTCAAAATATGGATTCACCCTCGGGCATCAGGAACGCAGGAATTACAATACACATAATTCACGAAGTATTTAATCTTCAACCTAGCAAATTTTTATTATTTACAAATTCTAACACTTAAAATTTTTAAAAAACCTTGAGTTTTCTACGACGTTAAATCTAAAAGATTTAATCCTAAACAAAAACGTTACAGTCATAACGACGGTAAATGGTCGACAGTTAAAAGAAGAACAAACTGAAAATTAAAAATAAATGAAAAAAAAGAGCAACAAATTTAAACGAGTGACGTAAAAAAGCTTCGAAAACATTGTAAAAGAGATAAACCGTTTTTATTTTTCCTCCCTCTTTTTGTTTTAACTCTACAATTGGCTACTCTACGTGCACTGTTATTCCCCAATTAAAAGGTACTTTAATTTCATCGAGTTTTACGATGTTTGATTCGACGCGATCACGATTCGCCTGCGCACGAAAACAAAGCCTCTCAAAGGTTTCGAATCGTATAACGATGCAACGGATAAAGAGAATTTGTAAACGATGAGAAACGAAATTCGTCTGGTTAAACAAACATTTCACGATGATCCTCGCTTAATTAACGAGATCCACCCCCTTACCTAACTCCTGCAATGAGGAACACTGTAAATTTCCCTTATAATCCAGAAAAATTTTTATTTTTCTGCGGAATAATTCCCTGTAGATTAAGTACACTTTTGTTTGGAGATTTAGCCCGTTCCTTTAAACAATAAATCAAAAACCTTCATCGATTTTTGTTAAACGTTTGACAGAGGTTCGATGGGCAAAGAGAAAACAATTACTCGCGAATATCTCGTTGTACGTCAATTTTACGACAAAAATGGTTATTACATAATTTATAGCTTGAGGAATTGTCTATAAAAAAGGTTATATGAACTTTTTTCGTAGGAGTAAGTATTTTCATGTTGGCTTAATGGAAGAAGATAAACTTGTGAAAGGAAGAGTTAAGTACAAATTTAATATTATTTCGAAAACGGTTAGGTCTATGAAAAAATGTTATAGAACACTTTTTGTAGAGAATTGTCCAAGGTAAAAATTTGGTAATAACTATTTTTGCGTACAATCGATATATACTGAAGGAATTTGTGAAATTTAAGAAGATTGAAGATAAACTTGTAAAGGGAAGGGTTAACTACAAATTTAATATTATCTCGAAAACGGTTAGGTCTATGAACAAATGTTATAGAACACTTTTTGTAGAGAATTGTCCAAGGTAAAAATTTGGTAATAACTATTTTTGTCGTACAATCGATATATATCGAAGGAATTTGTGAAATTTAAGAAGATTGAAGATAAACTTGTAAAAGGAAGGGTTAACTACAAATTTAATATTATCTCGAAAACGGTTAGGTCTACGAAAAAATGTTATAGAACATTTTTTGTAGAGAATTGTCTAAGGTAAAAATTTGGTAATAACTGTTTTTGTTGTACAATCGCTAGATACCGAGATATTCGCGAACTCTATGTTTGCCCCTACATAAAGTTGTTAACAACATTCATTTTAACATATCGTTTAAAGTTTCATATAACAATTTAGTTGGAAATCTTTGTGCAAATTGGTTATATTTTTGTGAAATTTCTGTGGAGCTATTAAAACAGAGGTCCCTTCTAATTTTCACCGCAGTTTCCAACCCTTTCATTGCACCCGTTGCATCGCCGTGACGAGGGACGGTGGTTATATAGAGGAAGTGACGAAAGTGAACGACAGGAATAATGGACAGGTTTGGGTAGAGTGGCTTCCCGTTCGGTAGGGGCATTTGTTCCACCGACAGTAACTCGTGCCCGTAATAAACATGCCGTGCTAGCAGATTGACTGATGATACCGTTCTCCATTAGATGTTATTGCTGAGCTCCTATAACCTTTCA